AATTATATATTTGTATATATACATATATATATATATATATATATATATATATATATATATATATATATATATATATATATATATATATATATATATATATATATGCTGATAACCACAAGGAAAGAAGAAAACATATATATATATATATATATATATATATATATATATATATATATATATATATATATATATATATATATATATATATATATATATATATGCAAGTAAATCACTGTAGTTGCGTGATCCAGGTATATGCTGATAACCACAAGGAAAGAAGAAAACACGAAGTTCCCAGCACTATATATATATATATATATATATATATATATATATATATATATATATATATATATATATATATATATATATATATATATATATAATTGTAAAGTTTAGAGTCGTTTGACGTTTCCTGCCAAATTTAACGGTATGTCGGGGATCCTGTGGAAACTTCCGACATCATCACCCTTGGTGTATAAACTGTCTACTACATGAGGATGCAGTCGACAGTATATCTTCTTTTGAGTCTGACAAATGATACGACAGTGTACGCGCTGCCCCGGGACGCGTAGCATGTGCGTGGTATATCGTGTGTGTGCCGCGGTTGTGTGCTGTATTATCCATTGGCCCAAGTGATTATCTTATGCATCGGCTGGTATTGCGTGTGCCAATTGAGTTGTGGGTCCAGCGTTTTCATTAATCGGAAATAACTTTACGCTTTTTGAAACTTTTTCTGTATCTTAATGAGTGTAGTGATTATCTTGTTTCATTCGAAACGAAATGTATTTTTTTTACATATACGTCGTAACTGAAATGATGAGTATGTTCCACATGACATTTAATACGACTTGTGTACGAACACATAAAAACCTGAAGAAATTGTGTATTGTCTTTATCTTGTTTTGACGTGAAATTAGCTGTGATAATAAGGTGTCAAGATAAGCAAAATAGTCAACATTAGAATATTTAACTACATTAACGAATATATTAAGACTTGAAAATTAGCTGTAATTAAGTTATATACAGTAAATAATTTTAGGGCTTAAGCCTTCTCTCTCTGAAGATGGAAAATATTACTGTCTAATGGTGACGGTCATCGGCTTCGGCCTCCTACGGCAAAAAATAAAATATATATCGGACGCAACTTTCATAGTCCGGGCACTGATCCTAAACATCATTTTCAAACAGTAACTGTTATAATGGTGAAAACTACAACACAATCTCACAAACCATCGGTTTCTCCTGGATATTTCTTATCAAAAACTTGTTAGATTTAACGTGATCGGAATCTTGTGAGAACTTTTGTGGTGAAAAGTATACAACTATTAGTTGTGTCGCCTCACACTAATGAAAAATTTATCAGCTGGTAAATGTTAAGAATATCGAAACGTTATCGTTAGTGGCTTAGTTGTGGCGACCTGTGGTGTAATGGTCAGCATGCTCACCTCGCAAGTGAGTAGACCCGGGTTCGTTCGATTCCAGGCATGGTGAAACTATAGGCAAGTTTCTTTACGCCATTTGCCCCTGTCTCTGTTTACCCAGCAGTAATTGAGAACCTCTGTGTTAATTGGTTTGCTGATGTGTTCCGGGGTAATGGTTAGCCAGTGCTGTTGGCAAGTGGTCCTAGGGCTGGCCAGCCTCGAGTACGAGGGGTAACCATTATATATTATTATATTGTCAGGTTAGGGAACCTCGAGTCGTTAGTTACTGTGCTATTATAGCCTCATGCAATTGGGTAAGTTTGTTGTCTCGAAAACTCGCACTCCAGCAACACTTTATGAAGACTGATTTCGGAATTGCAGAGGATGGCTATGTGTAGCTAATGTTTTGCTGACAAAGTAATGGGAATAACGAAATATTAATGAAAAATGTTAACCGAATTTTTATTTAGATACTGAGCGACCACCATAGCGCACATCCTGTGATAAGCTTGTGTGTGTGTGTGTGTGTGTGCAGAAGTGTCGAATCCAATTAGTTTAATTTCAATTATAGGCAAATTGCTGGAAGCAATAATTTCAAGCTATTCAAAATCTTCTCGAGAAGCACAAGTGGGCGTTCATTTCTGACAAATCTATTAACATTCTTTTCAACGAAAGACTAATACGAAAAGTGGAGGCTCATGCAATTGGAGGAAATATTCTAAAATGGATTAGGGCGTGGTTACCGAACAGGAAACAGCTAGTAGCATTAAATTGATGGCACTAAATCCGAATGGGGAAACGTCACTAGTGGAGTACCCCCAAGGCTCAGTACTTGGACCCTTGCTATTTATTATATACATAAACGATAAAGATATAGGCGTAGACAGCAACATAAGTTAATTTGTTGATGACGCTAAAATAAGCCGTGTAATTAAACCTGACAGGAAGGTCTAAACATTTTTTCGCGTGGTCTGAAAAATGGCAGATGAAATTTATTGTGGACAAATGTAAAGTCTAGGAGGTGTAAACAGAGAAACCAGATATCAGATGAGCAACGATGTTATAGAGAAATCCGATTGTGAAAAAGATTTAGGAGTAATGATCAGTAGGAATCTTAAACAATGCGCATTTGTTTGAAATAAGGCTAACAAAGTACTTGGGTTCATACAAAGGAGTGCTAGTTGCAAAACTAGTGAGGTTATCCTAAAACTATATCTTGGGCTTGTGAGACCTCGTTTGGATTATGTGGTTCAGTTCTGGTCACCGTACTACAGAATGGATATAGAATTCCTAGAAAGAATTCAGAGGAGAATGACAAGACTAATCCCGGGCATTAGGAACCTTGAGTACAGAGACTCTTTAAAGCATCTTAATTTGCACTCCCTCGACAGACGTAGAGGAAGGGGCGATATGATCTAGGTGTATAAATGGAAGTCAGGGTTAAACGAAGTGATTTAACAATGGCACTCAAACTATCCACCCAGGAGAGAACTCGTAGCAATGGTTTTAAATTATAAAAAATTAGATTTAAGCGCGAGATAGTTAAACACTGGTTTGGGAATAGAGTATGCAGTGTGTTCTTGTTTGATGCATTTGCGTGTTATGTATGAGCATGGTCGCATGTGCAAGATGGATGCATGTGTAACAGTTGATGTAAGTGTATGAAGAGAATTTTGTGTGCATTTGTTCCTTTATGCGAAGGTTAAAATGAACACAATTCATAGCTCGATCAAATGCAGCATAAACTCGGATGTGAAATCATATGACAGAGACTAGGCTGCACTATCTGCCACACCTCCCAAGTTGCTGATTTTTTTAAGATATTGCGTGATCCACTGAGAGAATAAAGCATGAAACGTAAACGTATTATATAAGTTTTGATGGGTTACGACTACATATTCCGAATGTTTAATGCTTCGTTAGTCGAAATTCTAACATTACCTATCTTAACCCTACCGTTTGGTCAATTAATTACACGGACATGGGGTAAATCCTATTTGGAATTATTTTGACTTTCAAACATAAGGATAAATGGATTTGTTGGAAACAGTGAATTTACATACTATGCTATTTGGTTCCAGGTCTTTAATCATTTCTTTTATGATAACACCCATTAGAAAAAAATTAAATTAGTGCACAGCTAAGAACAAATAAGAAATAGCTACTAAAGTACAACGGAAAATAAATGATTAGGCCTCGGTAAGCAAACTATGCACAAGACAATGATGTGATACAGATCCATGATAAACGAGATTGACAACAATTAGTATAAAGATTGAGGTGCAAAGAGGAAGACAGGATGGGACAATGGTGCTGCAAATGCTGTTCCAAATCGAACTCCGAAGACATCCATATCAACAATCAAGGTAGGTCAACATATGCGAGTCATTGCCACCAACTCTACATTAGTTGCGTATGACACCCGTACTGACTTCAGTAATGAAGCACTGTAAGAGTAATGTGGTAACTGTTTCCTGTTTTGATACGAGACTTCCTGAGAGCTTAAAGGTTGCTGGAGAGATCATATACATCAGGTTTTCACTCGTGCATGATCACACACATTAAATCAGACCCCCTCTTTGCTTCTAAGTATTATAGTATAAGATTTTTTATAGAAAGTCGTGTAGTCACTGATTCAGATCTACCCCCAGGCAGTTGGGTCTTCCCATCCAGTATATGCCACACTGACCTTTAACCTTCTCATGATTTCACCACTTCAAACTGATATTTGAGTTTTTCTAACAATTCCTCTCATCACCTGTCCTTCCACTTTTATGTATCACCTGAAGACTAATCCCCGGTTTATTTTACCTGATTTTATGACATTCATATACTGTTGGTAAAGATACTTTTTTTAAATGATACTGTAGTCAAGGGTTCACTCGCGCCACGCCCTTCGTTGCCACCTTGCTCAATTGGCCGAGGTCCACTACATCCAAAACGGCCTCGTTACAGTGTTCCTACGTATTGTATCCTATTCGTTGTCTTTGATAATTGAGTGTTTCTTAATCTCCGTTATCAGTTGTTTCTATCCAATTTGTTTCTTGATATTCGTGAAAATATATTTATTTCTTAATCATCGTTTTCATTTTTTTCTTAATATTTGTTATCACATTTACGTTTCTTAATGATTAATGTTAGATTTTGTTTTGTATTCTTTGGTGGTGTCATATTAAAGTCATTACAGTAGTCTGTTTTGCTTTGTCATTCTGACATTTTAGTTATCATCCGCCATGATGATATGCTTATTGAGTAGTTGTATATGTACCACATATGTAAAGCTGAGTGAAGAAATGTTACGAAACATTATAAATTGTCCTAAAGGATGGAATTACTTGCTTAAAGTAATTATCTAAAGACCTGGCTGTTTACATTTCGTTTACCTCTTAAAAATATAGTTAGTGTTTTCGGTGCTGGCTAACCTCCACCCCACAAGGGGTCACAGCTCAAGGTTAAAGAAGCCACAAGTCCAGAAAACTGCGAGGGCAATTTTTTTCGGAGTGAGAATTGTGAAGTCTTAGAACAATCTGCCGGAGAGCGTTGTGACGGCACCGAGTGTGAGCTTATTCAAGGCCATACTTGACCAACACTGGAGCAGGTTCCGATATATTCAGGAGCCAGAGCATGCCCAGTATCTCCCAACAATGCGTATCAGAGACGTAACCGACCGCCCAAGCGACTAACTAGTCGATCAGTGGCGAAGAGGATAAAAGATAACTCGGTCAACTGCTGGTGCCCCGAGAGCAACACATTTATTTTTCATGGACACATAACCCTTTAGAGGGCAGCGGCGCATTTAAGTATTTTATTCTGGCTAACACCAGACGATTTTACTTAACTGAGAGAAACCCCTGCCCCTCAAGGTGTTAATAAAACACTGCCGAGCGTTATTTTTTTCCAGATAAGTGTTGACAGTGCTGTTAGCAGGCAAGTGTTGACAGTGCTGCAAACAGGCACAATGTAAGTGTTGACAATGCTGTTAGCAGGCAAGTGTTGGCAGTGTTGTTAACAGGCACAGTGTAAGTGTTGACAGTGCTGTTAGCAGGCAAGTGTTGGCAGTGTTGTTAACAGGCACAATGTAAGTGTTGACAGTGCTGTTAGCAGGCAAGTGTTGGCAGTGTTGCAAACAGGCACAATGTAAGTGTTGACAGTGCTGTTAGCAGGCAAGTGTTGGCAGTGTTGCAAACAGGCACAGTGTAAGTGTTGACAGTGCTGTTAGTAGGCAAGTGTTGGCAGTGTTGTTAAAGAGGCACATATAATTTCTTTTTACTCTTATTTTTCGCCCTCTGGGCCTCATTGTGGGTCGATGACCTGTGCCCGGGTGGGCTATTCCCCGTAAAAAAAAGTATTTTATATTTCACGGGGTTTTTAGCAAGTACAAAACATTGTACCCATACCATACAAGGTAACAAATATGCAAGAGGTATGACTAATTTAATATTGTATTGATACCTCTGCAGCACTGTAGTTACAGAAAGTTTAAAGGGACTTAACTATCCATCGTAAAATTAAGTGTTTATTAGTTTATCGATGATATTTATCATAAATTTCCAGTGAGGTTTATCAGGGTGTGGCATCCGGTGCGCGACGGTCTTGCGCGAGCAACGTGGAGAACGTTGTAAACAGTCCTTCTTATCTCAAATGAAAGATGTCATGGTACGAAATTTATTAATATTATGATATCAATCAGTCAATAAAGGCTAGTGACAGAGGGGAAGGAGGTTCAGTGGAAGTTATGATTCGAAATATAATAATGTTATGGTACGAATTTTTTTTTTTTTTTTATTGGGCACTCCCCTACAGCCTTGTGAAGGTGAAGCGCAGAAGCGTTTACAGTGCCCAACAGGGAAGCATGCTAAGATCATGCTTGCCTTTATGTCTCATGAGTTAAGAGCGTAGAAGCCTGAAGAGTCAAGGGCATAGAAGCCTGGAGAGTCAATGGTTTATGTCATCAAGTTATTGGAAGCTCCAACAACTTGTCCCTGAATACGAATTCGCAACTTTCGAGATACACCAGGTACCTACTTTACTGCTAGGTGAACAGGGACTAATGGGGGCTAGGAAGTATGTGCAAACAACTTCCACCGGCCCGGGAATCGAACCCGTAACATCTAGCTTGCGAAGGCAAGAGCGGTACCACTCTACCACCAGCACCCCCATGGTACGAAATCAGTAGTGAAGAGGATAAAGATAAAAATAAAAGTAAAGTCAACATTCTTTTATGTATCACCTGAAGATTAACCCCCGGCTTATTTCACCTATACTAGGGATTGTTACTATATATTAGTTCGGACTATGTTAGGTTAGGTTATTCTTGGGGTAGTTAATCTATAGGTAAAATAAGCTGAGGGCTAATTTTCAGGTGAGGTTAGGTTAGATAGGTTACCGTTAGTTTAGGTAATCTGGAGGTGAAGGAAGTTGGGGTATAATTTTCAGGTGATCCATATTTGTATCTAACGTTTTTGGTAAACGTAAAGGAAGGGGAGCTTATCATTAGTACACAGTACTGTGAAGCTTGGCATAAAACTTTCCAGGGTTATTGATATTAATGTTTCTATCACAATAAAGTGGTGGAATAAATGATACTCACTCTACCGTCTAAAACAATCCATTAGCTAACTCTACCATCGAAACAAACAAACAAACCTTATTTACCTAATATATAGGATTCTTACATCATTTAGGGGGAGAGGGGGATGTCCTCCTTAAATAAGACACCAACCAAACTTAATACACCTGAGTCATACCTGAACGAGTACACCCTCACAGTCTTGTGTAAATCAAGAATTTGTGGATCTTTGATCGCTTCACCTGTAAGATTAAGTGGACGTATCGAGATAGAGCCTGTAATTTTAATGGTATTTTTGGATGATATTTGTGAACTTAGCTCAAGTCAACTAGTTTGATGCATTCTTACATCTTCACTTACGAGGATTACCCATCGTTTGAACTTCTGAGTACAGTAACTTGGACCCTTCCTTAACTTACGAACTTAATCTGACAACATTTCCAAATGAAGGTTACAGTAGTTATGTCACCTGACTATACAAGTGTTAACAGGTAAACGCTTGAAACACTTTACAGCCAGCTAAAACCTAGGTAACTCGCAGGTTTGCCGCTATTTTCAACGTAAGTATTATTTCCCGACTTATTTTTTAACGTAAGCTCAGCTCTATAGCTCTATTTTGTGTTGGCAGATGAGATCCCTGGACTCCCTAGAGAGCCAGCACCTATTGCCCCTGCCACACGGGAAGTGGAGAACCACTTCGAGAGAAACCAACCAATAAACAATGCCATCACAAACCAGCCCCTCACGCCGCAGCCGATACAGCAGCCGGAACGGATGCTGGTGGTGGGCATGTACTGCTTCGTGGCACGTGGACCCACCGAGCTCAGCTTCAAAAAGGGAGACTTGATGGAGGTTCTACAACAATCGTAAGTTTAAGTTGGAATCATTTATTCATGTCTGTTCAAGCTTTGACGCTCCGTTTGGGTGTACATGCGAAAAAAACACACACACACACACACACACACACACTATATATATATATATATATATATATATATATATATATATATATATATATATATATATATATATATATATATATATATATATAGTGTGTGTGTGTGTGTTTCGCATTGTACAGGTAGGGTCTCAGTGGGACTGTACTAGAAGCTCGTAAAACACTCTCCAGGAGACCGAAAGCTTGTTTTCTTTGATTAAATTATTAAAATATCAAGACACAGCAGCCCATTCTAGTTCTTATTTCACTGAGTGATTCTCATTAGGTGTACTTTAAAGATTAAACAGGTGTATCTTTATACAGTGCATGACTTCCTCTATGGCTGGCGTTAGCCAAATAAAATATTAAAAGTGGCGTCCACTCAGTGAAGGGGTTAATATATAAAAATGTTATTATCTTTCTTCAATCTGATTATAAGAGTGGCATTCTCGTGAAAGTCAGCTGTGTACTTAAGCTAACTTTTTTAAATATAACCCAGTCTAACCTAACTCAAAGGATCCTAACCCCACCATAGCTGAACTTAACCAAAGCTAGGAGGTATTGTACTGTATATAGTGTTTGTTTACCTGCACTGTATACATTCTGTACCTAAGGTGCACTGGTTATATCCATGCTGAATCAATATAAACTTGTATGACAATTTTACTGAATTAATATTTATACAGTACAGTATATTTATCTATCTAACCCGATGCTTCACTTCCACAGGGATGAAGATTGGTGGCAGGCGAGACACGTTAACACAAGCAAGGAAGGATTCATCCCCGTACCTTACATCGCCCCCTCCTCCTCTCTCGAGTGTCAGGAGTTAGTGTTTTAAGCATCATCTTAATAGCGTTATTTTAATGAACCTGTAGTTATGTTGTAGTATTTCACCTGTAGTTGTGTTGTAGTATTTAACCTGTAGTTGTGTTGTAGTATTTAACCTGTAGTTGTGTTGTAGTATTTAACCTGTAGTTGTGTTGTAGTGTTTCACCTGTAGTTGTGTTGTAGTATTTAACCTGTAGTTGTGTTGTAGTATTTCACCTGTAGTTGTGTTGTAGTATATAACCTGTAGTTGTGTTGTAGTATTTCACCTGTAGTTGTGTTGTAGTATTTAACCTGTAGTTGTGTTGTAGTATTTCACCTGTAGTTGTGTTGTAGTATTTCACCTGTAGTTGTGTTGTAGTATTTCACCTGTAGCTGTGTTGTAGTATTTAACCTGTAGTTGTGTTGTAGTATTTCACCTGTAGTTGTGTTGTAGTATTTCACCTGTAGTTGTGTTGTAGTATTTCACCTGTAGTTGTGTTGTAGTATTTCATCTGTAGTTGTGCTGCAGCTGGTACTTTGGCAACATCACGCGGGTACAGGCAGAACAGTTACTCCTCAGTAAGATCAACCGAACCGGCGCCTTCCTCATCAGAGTATCAGATGCTGGTCATGGATACTCCCTCTCACTCAGGGTAGGTCGGCTTCCTCAGTCAAATATTCTTCGTAAGCTTGTTCTTAACTCCCCTTATTGGTGTACCAGTCAACGGTTTGAAGATATGTTAGGCATTGATTTTAGTCACCAGTCACTCCTGTTTTGAATTTTTTGCGGTGATGTAAAGTCACTCTGTAGACTTGACCTTCAAGTTTGTGTATAGTAGGGCAGATAAAAATACAAACGGTCTACTCATGCTACCTTCCCTATAATATTTTTATGTTCCCTTTCCTATAATCGTTGACGTAGAGCCTAAGGTGAATCCATATGGTGCTCCACATAACATGGTTGTTGTGAATCATAAACAAAGTAGGTTTTAAGGTGGATCCTTCTGATATTACATGCAGTATATCTTATCCAGTCAGATCCTCCTCTCTTTAGAACCATTCATTATATTCCTAGGAATCCATTAGTCAATTTTAGACCATTCTGTCTGTATTTTATTAGAGACAGTAATCTTGGGTCTTCATGGCTAGTCATCTACAGTATATGGAATATGTGTATGGGTTTGAGAATTCCATGTACAAGACATTAACTGAAAGATCTTGTTCCATTTACATAGTTGGTAATTTTTTCTATAAATGTTACAATCTGTTAGACAAGTTTATATCTTGGTGAGATTTACGGCAAATTGATCAATATTATTACTTCTACTTTACTTTCAATATATTAAAAGAAATCTAAAAGTTGACTGAATTTATAATTTTCTTATAATGTTATTGGGTAAGAATATTTTCACAAGTCAGTGATATAATCACTTTTAGTTTTAGTGTCAAGAAGGTTAAGAATTATTAAGTAGTATATATTAAATTAGCTATACAACTGAACACCCAAGATACACAGCAGAACACATGATGGGCATCAAACAATAATTTAATAAAGCTTGATGACTCTTGTAGTGTCATTAGGTGGGAGTTACTGTACCTCTACTTGGACTTTTATTTTGTGACAAAAGTATGTCAATGTGTTTTATTGCAGAGTGTTCGAGAGCCATCCTACTTAGCACGTATTAAACACTTCCGCATCTGTACAGCCGAGAACACGTGCTTCTTCATCACTAGGACGAAAGTCTTCCAGACCCTCAATGACTTGGTAGAATACTACATGAGTGGACATGATGCAACAGAACTTGGCAGGACGATGCGTTACCCCTGCGAGCGACCTCTCCCTGGCATGTACGACATGGGCAAGGCTACCAAAGACAAATGGGAGATTGACAGGTCTTCCCTCCAGTTCAAGAAGGAGCTTGGTCACGGATCTTTTGGAGATGTTTGGTTAGGTACTGTTGGGCTCTTGGGCCAGGAGCATAGTTGGTTTGTATGTCTGTAGAAGAGAAAAATCATGTAGAGACCGTACAACCAACAACAACAACAACAATAATAATAATAATAATAATAATAATAATAATAATAACAATAATAATAATAATAATAATAATAATAATAATAACAACACTAATAATAATAATAATAATAATAACTACATCAACAGGGACATGGAATAACGACGTGGAGGTTGCTATCAAGTTGTTAAAGGAGGGGACGATGAGCACTGAAGCCTTCCTGGATGAGGCGAGGATTATGAAGAGTCTGAGACATCCCAACATCCTGGTACTGTACGCTGTCTGCACCACGGAGGAACCCATCCTCATCATTACCGAGTACATGTTGGATGGAGCCCTTCTAGAATTTCTCAGAAACGACAGTGGCCAAAAAATATTTTTCCATGAGCAAACTTACATGGGAGCGCAGGTACTTTTTACAGTATGGCATTAGATTTTTGTAAAGATATATGTGATGGTGCATAAAGATTACATTTTACACCGATAACAGTTTGAGATTTTACAGAAAATTTCAGAGAGACTTCACAATTAGATCCCCCAAATTATCAACTTTGTAATCCCCCAAAATTCAGGGGCTGAGACCTTAGAAAGGAGGGTGTGGTTGGGTGACATGTTCATGACCTTATTAGCACAGCACTGTATACAATGTATGCACAAAGCGTAGTAAGGGTTTTTGCCTCACCTATACACAAATATCCCAAAATAATATTCTATAAGGATTTTGTATCATTTTCAAACACTGGGCAATTTCACTGCGTCTGTAATTCCACCGAAATTCGTTATACAGAACAAATGTTAAAGATTTCACACCAATAAGATATTACAGGATATTTCACATCAGAACTAATATTACTTTAAAACTGGATATTTTATATTAATAATTAATATTTAACACTACTTCAATTTTTGCTTAAAATTTCAGAGATACGGTATCGTTGTATAGTTTTAAATTTCATCATATTATCAATGTCACCAAAAAAGTTTAATTTTATTACCCAGACTGGAGAGAGGCATTACCAGAGTACTGTATATAAAAAAGTGGGGTAAAATTGGAAGGTATATGAAAGTCCTTATTGTACATAGGTGGCTGCGGGTATGCAGTACCTGGAGGCCAAACAGCTTATTCACCGAGACCTGGCAGCTCGGAACGTGCTAGTGGGACCTTCACTCACCTGTAAGGTCGCTGACTTCGGTTTAGCTCGTATCTGTGACGGAGGAGAGTATAACATGAGACCCAGTAAGTGACTCTTTGATAAGCTTAGCAGTGTGTGAAGCGTGGATGAATAGATTGTGTTATTGGTGGGTATTTAATGGTTTCTGTAAGTAGTGGATTGTAGTGATGGGTGCAGTGATGGCCCATAGTGATGGCCTGTAGTGATGGGCTGTAGTGATTGATTGATATGATGGGTGTAGTGATGGGCTGTTGCAGTGGATTGTAGTGATGGGTGTAGTGATGGGTCATGTGGTGGATTGTAGTGATAGGCTGTGGAGATGGGGTAAAAGGTTGTAGTGTTGGGTGATGATGGTGTCTCGTGATATTACAAGGAATTAATACTCTCCTCCTCCCCCGCAGACACCAAATTCCCCATCAAGTGGACAGCTCCTGAAGCCTTCCTACACAACTACTTCACCATCAAGTCTGACGTGTGGTCCTTCGGCATTCTTATGATGGAGATCATTACCTACGGTGCCGTTCCTTACCCAGGTTAGTTGCCTTTATTCTGTTATTACAGAGGACATTCTATTTGTATATCTTATTATTGTCATCTCCCTCCTAGTTTACCTGATTTTACTCTCTCTCTCTCTCTCTCTCTCTCTCTCTCTCTCTCTCTCTCTCTCTCTCTCTCTCTCTCTCTCTCTCTCTCTCTCTCTCTCTCCCCATCAAATAGCTAAGTAACTGTGTGTATCTCCCAACAGGCATGGGTAAGCAGGAGGTAATCGATAACGTACAGAATGGATTCCGCATGGGTAAGCCCGCTAACTGTCCTGATCCACTGTACGAGCTCATGTACTCATGCTGGAAAGCAAACCCCGAAGAGAGGCCAACCTTCGAACGCCTCCACGAATTCCTGGATAACTACGACATCGAAGCAGAACGATCCTACTACGGTCCGCAACTATCGATGCAATGAATCCACGATCAAAAGTTAGCTTAATTACTAAATCACTTATAACGAACTCTTTTTTTAATATTCCACCCAGGAAGACGAAATTTATAAACTGAATTATTCATCTTGTTTATATCTTCCGCTTTCAGTGCTACCTTGAAAATAAATCTTGTAGTCATTATTGTAGCTAAAATATAAATGCGGCTCTAAAGGCAATACCACATCATAAGAGATGTTTTGGATGTTACTGTAGAGTACATCTGTTTCAGCAGTAAGATGCACCGGCTCCTGAATGTATCTGAACCTGCTCCAGTGTTGGTCAAGTCTGGTCTTGAAGGAGCTCACACTCGGTGCCGTCACAACACCTTCTGGCAGATTGTTCCAAGAGTTCACAACTCTCACTCCGAAAAAGTCTGCCCTCACAGTTTTCTGGACCTGCGGCTTCTTCAATCTTGAGCTGTGACTCCTTGTGGGGCGAGCGTCCGCCAGCTCCAAGTAAGGACGCTCGACTGAGTAGTGCCCCTGAGATGCTTATATACCTCAATTAGGTCGCCCCTTGCCCGTCTGTAGTATAAGCTAGGCAAGTTCAGGCGCTCCAATCTCTCAGGGTAGTTGAGGTGCCGAAGGGCAGGCACCAGTCTGGTGGCCCTCCTTTGAACATTTTCATCCAACTGACAGTCCCTAGCGTATCTCGGGGACCAGACGGGATGACAGTACTCCAGATGGGGAAGCACTTCACTCTTGAAGATCGTTACGAGGGACGGACCGTCTAGATATCCGAACGACCTTCTTATAAGACCCAATAATTTATTTGCCTGATTTACCTTCTTCTCGCAATGACCCGAGAACTTCAGCTCATTGGCAACATACACACCTAGGGCCATCTCATATTCACTCTCAAATAATGCAGTTTCTTCATCCCGTTGGGACATATGATACGCCTCCTTACCGTTGGTACGCCCCAGGTGCACCCTCTTACACTTCGTGACATTGAATCTCAGCAGCCATTTCTTCGACCATTCTTATCGCTTCAGTTTGTTCTGAAGATCCACATTCAATATTACAGTATTAAGGGATGACGTCATCTGTATTTGAAACTGGCCTGGAGCTTTTATTTTACCGAGACTTGACGTACTTGCTGCTAGATTACTGCATTAGCTTCCCACACATTTAATTATCCGTCAGGCACTCTTCTTCACTTAGGTATAGAGTTGCTATATGAGCCAGGAAAGGATTCCTTAGTTCACAGGCACAGTCAGGATGGTCTCAAGAGTGCCCTATATTTCCAACTACAGTTTTGTTGTAAGGAATAAATTTCAGTATTATCTATGAGACTGAAGTCACTACAATTCTCCTATTTTTTAACAGTGATTTCGCCAACTCCGCCCATTTTGGATTGTGGTGTACAAATATATGTGTGTTAGAATATGGTCAGGTTTGATGCCCAATGCAGTATTGTGTTAATTTAATGGATGTATGCATATGACTCAATAACCCGTCTGTGATTTTAGTGAAGCCAAATATAAATGCTACTATCGATTACTGAGTGCATGGCTGAGTAGGGGGTGATGCTGTTGGTGTTGTGGTAGTGTTTCAACATGTGTGTAAACTTGTTAAATACTATGTGGGCTGGACTAAATGTAAAATGTATCGACGAATGAGCAGTAAAATTTGATAACAAGCGTTCATGTGGGTTTCAGTGCTTGACATTCAATGTGGTCAGGGAGAAATAAAATCATGAAAAAATCTGATTGAAATTTAAGCCAAAAGTAAACACTGGTACCTGTAGTAGGTTGTATATAAACAGCATGATCCTTGGGTTGTATTAGTGAGTCACGAGAAAACTTTCCTAATTTCATTTTTTTAGCATTAAATGTGATTAGGATGCATTGAATGAAGGAACTAAACTACAGTCATTAACATAAGGTGTCAGGAGGTGGTGTATTTTGTATATGTACAGGGAAGGCAAAAAAATAGCCTCCGATATTTTATAATGCAGTGGACACCAAGGCTTTGAATAGATAACTTAATAAATCGTTTAAAGCTGCATGAGTCAGCATGTCCAATAAATAGGACTTTTTCTTTTAGTGGTTCACCCTGTATAAGTTAAGCATTGGTATATATGTCATCTATTGTGAAGCTCTTACGTAAGGTCAGATACTTTGTGGACGACTTAACTCTGTGTGTGGACTGTTTTGTAATCAGGATCATGTAAAATCATTTTTCATCTGATTTGTTTAGCTTATGTATTATGAATTCCTTAAAAGGTTTTTGTTAACATATATAATTGTAAACTTGAGTATTAATATTTGAATACCGAATTGTTACTCTGGTCATTGATAATAAAGAATATAAACAATGTACAGTAATGAGACAAAAACCGAATGACAGTAATGAGGAATTGTTTATTTAATTACAGTACATAAACTGTACACCAGAGGCACAAGCGACACTTAATGTACGTTAGTAAAATGATTGTACATTACATTGCAACTAAATATGACATGCTTCAATAAATCCAAAACAGATATGACTCCTCATTTGACACTACAAAACTACAGTACAGTTCGTTGTTGTTTGCACGTATTTCTGAGTTTCAACAACTACGGTCTGCACGTACTTAAGTAGACCTATATATATACTGTATTGGACAAAAACTTAATAACTTGGATCCCGGGAAGATTAGGCACCCCAGTTTACTTCACTCAATGGTTAAACATCCTAACCTAACCTCGGGTAGCGTTAGGGTATTTAATCATCAAGCGAAATATGCTGGGGTGCCTAATCTTCATGCAATTTCCCCTAAACGGACAATTCATTGTCTTGGGACCAAACTTATATAACTACATTTGGAATCGGTGGTTATTTTAACTTCATTGGGACGTTTTTTTTTTACTTGAAACATATTCATCTAACCAAAATATTGTTATCTATCTGTACTCTTCGTATCACACTTTATTTACTTGACTATAATGACAGATATAAGGTAGTAGGCGGAAGAGTGCGTGGCACTCCATGGATTACAGCCACATTTCCTCTCGCTTGTGTTGGTACAGTGCTCACTTTAAAACCGTTTCACTATTCGTATCCTAGGTTCATATAAACATTACGCAGTTTCATATGTCAAATTACCCCGTTTCATGTATCCTTTACCCAATTACATATATCCGTTAACCAATTTCATATATCTATCACCCAGTTTCATGTATCCATTACCAGTTTCATATTTGTTACTCAGTGCCATTGATCCAGTAAACATCTATATAAGCATTTATTATATATCACCAATGTATATAAATGTATTTTCTGTGGTTGCATGAATTTAATCCAATGCAAGGGCGGATACAGGAGTGGGTCCGGACCCCTTCTTTGCATCAGAAAATCCCAAACATTTTCTTTAATGCAGTATTTTATTCAGAATATCTCCTAATATCAAGTGCACATGGCTTCAAAATGCCCCCGATATTGGTCCAATTTAAAAAAAATCCGAGGGGCTTACAGCCCTCCCCAAAAAAAGCTGGGTGAGCTCTCTGCGCTCGCCATGTTCCCCTACCCTTTTTTATATTCCTGGATCCGCCCCTGCAATGATCCATGCAAGATATTCAACAGACTCATAGGTAAGGAAGTGAGAAAGGAAGAGAAAAAGACGCAAAGAGAAAGACAGAGCAAAAGACGTAAAGCGAAAGACAGAGCAAAGATATAACAAGAAAGAAAGGACGGAAAAATATATATAGAGAATTACAATGAAAATAAAAGGGGAAAATATAAAAAGAAAAATACAATTAGAAAAACAGGGAGACAAAATAAAATTCAACTGATAAATACTGACAACGGGTGCCCAAAATTTCTTAGTAAATATTTCCATGATAATTAGAAAATAAATTTCTTTATAGTTGAGCCTAGTGCCATCTCAGCGCTATTTTCGTGTTGTATCTAAGTTTCATAAATTATATAGTTTTATAATACAGTGCGTTGGCCAAGTCTGGTCAATCTTCAAATGAAATAAACTGGAGAGGAGGCGAATCTTCAGTTGATCCCAAAGCACAAGATGGCTGCAGTGAACTTACTGTGGACGCAGATAAGAGGGCTAAGGAGTCATTTTACAAAAGTAGGCTTACATTCATTAATCACTGGGAAGATAGTAGGCCTATTCCAGCTTTACACTTACTTATGCTCGTCATATACAAATGAATAACCCCATATTTGATAAAATATGGGATAATCAATGTTCATTGATGAGAAATATGTCCGTTATTTCTACAAGAGGCTCAGGGTCCGGTGTTTTAGAGGTGACCACCAGGAGCAGGTTTGGGACCACTTCTAGAAAGGCAGCCATAAATATGACTAACTCAGATACAACTGATAGTCATGGATCATTTCAGCCGAGGTAAGTGTTCACTGGGGCTTTTGTTTGAGAGTGAGGACAGTTGTACCGGGTGCTGATCTCTGAATACCTTGTTCTCCCTCCTTGGACCTCATGCACTGTTAGAGGATTCAACTACCTGTAACTATTCCAATGTATTTGTAGGCCATCCACAATCAAGGTGTGTTCTAAACGGTACTAATGTTGGTTTCCATGGTAGAGTACAAATTATCCATAGATCTGTAACCATACATGCCATCTTGATCTGCTCAGTGCTTGTTTAGTCTCCTCACATGACCTCATGTGTGAAGAGTGGTAACAGTAATATGTTCGTTTATTCTCATATCGTGTACTCATGGGTTCCCATTTATTTTTTTCCCTTTCACTCTAACTAAAAAATGTCACAGATTCCCAGAATGTTTACTATCAGTTAATGACTACTGAAGCTATTACCTGAAGATTATCAAGTTATTTTTCTCGTTTACATTTAATTAGTGCTTTCTTTTCAGAATACATAATAACTATGTGAATAATAGCCATTCTCAGTGAAAATGGGAGACGAAATGGGAAGTTACCAATGTGTTATGCTCTTCTGACCTGACGCCGTGACGTATAATAATAATATTAATAATTGATACGCATTGAATTTGACCAAAGACACGTGCTTGTTTCCAGGTGAGCGGGAATAAAGTCACATGACTTGTACACATTGACAACATAATATATATATATATTTCATGTAAATCCACAATGAAAACGTGGATAAGATAAATCTTGATAAAATCACACGTTGTTTCCATTTTCCCGTGTGATTTTATCAAGATAGATATATATATATATATATATATATATATATATATATATATATATATATATATATATATATATATATATATATATATATATATATATATAATGACATTACACGTAGGTTAGGTTAAATTAGGTTTTTTCCGTGGCTTTTTTTGTGACTTTTTCCTACATTCTGTTTCCAGTTCGCTGTTCCAGTAATGTCCTTAGGCCAGGCGGTTACCCATCCATTTTGTGTCGTTTGCTCTGTTTATGGCTTGAATTGTGAATAAATAATAGAAAAAATCAGCCTGTTCTTCAATCCATGTAAATAAAATTAGGGATCATATGAAGATCCTCCCCCCCAAACCTACTTGGGGGGGAGGATCTTCATATGATCTAGTCTGGGGGGGGGGAGGGTCTTCATATGATCAAGCCTGGATGGGAGGATCTGACCTGACCAATGACCAAACCTGACCTTTTTTTTATAATTAATGTTTTTTTTATAATTAATTTTTTTTATAATTAATTATTTTTTTATAATTAATTTTTTTTTATAATTATTTTTTTTATACTTAATTTTTTTTTATAATTATTTTTTTTATACTTAATTTTTTTTTATAATTAATTGTTTTTTATAATTATTTTTTTTTTATTGGTTAGGTTAGGTTAGGTTGGATACTTTGGGGGGAAGATCTTCATATGAGCGCGACTGGGGGGGGTGGATCTTCAGTTGGATACTTTGGGGGGGAAGATGTTCATATGATCCAAAATTAGTGTTAATCTTCATTGGGTAATAGTTAGTTGTGAGTGAGATAAGGAGAGACAGGTGCAGCCAGGTTGGACCGTTGGAGTGTAGTGGATTCCTCCCCTACACCCACCTAACCTTCTCGAATTCCCCAGCCTACGCCTCCAGCGCCGCCCACGGAGCGGGGGTCAACTATCTACCCACGCCTACCCCCGCCTTATAAGGCCTGACACCGCTGTGACCACTCTTTTCTACACAGTGCCACCAGCAAGCAACACCTCCTCCGCGCCAGCCGTGCGGCTGTCGCTCCCGCCAGCGACCTTGGCGTCCTTCAAGCAGCGTGCCCTCACTCTGGGCACCCTTGTGGGGTTCAAGATGTTTGGTTCACTCAGGATGGAATGGAGAAAGGAAACTCACAATGTGCTCTCTATATACATGTTGTATTGGATGTACAATGCAGCTTGGTGCTGGGAAGGCAGCATGGTTACAAGCGTGATGTAGAGAGAGAGCTGGTTGGTGAGGGTGCTCAGAGGAGGACAGCTTGTGGGTCGCCATGCTCGCCGGCGGGAGAGGACCGCCAAGCAGGCGGAGGAGGAGGAGGAGGTGTTGCTGGCTGGTTGGTGGAGGTAGAAAGAGACAGGTCACCACGAGGTCAGGTCTTAAATAGCGGGGGGTAGGCGTGGCTTAGTAGTTGACCCCCGCTCCGTGATGTATGGCGGCGCTGGTTGACCTAGACCACGAGGCACACACTGGAATTCGCGGGGTCGGCTACGCAGCGACAAACAGCGTTTGTAGGGGAGAAATCCACTACACCCTCACCACCCAGCTCTCTCTACTCAACGCTTATTACCATGCTACCTACCCAGCAACAAGCTGCATTGTACATCCAATACAATATGTATACAGTGAGCACATTGCGAGTTTCCTTTCTCCATCCCATCCTGAGTGTGAACCAATATCGCATACCCCTACAGGAGCACCAACCCCAGGGTAACAAATGGCTGTAACCAACTTAGCAACAACAGCAGTATAGTTGCTAAAGTAACTTTGTTACCCGCGCGTACATAACGCAACTATAATCAACCTATCGGATATTGTACCTTTATAAATAATTAAATTAAATTATGCGATGAATTTTTGAAGATAGTTACACATTTTTAGCGATAAATCTTGATGCTAAAAATTGCAGGTTTAAACTGAAATCTAAGAGAACAATCAGCTGACGAGAGGTTCGGTTTCAATGTTGACTCAGGCTCAAACATAATGATATCAACTGTGAAAATATACCACATCATTGTTATAAAATATATAAGGTAAATGTAGTGAAAAGGGAAGAAAATGGAAAGACGATTTCACTTGGAATTCCTTACACAGAGCATAAATAAAACATGACTTTAAACATAGTTAAGGTATTCGGACAAGTGCAAAACTCTAAACAAACGCAGTTGAAGAAGCCTAGGTGGGTGTGTTGTTGTTGGTTGGTTAATGTTTGTCCTATACATCACAAATAATACAATGTTGCACGTATCTACAGTATATTGTTTTATGGTGATGTAACTGTTGGACTATTGTAAAATGTTTATAAGTAATATAACAACATTGATGGTCCTTTACGAACATTGAAAATGTTGACGATTTCTTAAACTTACTCGTTAATTTCCCCGTTAAAGGAACTTAAGTGGTAAAGCAGCAGTCATATAGGTTTACTTCAGTGTGTAAGTCAGGTGTTAAGCATTTTTTTGGTAACTCTATATAAACTTCATTATCATGCAAGTTGTGGAAATACGAGAAAGTGTTGTCATGTTTACCTATGATTTCAAGGCCTTGGCACCACAGTGCAACCGTATGGGCATTGTTTTATGTGATGGTCACCACATAAATACAATAGGTGGATTTTCTCCACGAATTCTTCACTGGAGTTGTATTTTTATTTAGTTTACAGGTAAATTTGCATTTTCAACCAATATGGTTCTCGAGTTTAGCAATGTGTTTTTCCGAGGGTTAGGGTCATCTCGTACCCAAGATAAATCGTACCCAAAAAAGTTAACTTGTACCCAACTCACGAGACAAGTCATACCCAAGATTATTTGCACCCAATTCAAGAGATAACCCTTACCTATTAGTTTATATACCATGTAATTTAGCTTTATCTATGATTACAAAAAAAGATTATGTAAATCTTGTAGGAAAGTGCAGTGAAATAATGAAATATAATGCATCACTTTGAAATGGTTGCGTCTCATTACATAAGTACTGTATGTTATTCCATTGCACTACAGGTATTGAACTTGACAAGGGCTGAAATGGTACTGGAGCTACAAAACAAAGTACAGTACAAGCTTATATTCAAAACTGAACTCACTCACATAGGATTAGTGGACTTCCAAAAACGAGAGATTAGCATGGTCAGTGACCCAGGTGACATACCTTTGATCATCTGACGTCATGTCCTTTGATAGTTATGTATCATAAAGTAGCCGAACTACCTGACTGTGATACATGACTATTGAAGGACGTGACATCGGATGATAAAAGGGATGCCGATTTGTAGCTTGGAAGTTCTGCAGTCGACTTATATGCCAAGAATAGGTCTAATTCAAACTTTTAACCTGCAATATATATATATATATATATATATATATATATATATATATATATATATATATATATATATATATATATATATATATATATATATATATATATATATATATATATATATATATATATATATATATATATATATATATATATATATATATATATATATATATATATATATATATATATTTCATGTAGATCCACAATGAAAACGTGGATAAGATAAATCTTGATAAAATCACACGGGAAAAGGGAAACAACGGAGCACCTTAGCTTTCGTCTTTATTCAAGACATCTTCAGATGTAATTGGGTACGAGTTGTCCAGCACCCTTTTTCTGATGGTTTAGACTAGTGGTTCCCAAACATGGTGTCGCAACCCCAAATGGGGTTGCAAGATGCATCATAAGGGGTTGCATAGAGGCCATGGGTCAATGGGGTCCCATAAAGCTCAAAGTCCAGGTGTCAAGAACTGAAGGACGTGGCCGACAGGTGCTGTCTCGTTAAGTCGGGACAATAAGTTATGGTCAAGGGAATGATGCAGTTACTGTACTCTCCTTGTGTCAAGTCAGGTCAGTCCAGGGAAGGTGAATGCTGATGACACGTTACGCAGCAGAAAATCCACACTCCTACCTTTGAACTGCTCTCAGCTCAATTCTTTCTGTACTTCTCATAGATACAGACAAAAAATGACAGCAAATTTCAATGATAAATTACTTGAGTTGCTTTCTGAATCTTTGGATTTTGTTCAGTTTCTTTTTAATGCAGGTGTAAAACAGTGTTGCTCTTTTGTCCTGGAAATGGCAAGGGTGAATTTTTACATTTATGATGACATATTAATGTTTGGGGTTATTTATCAAATTGATATTCAGTGGTTAAAAATCGAGCTAACAAGGTTCTGATATAATTTGGAAGTCTGTGAGGCAGTTTCTCGTCAATGGTGCTTATAATTTTTTTATACTGTAACCGTATATCAAACTTAAACTTAGAAATTTGTCTGCTATGTTGTTTAATCACATAATTATACCCCCAGTTAACAGAAAGTTTATTATATGATAATGCACACACGTTCCATATGAATTATGACTGATATAACTTGTAATGAAAATTAATTATATGATGATGCACACATGTCACATAGGAAATACGTACAGTATCACAAAGTTTTAATTAAGAAAATTGTATGTTATGTTGCTTTAGCATGTAATTATATCTCCATGTATAGAACATTAAATGATCATATAAACATGTCGCATATTAAAGATGACAGATGTAGCCTGTTTCTGCCAGTGTGTACTTTTAGAGATCAATTATGCAATGCATTTTCCTTAAATGTTTTTTCACAGTTAAATACGTATATCAAAATGTCCATATTTACTCTGAAGGATCCTCATATATACAGCATATGTAATGACATGGGGGTCGCCTCTGCCCCCCTGGATCCCCTGGTATATTTAAGTCATTTGTGAGGGAAACTTCAAAGAAGAAGATTAACTTAAAATTGTTTAAACCATCGTAATAGCACATTGCTCAACTCGAGAGCCATGTTGGTTGAAACTGCAGTAATACCAGTTCACAAATTTGGAACTTTAAAAAAACCTACAATGACATTATTCCTTCTATGCCATTGCTTACATGCCATCAATGATTTACTGAATTTTAAATAAAAATTGCCAGATTTTTACAGATTTTAGTCAGAATTAACCGGTTTAATTTATGAGAACACCTCTACCACCAGAGGTGTAGTGGACAGGGCATGAAGGATGAGAGAAATTGTGGGGTAGAACACACTGAAAAACTTATTATATGACACTAAAATGATGTCTCTACATGCATTGTACACAAAGACAGTACTGTATATATATATATATGTATATATATATATATATATATATATATATATATATATATATATATATATATATATATATATATATATATATATATATATATATATATATATATATATATATATATATATATATATATATATATATATATATATATATATATATATATATATATATATATATATATATATATATATATATATATATATATATATATATATATATATATATATATATAGTAGTTCTGCTATAACGCGATAATTGTGTTCTTGTAAAATATCGTGTTATAGAAAATCGCGTAATAGAAATAACAGGGCTTATGGAGAAAATAGGGTTAGGTGCAGTTTACTCGAAATCGAAAAAATTTAGTAGTTAGCCTAACACAAAGGATAGCACAGTCTAAATAAATGTTACATTCATATCTAATAATGAAATCATACAGTAAATTTAACACTTTACCTTGAAAAAATATGAATGTAACTTGATGGGGGAGAAGGGTGATTTTGAGGTTGATAACATCAAGCTTCTCTTCAAGTGTTATATCCTTTCTTTTACGATAATCACCGGGAATTCTATCATCAGAATGCTTTTTGGAGATATTCTTCTTTACCATATTCACAGTTAATACCACAAAATTGGAGAAATAGTAAGCAAAAATCGCGTTATAGCAAACAAGCGATCGCGTTATACAAATATTGTTCCGAATTCATAAATCGCGTTAGAGCAAATTCGCGTTATCAAAACACGCGTTATAGCAGAACTCACTGTATGTATATATATATATATATATATATATATATATATATATATATATATATATATATATATATATATATATATATATATATATATATATATATATATATATATATATATATATATATATATATATATATATATATATATATATATATATATATATATATATATATATATATACATACACACAGTTAACGAACTGCCCTCAACATGTTTTCGCTTACACTGACCGGGCAACCAGCTTTAGTATCAGTCCGCCAATACATTAATCGGTTCTAGGGCTTAAATTCCTTACTATTTTAGTAAATATCAAGAAGTTTATACTTTTCAATAATTTTAAAAGTTTAATATTCAATTTTTTAGTCATTTTAACAATTATTGAACATAATTGAAGGTAAAGTGACTACAGTAGTTTAATGCGCGGCATCCAGCCTCTTAACACAGCAAACAGGCGTTAGTCTCTCTGTTTTCACTGGAGGTAACATCTTGCTTGAGACTCTCTTCAACTAAACGCTTTTTTCTGTGTTTCCAAGCAAATTATTGGTCATTTTGAAATATATTTTACATATTGACAATATATAATGCAGTGCAGTGTTGATTTAAAGAAAATAATCTTGAAATACACCAAGAGAACTAAAATTTTATGGGTGAAATGGTGCCATGGGGTGACTTCTCTTCTACCCCAATGCCTTCTCTTCTTCCTTCTCCTCCCCCCCATTCTAATTCCCATCATCATCATCCAGGAGCCTTCTACATACACACCTCAAAGTAAGTGAACTTTTCTACCATTTTTGTTGAATTTAGGCAATTTTCGGTGAGCTGGAACCAATTAATATATATATATATATATATATATATATATATATATATATATATATATATATATATATATATATATATATATATATATATATATATATATATATATATATATATATATATATATATATATATTGTATTTCAAAGGCAGGTATACTGTACAATATTGTACTATATACTGTATTGTATTTCAGAGTGACATGATGTGAGTGTTGAAGACAACCATGGATGATGCCATACTCCAACGGGTGTGTAGTCTTGCCACTGCATTCCGCCAGTCTGCTCATCTCCTCCTTGATCAGCAATATAAGCTTTCATTAGGTAAATACATAATAATTGTGTTGAAGTCTTTTGTTTATAGGAAGTGTTAACCTCTTTTGTCAATACAGGTATCCTCGATCTGTGATATTCTGCTTTAACGATGGTGATGTAAACAATCCGCATCAACGATGGTCATCGTCTGGCCAAAGGAATTTACAGTCACAAAAATAAGATAAATCACTTCACAGTCACCAAAACAAAGTACAGTACAGTACTGTACAGTAAAATTTGAACGTTAGTGGTGTCCTTTCACTGTACTACTCAGTCGAGTGTCCTTACTTGGAGCTGGCGGACGCTCGCCCCACAAGGAATCACAGCTCAAGATTAAAGAAGCTGCAAGTCCAGAAAACTGTGAGGGCAAACTTTTTTGGAGTGAGAGTTGTGAACTTTTGGAACAATCTGCCAGAAAGTGTTGTGACGGCACCGAGTGTGAGCTCTTTCAAGACCAGACTTGACCAACAATGGAGCGGGTTCAGGTACATTCAGGAGCCAGTGCATGCTCAGTACTTGCCAACAGTGCGTAACAGAGACGTGACCGATTGCTCAAATGGCTAACGAGCTGATCAGTGGTGAAGAGGATAAAAGAAAAGAAGAAAAGGGGTAAGGAAAAAAAACCAATGATAAGTAACAACACTGATATTGATCGATAATCGTTGAATATATGATCTCGGCCATGTGTGATCACCATAAAACATATCTTGCTACTGGTGCACTACAGTAACAAGCTATGTTCTATGGTGATCGTTCATATGGTACAGTATTCTGTTTTGGTGACAGTTAAGTGATTTTTGTTGTTTTTTGACTTAAAGTACTTACCGTAGTTTCTTGTTGTCAACATGTGAGCAGTGGTCGCCACTGTCAAAGTTTTTACGTTTTGTGACAAGTTGTTTCACTCTCTTTTTGTGACTCTGAAGTGAATAGTGTTCTTAATGATGTGATGAGTGATGTTTAATTGTTTTATGTCTATTATTAATGTAGGATTTTTTTTTTTGTGATTCATGTGGATGTTGCACTGGCTGGGAACATATCCCATTGTAAATAGGGGTATACCTACTTCAGTGTTGTTGTCATTTCACAACTTTTTCAGTGTACAGAGTAGTTGTGACTTTCTTTTAATTCCATATGATATATTTATGGTACAGGCTGCTCTTCATTTCTCAGTTAGAAAGCTTTATTGAATCTGGTTGTTTGTCAGGAAAGGATATGATTTTTAATAATATTTTAACATCCATTTAATCAAAGGTAGGCAGGGCTTGAGTTGTGGTAGTATGAACTGTTATGATATACCAGTTAACTTTTTTCAATAATTCATTCCAGTTTTTATACTTCTCAAGCAAGTGCAGTCCAGCTGATACTAGTACAGTACTGTAATACCGTATTGTAATTACAGTAATCTTTTGTTGATGGGAATCTTTGATCCCCAGAACTCCGAGTGGATTTTTATATTAAAATTATTAGTCATTTTAAAATTTAGTTAACATGTTGATAATATATGCAGTACAGGGAACTAGTTTTTTGTGCGCCCATCAGCCGCTTGACTCACCCACCAGGTGTCAGTTTGGCTTTGTTTACAGTGGAGTGAACATCGATTTTGTTGGTATCTTGAATATTTTTGCATTTTTACATGAAAATTATTGGTCATTCTGAAATTTAGTTAACATATTGATAATATATAGCACAGTGCAGTGTTGATTTAAATAAAATAATCTTGAATTACACCTAGTGAACTTAAAATTTTATTGGTGAAATGACGGCATCAAGCATGGGTCCTCTGAAAGGTGATTTCTCCTCCATCCACACTGCTTTCTCTTCTCCCTTCTTTTCCACCCCCACTTCTAATTCCCATCATCATCATCAACCAGGAACCTTCTACATATACACCTCAAAGTAAGTGCACTATACTGCATTTTTTTTTTACTTTGTATGTACTTTTCTCTGAGCTGCAACCAATTTCCAAATATCCCATTGAAACAGTGAATTCGGTTAACGAACGATTCTGTGGAACGAATTGTGTTCGTTAACTGAGGGACCACTGTACATATATATATACTGTAAAACAAAGAGACGATTGCGTTACACTGGGATGTTTTGTTGGCACATCTGCCCAACGCAATCAATATACCAACAAAGTGTCTAGACGAGGTTTGCCATGGATGCTGTTACTACAGTTGAGGCCTTCCAGGATTGTGCTATGGTTCTTCAGTTGCTGAAGCAAATGGGGCATCTGCAAAAGTTAAAGAAAAGACAATGAGTGTGTTGTGAATTGGTTTTTTTAATTGGCGATGGCTGGCTTGTCAAAGAAGACCCTGATTAATGATTTAATAATACTAAAGAAGTTTTAAAGTGACGAATAAATAGAAACATGTCACCGTTTTATGTGTTGTACTGTATTTGAAATTATTATTGTTTCGTGATTTATTTAAATATTTACTTGAATATTCAACACCTAATATGAAACTAATTTGAGCACTAACCCAGCCAGCAAAGCTCACTGCCAAACTGTTGTCCATTTGGGCCATCAGGCCAGCAGCCAGCAAAATGGGCAACAGTTTTGGAGGAAAGTGCCCAGTGGGCTGCCACCGTTAGCCATGAATTCCTGGCTGGGAGACTGGAAGCTATGTAGCTGGTATGTTAATTTAGATTGGAAAAGTCACGTATCCTGATATATGAGAGTCTTTAGGTTTGCTTCCTGAGGATTAAAGCCATATACCTGGCTAAGTACTATACAGTAACCACTTCTCTTTTCATCTTGTACATCCTTGGATGTGCTGTATTATTTAATTTTCAGCGTGTTTGGTTGACTTTTACAACTGGTGAGGACAGGTGTATTATCACAAATACAATTCTTTTTATTTATAGCTTTGGGATATTTTGAACATTAACCAATATCTTCATTCAACAGACACATGGTCACTTGGAGAAATTCAAGAAGCATTTAGTTTAATCCTTGAGATAGAGCAGCACACTAACTTCCATGTGCTGCCTCCCAACCACCGCCAGCACTCCGCAATCCCACACCTTCAGTTTATTTATGACCTTCTACAGAAGATCTTTGGTTTAAGACTGTGGGCTAAAGTTGGTGAGTAATTAGAACGTACATTGAACATTAATAGTACAGCATAAACAAACCATTAATTTGATTCTATATATTATGTTGAGTATAAAAATTATATGGTTGTAGCTGAAAATTGCAGATAAAGGAAAGAGCATTTTGTTTTCTGGCCTTTTCACTAGAGTTGAAGTGAAGAAAACTTTCGAAAGTGAGGTGAGAGGTTTGAGTAATATCTTTCAAGTATGAAGTTAAGTAACAAAATGGTGTACAGGTATTGTACTGTATTGTATTCACAACAATATGAGATTTTTTTGTTTCCTTGTAGGAGAGATGTATTTTTTAAATTTATTTGCTTTGGTAAAATTACTGAAGATGTATTACATTTGGTTCAGCTTTCAGGTGTTAAAGGACAATAGAGTTGGAGACGGAGGTAGACCAGTTAGTGGAGCTTGAATATGGTCGCCCGAAAGTAAATGTTGGTGTTAGACAAAGTTCTTCCATCAGGAGCAAAAGCTTAGTGTACACTGATTGGTATTGGGTGTTGTTACAGGGAAATTAATTAAATTATTTTATTATTTCAGGACAAAGTCTTCCACAGAATGAAACTATAAGTTTACGCTGCTTCCGGAACTTACAAGCTCTGGAGTTATTGCACATTCCTGTGACCAGCCTCAAAGCCCTCCAAACCCTGCGGCCAACACTGCGATCAGTAATAATAGTTAAAGGACTAACACGACTTAGTGATCTGTTCATCCGTTGTGGTGCTGATAAGGTAAATTTTAACTCCATTATTTTTATCTCAATTAAAATACAATGAAGTATCAGTTTTTAATATATAATCCAGTGAAAGGACAAGTAAAAAAATGTAGGACTGAAATGTACTGTGGTATTAAAAGAGAGTCACTAAAATTTGTGTGTACACACTTTACATCTGTTACAGGTACAGTACAGCTACAGGTCATACAATGTTTTTGATGGTTATTCAGTAACTAAATCAATTATATTCATTGAACTCTGTGGGATACATTATATAAATCCCAGTAACTGTCTTCCATCACAGCATTGCTGCAATTTTGGAACCTTGGTAATAAGCTGATCGTATTTTAGTTATTTCTTAACCAGAGAAATTGAAACATAAAATTTACTCACATTTTGCTATTTTTGTAGGAATTATACTTGATATGGGGGTGGATGTGATCTTGGATACATCACTGTGGAAAAGTGGATAGACTGATGGTTATTAGTGTGTCTGTCATCAGTTTTTCATTACTCTCTACTGCTCTCTACACAACTATTGAAAATTATTTTTGCCAAACTTGGTAGTCAGGTCAGAGGGTAAGATGTCATCTTACCCTCTGACCTGACTACCGACTGCTGCGGTGTTTTTTGAAGATTAGTAGGGTCATTACCTAATACCTGACCATTGTGGACTTGATCTCACCCTCCTCTGTATATATATACCTTGTTATGTACTTCTCCTTAGTCTGTACTCACCCCTGAAGATGTGAATTACACGAAAGCGCTTGGGAACTTCGTGTTTTCTTTTTCCTTGTAGTTATCAGTATATATATATATATATATATATATATATATATATATATATATATATATATATATATATATATATATATATATATATATATATATATATATATATATATATATATATACTGTATATATATATATTATTTTTCCATTTGTTATAGTGCCTTTTTAGTTTTTCCACTAATGTATTGTAAACTAACTAACAGTGTTTATACTGTATATCAGGCAGGAGAGTTTGCATGGGAGCAACTGCAGGAAGCTGTGTTGGCTCACAACTCATTGTACAGTTTAGACCACAGCCTTAGTCTCCTGCCAAACCTTAAGGTATGTTGCAAGAAATATGTAAGTACTTACTGTATCTTGTACTACTATTGTGGGGATTATTTGAAATTGTATTACATTTGAATTTTTTGTATATTCTGTCATTCAGTATGGTATTTGCTTGCTTCTCTGTTGGTCTGTACTGTTTATAAAGCTAAACGCTTGAGCACTGATGAAATTTGGTGGATTTTTCTTGATAAGATTTGAAGGGATTATGTCTCATTGGTTATTTATGTTCTGTGATGTTTTTTTGGAGTAATTAGGGCATAGAAACTGTCATAATTTATATTATGAATTAATGGTTATATGGCTAACCCTTGCAAGCATAGAAAATGTACATAAAACGTTTATGATGATGATGATGATGATTATTACAGTATTATTATTGAGACCAAACTATTTTTGGTACTTAAGCTTTCAATTACAGTTCACACGTATTACAGTGTTTAGGTACATGTATATATTTTCTGGCAATTTGTATGATAGCGCCTTTAGTAGAAATTTGAGGTTTATGGTGCTAATACTGTATATGTTTTTGTTTGAACAGATACTAGACTTAAGCCATTGTGAACTGGAGGATGCCTCAGCTCTGGAGTACCTCCCTACTGTGTCGTTATTAGACCTGAGCCACAACCAACTACGACTCCTTCCCCGTCTCTCTCCTACTGCTACCTACTCTCTTATAGTTCTCATAGCCAATAACAATCTTTTTTCTCACATAAGTGGTGCGTATATATTTTGTTGTAGTTTTGGGTTGCTTAACAGCCATTTACATTACTCTTTTAAGAATGGACATCATATACAGTAGTATTTTAAGATGAAGTGTTACAACAGTTTTATATTCTGTAAGGATGCTACTTATTTTTCCTTATTTAGGTTTACATGAAATGAATAACATTGAGGAGCTGGATCTGAGGGACAATGTATTAAGTTTGAAGGAAGCATTGTCACCCATTGGTGCCTTACCTCATATTAGAGTGCTCAAGATAAGTGGTAACCCTATCACATGGGACCTCAACTACAGAAGTCAAATTATCAGACAGCTAAATCCTGCTACTGCCAATCATAAGGTACTATATATGTTGACTTAGTTATGAAATTATTTTCACCATTAACTTTACTAATGTAACACTTGTCCTATGTGCAGCTTTATGTTTGATAGAGAGAAACTTATTCATGTATGTGTTAGAACTTGACAACTTGTTAAATATTTGGTCATTTTCTTAGGACACAAAATCATAATAGTCCTTGTGATGTATCATTAACTTGTCCAACTTAACTCTCTTTCATCTTTTATGGTTAAATTTTTTAACTCACTGTGTTTCTTCAATAAATGTTTATTATCACTTTTTTTACTGCTCATTTAAGATAATGTTGTTTGCAGGTTGTGTTTGATGATGTGCCTCTAACAGGTCAAGAATATGATGAGGTTGGGATGCATGCAGTGCCAGCAGGATCCTCTTACTCCCCAGAACTTCTTTCATCTCTTTCATCCCTCTCCTCCCTTTGTTCTCCAGTGAATCCAATAAGTCCAGCACATGGACTAATCTCACAGCCTCTGTATTCACCTGAAGAGGCAGATCTGATTCAGCTAGATCCAGTAGACTCCCAACCAGCAAGTTTAGTTAATGATTCAGCTCCTGTATCACTCAAAAACTCAGGTTTGGTTGTGTTCTGCTCTTGGCATTTAGATTGTATATCATCTGGGTATTTAAGAATTGTCTGTTATGTTTTACTTTTGCATGATTTTTAAGTGGTGATGAATTCTTTTAAATCCTTTACACATAAAGATGGTGCATCACAACCACTCTAGATATTAACAGTAGTGTATAGTGTTATGTGAGTGAAATGATGTACAAAATTTCAATTTGAATACATAAGAATTTATGTATTTCCTTATTATTACTTATGGTAAGGAATCATACTCATATATACAAGAGGCTGTTATAATTTTATAATCACCACCAACCTGATAACTGACTGAAGTATTAATTTATGCTCATTCATCCCTCTGGTAATAAACATCACCCTTGGCTGTGAAACTTTCTTATATTTGACGTAGATTTTTGGTGCTTAATGCAAATACTTCTCTGTTACCGTCTAGTAGAAGTTTTCATGCTAAAAATTTTATAATTGTTGCCCATGCTTGGAAGGCAAGGACAGCTGCCAGTGTGTCCCTTTTTAATATTCATCATACCTGAATGTCATCAAACTTATGTCAAGTAGAGTATGCAAAGGAAACCATTGCCTCTATTTTCATGTACAGTGCTTCTCTTGGGGGTACATGATAACAAATTTTAATTATCTCGATGAGCATGGTTTATATGGAAGATTCTCCTCTCAGATTCAGAAGAGCTAACTCTTAACTATGTTGGATTAAAACTTAATAAAGTTTACCTTTGAAGTATTTTAAGAGCAGACGAATGTCAACTGTCTTTTGATTTATTTTTAGTTCATTTTTGATAGCATGAAACACTGATGTCTATGTTTCCCATTTATTAGTGTAAAGTACAGTAGTTCCAAACATGTGAAAAAATATGTAGGGTGGTTTTGTGTGGAAATTGGAGATTTTGACCAACATTATTTCACCCACTGGTGTGTGACTGATCCCTTTCAGTAAAGTGATAACACTATTCTTTCATGTCTATCAAAACGTTCTGGGTGTTTAAAAAATGATGTGAAGTTCTTTTCAGCTGGTTTTTGTATTGAGTTATTACATGCAGCAGTCATTTTTGCTTTAAAATATCAAGCTTATTTGTGTTTACATATGGTACAGGGATGCTTTACTTCACACTTTCTCATACCTTTAAGTAAAAATCCAACAAAGTGCATATAATGAACCTAAAATTTAAGTATTTTCATGGAGAGGTATATTTTCAGACCCAGCAGGGCAGGGCTTGTCAATCTCATTGTGATATTTTTCTAATAAGAAATGGCTTGATAGGTCCCTGTGGGTATGTGAAGTCAGCCCTCCAACATGGTTTTACATTGTTAACATATTTGGCATGTATTTGAAGGTTGAGATGTACCATATGTGAGACTCAGAATGGTTGAATACTGTAATGGCTTTTCTTTGTACTGTAATTAAAAGTGATGAATTTTGTCCATATTCACTAAAAAGGATTAATACCTATTAAAAATATTTGCTAGTGGCTACCATGTTTGAAACATACAATAATCTCACTACCCAGGCAATGGACAACCCCGCAGAAAATCAAAGAAGAAACGCACTCGACATATAGCCATCACAGATCCTGATAATGAGGATATGGACAATGACAGTATACATTTGGCAGACAGTGACATGTTGGAAAGAATGGGTAAGTCTTTAACAGTCATGCTGGGTGGAAAATCCAAAAGTAACTATTGGTTTATTTGGGATTTGAAGACCTGGCTAGTATGTTCATTAGACTCTTTATTTCAGATCAAAACTGTGCTATTAATTTATTGTTTGATGTGGTGGGCAGCTATGTACCACAATTTTAATATGTAGTTTAGAAAGGAATAAGGATTAAGAAAACAACCAGTGGCATATACAGGAAAAGATACAGTCATACTGAATATAAATGATGATTGATGACTTAAGCTATTCAAGGACATACTGTAGATACGAGTAAAATGAGGCACAAGAAATGGTAAGTTAAGAGTTACTTAGAGGAAACCTTGCAAAACAGTGGACATGTTGATGAAATAAGATTACATATGGTTTTGGAGAGATGGTCAGTGGAGTTTAGAGACCTATGAGTTAGGGGCTTTTAAATGATAAAGGACTTCCAGAAATTAGGTAGTTTAAGAGAACTTAAATATTTGCAAAGATGGATATTCAAAATTAATTTGAAAAAATGGGAATTGCATTTAGCTAGAAATATTCAATGCCATGATATATACAGATAATTAAATAGACTCCTGCAGAATAAATTAAATTGTGCTATTACAGTATGCATCGAGTTGTTGGAGCTAAGAAAATGTATTTTATTTGAAGGTGTACCCGACCCCCCACCACCTAGTTTGGCAGCTGGTCCAACCTTCACTCTTCCCACCTCAGAAAGTTTCACTCAGGCTCTCAATGCCCACACCCTCAAGACAGACATGAGGTAAGTTACTGCCAGGTAATGAGTTATTTTTTTGTGTTTTGTGTACAGTTCATGGACTATGAGGAATAAAATGAGAAAGCAAATTTTTTTCTGTGTGACATGTCACTTATGAATGTAACTTAAATATGGATTTTTTTATTTGGAATTTGTCACTGTAGCAGGAACATTTTCCATAGCAATAGTTTGTTCTTCAATATTTGTTAAAGATGTTAATAATTAAAAATGCAAAAACATTTTTTATTCAGAAATCCTGCTCCTGAGCAAAGTGACAGATTACTTGAGGAAATTCTTCAGTCCAAACCCCACTCTGGGACCCCAGGTGCTCAATGTGATATGACCAATCTAGTCAACATGGCCACAAATGAAACCAGCAACCAGGATGAAATAGTAAACACAAATAAGGAAGATGTGGTTGTAGGCATTCCTTCAGATCAAAATGATAAGGAAAGCTCTCCAGAAGAGAACCCCTCCACTAGTGATATAACTGAGGCAAAGACAAGTGATGAGCCAAGCATGGAGTCCAGCATGGAGTCCAGTTTCTATAAGGGAAGCTCAAACATTTCTCGGAGATCATCTACTGATATGTCACCACCACATAGCGATAGTGACGGTATGTTAAACTTAATTTTTGAGGCAAATGAGTTATATATATATATATATATATATATATATATATATATATATATATATATATATATATATATATATATATATATATATATATATATATATATATATATATATATATATATATATATATATATATATATATATATATATATATATATATATATATATATATATATATATATATATATATATATATGCAAGTAAATCACTGTAGGTGTGATCTAGGTATATGATAACCACAAGGAAAGAAGAAAACACGAAGTTCCCAAGCGCTTTCGTGTAATTCACATCTTCAGGGGTGAGTACAGACTAGAGAGAGTAATACAAATCAAGGTGTATATATACAGAGGAGGGTGAGACCAGGTCCACAATGGTCAGGTATTAGGTAATGACCCTACTAATCTTTAAATAGCACACAACGGTTGGTGGTCAGGTCAGATGGTCAAGTGACCTGGCCTTCTCACCTGATCACAAATCTTCTTAATTACAAAATTGTCCAGCTTGTACATGCCGTTACTCAAATTCATGTTGAATGCTTCGGTATGTTTAATAAGACTAGATTCTATGATGTTCCTACTGTCAATTGACTTACATGGTAATATTGAGGAGGCATTATCCCAGTCAATGCAATGCTTGTTATCCCTCAAATGAACAAACAGAGCATTGGATTCCTGGCCTGTCCTAACACTGTATTTGTGTTGTTTAATTCTAGTTGCAAGATCTTTACCTGTCTGGCCTAAGTAAAACATATTACATTCCTTGCAAGGAACTTTATAAATGCAACCAATTGTGTTGTTGGGGGAGTTCTTGATTAACATTTGTTTAACAGTGCATGAGTTTTTAAATGCCACATTGACGTTCCAGGTTTTTAGCTGTGCAGGAATGTGTGAGAAATTTTTGTGAAATGGTGTATATATACACCTTGATTTGTATTACTCTCTCTAGTCTGTACTCACCCCTGAAGATGTGAATTACACGAAAGCGCTTGGGAACTTCGTGTTTTCTTCTTTCCTTGTGGTTATCAGCATATACAGTGACCCCTCCGTTAACGAACTCAATCCGTTCCAGAAGGTCGTTCGTTAACCGAAACCATTGTTTCAATGGGTTTTGGGTAATTGGTTCCAGCTCACCGAAAATTTCCTAAATTCAACAAAAATGGTAGAAAAGTTCACTTACTTTGAGGTGTGTATGTAGAAGGCTCCTGGATGATGATGATGATGATGATGATGGGATTTAGAATGGGGGTGGAGGAGAAGGAAGAAGAGAAGGCATTGAGGTGGAAGAGAAGTCACCCCATGGCGCCATTTCACCCATAAAATTTTAGCTCTCTGGTGTAATTCAAGATTATTTTCTTTAAATCAACACTGCACTGCATTATATATTGTCAATATGTAAAATATATTTCAAAATGACCAATAATTTGCTTGGAAACACAGAAAAAAAGCGTTTAGTTGAAGAGAGTCTCAAGCAAGATGTTACCTCAGTGAAAACAGGAGAGACTAACTCCTGTTTGCTGTGTTAAGAGGCTGGATGCCGCGCATTAAACTAGTCACTTTACCTTCAATTATGTTCAATAATTGCTAAAATGACTAAAAAATTGAATATAAAACTTTTAAAATTATTGAATAGTATAAACTTCTTGATATTTACTAAAATAGTAAGGAATTTAAGCCCTAGCACCGATTAATGTATTGGCGGACTGATACTAAAGCTGGTTGCCCGGTCAGTGCAAGCAAAAACATGTTGAGGTCGGTTCGTAAGAACTTCGTTAACCGAATTTTTTTTCGTTAACCGAATTGAAGATCCTTATGGAAGGCAGTTCGTTAATCGAAATTACGTTAACCGAGGTGTTCGTTAAACGAGGGGTCACTGTATATATATATATATATATATATATATATATATATATATATATATATATATATATATATATATATATATATATATATATATATATATATATATATATATATATATACACACTCAGGTATTTAGATAATTTTCTATACAGTTGGAAATTTATTCTTTGGTTAATATTTGACCCACCCCTTCACGTGTAATCACATAATGCTTAAATCATCAAAAGATAAACGCCCGTATTATTAAACAACATCTTCCCTTTAAGAGGGTCGTCGTGTTTCAACCCGAGTTTTAAACTAAATGAGTCCTGAGGGACACTGCAGTATAGTACTTAGTGGGGTGGTGTGGCAGTAAAATTAAATAATTCCAATATAAATTAAATTTATTTGAATTATTTAATTTTACCGCCACACCACCCCGTTAAGTACTGTACAGGTACTGCGGTGTCCCTCAGGACTCATTTAGTTTAAAAGAAGGGTTGAAACACGACGACCCTCTTAAAGGGAAGATGTTGTTTAATAATACAGGAGAAAGTCTTTGCTCTTTATTTATTGTTAATATATTTTAATGTCAAAATGTAGCTAGTACTTGTCATAATGTTATACAGTACACAGTTCTTAATTGATAAAGGAGGTAATTAATGAAAACATTTTTTAATCATATAGATGTGCAGCACACATAACAGGAAGCTAATACAGCTGTACCACAATGCTATTTTGTAATTGTTTTAATATTTTTAATGGATGTTAAGATAGAAGGCCCAGAGAGGAGTTAAAGAACATGAGCAAAGGGTTTTAGGCTAACCTATAAATTATTAGACAAAAATAACATATTGCAGTGACCGTAATATGAAATTAATATATATACTGTACAGTGGTCCCTCCATTAACGAGCACAATTGGTTCCACAGAGTCACTTTTTAACTGAATCTCGTTAACTGAATCTATTATTTCAATTGGATATTGGGTAATTGGTTCCAACTCACAGAATTCCCTTAAAATGAGTTAAAAAGTACATACAAAGTACTGTATACTGGTAATAGAATCAACAAAATTTTAAATATAAACAAAATACAGTACTGTACAGTATATAGTACAATAAAAAATATAAAACAATAAAATATTTTAACACTTAATTTGAGGTGTGTATATACTGTAGAATTCCCGGCAGCTTTGTTTACATAGCGGCAGCGCAACAGCTGATTGTAGATACAATCGATGATGACATGCCATATTCTTTACAGAGTGCATTAGTTCTAATGCCTTTTTCGCATTTCTGAATAATTTCTTGTTTCATTTGAATTGAAATTGCCTTCCGAGACTTCTTCGGACCCATGCTTGATAATTTCACCAATAAAATTTTAAGTTCACAACAATTTATTTAACTAATTCTAGATTTGTTTTTATTTAAACCAACACTGCACTGTATATTATCAATATGTTAACTAAATTTCAGAATGACCAATAATTTTAATGTAAGATGCAAAAATATTCAAGAGTATAACTTTCTCGATGTTTACTCTACTGGAAACAAAGGTAAACATAGAAACGATAATTAATTATTGGTGGACGAGTCGATCAGCCGATGCGCACACCAAAACGTGTTTCTCGTAAGGCTGTCGTTAATAGAACTGAAAGTCCTTACGGGGGGTTTATTGTTTACTAAGATCTCATAAATTGAACCGCTCGTTAATGGAGGGTCCACTCTACATGCAGATATGTGTAAAGCTTAATAAGGGTTGAGTTGATAATTTTTCTGTAACTATCATATACAGTACATTACATTTTAAGGGGAATAGTTTGATTGAGGCGATATATTAGATAAAACTGTCAGCTTGATCAGCAACTTGTTAGAAATGAAAGTTCTTATTTATATGTCATTGACTTGCCAAACAGATGAGAAGGATAAAGTCCTTGCCCAAAGAGAGATGGAAGACCAAGGAGGTGAGGAAGGTGATGCTCAAGATGGTAAAAGCCTGCATGATGTTATCCTAGCAGTCACGCCTTTGTACTTCAAGGAAAAGCATAGCATTACAACGGCGACTCTATTTAGGGTACGTTCCCAATTTTATAATTTTATTAGCAGTGCTTGAAAACTTGTAATGGAAGTAAATTCTTATTAATTGTAATATAATTTTGTTCATTACAATAAACCCCCTTAATTCGTACCCCTCAAATTCAAAATCACTCATCATTCGTAATGTTTTGCTGATACAAAATATACTGTATATTACAATTTTCATAATACTGAACCTGTATTTGGTTACATTCAAAGTGTGAGGGACATTTAAAAATATTGCAATGTATTTGTTACAATTTTCATAATATTTGGTAAAATTTGGGATTATGAGAAATATTTACTAATATGTATTGCGTACATATTGCCATGGGATGCAGCTGCCCGCCTCTGTGTAAACAAGTATAGTATATGCATGTTGGACCACTTGGTCAGTTGTGGAGTGTACATCTACGGGCTACCGTGCAAGATTTTTCCACCTTTTTCCCATAATTTTCCAGTGTTTGAGCCATTAAGTTTGACAACCCTGTCAAGTCAAGAGGCAAATACAAGAGCTTAAACATAAAAGATAACATTTTAATTTTAATTTGACAGATAATGGAAAATTACCTTTTTTTTTTCCTTGGGAGAAGGTGTCCTTCAAATTTTGTGTAATCTTATAATTCGTAAGGGCTAGAGCCCATATTATTTTGAATTATGGGATTTTACTCTAGATATTGACATTTAATTGTTGTTTGTGTAATTCATCTTAAACTGTTGTGGGTCTTATTTGAACTTTAATCTTATCTTGACAAATTCACATGAAAATTCTTGTATTATTCATCATGATTTAAGAACTTTTCTATTTGAATTGAAGATTTGTACAGTAAGGCAGTCAGGTACTGCTTAACGAGCAATATGTGTTCCTGTATGAGTGCTTTTTAGGTGAATTCTAGTTGAACAGGACCCATTTTTCCACAGACTCCAATGTTAAAAGCTGAGATTCACTCTAGTTCAAAGATTAAGCTTTGTTTTAATACTATTTATTAGGGTACTTAGCAGAACTGAAGGTTAATGCTGTTTGTGTTGGCCTAGGATTGTTGGTTGAAGGTATAGATGGTTATTGGTTGTAGAGGACAGAGGCTTCTACTTCTGTTTCTACATGATCACCAGATAACTCAGAGGAATATTGCACTGGTTTTGCATCTGATTCAAGAACCCGACAGCCTTTCCACATTTTCCATCATGTTATTGCAGTGCTCAGGATCATGGGTTTTAGATTTTGTTCTGTCCTTAATTTTATCAGCTTGTTTGCTGATTTTACACACTGTTGATGATACTAACCTGAGAGCTCTACAGGTAACCTTCACTTCTTCACCAGAGTTCATTCTCTGCAGTGCATCCAGTTTTGTCTCCAGGATGATGGTCTTCCTCTTCATCCTAGGAGTGGTACTGCTCATAGTGCTAGATGTCTTCTTTGGACTCACTGTTGTTGGGTTTTATTGTAAAAACAATAAGAAGCAAGCTAACAAAGGCAGAGAACATGATAAATGGACATTGCCAAGTTGTCTAAGCTCACTGACTAGCCAGGTTGAGTTTAGTCTTCCATTGACTTCACCTTAAAGTACAGTATAGAAAATGAGTCTATGAATGTTTTTGCTTGGCTGGCTGCTAAGCCAGTGACAAGGCATGACTGATCCGACTTTACGAATGATACTGTGAGCTGGATTGCTCAGAATTTTTCTTGTTAAAATGAACACAAGCTCATTTGTTACATTTTCATACCCTTAAACACTACACTCTTTAAACCAAATTATTGTTAATCAGGTACACTGCCCCCTCGCTTAACACAGATTTGTTCAGTGTGGATTTGCTCGAAGACAATTCTTTATTACTACCTGGTATTGCTAAACACATGGAAAAAGATTTGCTCTAATGCGGGTTGAGACAGGTTAACACGGGTCAAGTCCATTACTGTTCACGTGTGGCATCCCCACGTCTCGTGGCTCAGAGTTTTGTTAGTGCTAGTTGTCATCACCATGGCTCTGCCTAAACATTCTCCAAGTGCCCCTCTGCCTAGGGACACTCCAATAAAGAAGAGTAGGACCACATTTACCTTAGAGAGTAAATTAGACATTCTTCATTGACTAGAGCGAGGCCAATCCACCGCTTCTGTTGGACATTAATGTCCTACCAACACACTACACCATCATCATTCTTCATACCCTTCATACATGAGTGCAGTATACTGTATTTATTATTCTTATTTAAATGCTTATTCATCATGCTTAAGCAAGACATTCTTATGGCTAGAGAGAAGCCAGTCCGCCCACTCTGTCGGAGTTACATGCACATAATCCCACATACAGAATGTGCCAAAAAAAAGGTCATCATCATTAGGTCAAAAACATAAAGTGAATGTAGACATTTTTTTGTGTGCCACTGAGATTTAGTGGGAGGTATTTTATGGTTATTTTTTCAACTTGTAATTTGAAGTAGATAAACTTAACTTTCTTCATTTTTTTTATTATTTTTTTTTATTCAGTTACATGCGCACACAATCCTACAGACAAAATGTGAAAAACAACAACTAATCATCACTAGGTAAAAAACAAAATGATTAAACATAGCTTTTTGTGCCAATGGGAGGAGGAATGTTGCTAAGGAAAGTCCTTAGCTGGGCCGGGCTGCTATGGTGAGGCATTAGGGAGGCCACGCGTGACTCAGCCAGCGTCTGCAAATGGCCGTGGTGTTAAACTTTCTGGAACTGATTTCATGGGCATGCCAGTGCCTCCACAACTTCATGCTTAGCTGAATTTGGTAGATGTACTGTACTGTATGTTTATTAATGAGCTATTTTAGTGCTGTATGATGTTTTTGAACTTTGGTTTTGGGGTGTTTTTAGTGTGGGGGGGGGGGGAGACTTTTTAGGGTTCACCTGGCGCATCCCCTAACTCCCCATGTTATAATGGGTTCGCTCTACACGGCATTTTCTGGAAATGCAACCCTGTGTTAAGCAAGGGATCAGTGTACTCATTCAGCAGGACCTTACTGTATAAAGTTTCCTGAATACCTCATATCATACAATAAAAGATGTATCTCCATAATTAAAATCTTCTATTTTTCTCAGTGGGAGCTTAGATGTGTAGAGAGTGTAGAGTTGTTGTCAATGTCACCCCACAAGATTCTGATCACATTTGACACAATAAGACCTGCATATAGGACAAGAACATACATCCTTGATCCTCCTGATCACCAGGTATAGTATTACAGTTGTTTTTATCTGTGAAATGAAGTCTTTTTGTGTACTGATATTTGGAAGGGTTATGTGTACATTCTCTCCAAAAAGTCCCTACCTGTATATGATTTTGTGTGAGACAATATGACACAAATGATTAAAGATTTTGACAACCCTACTGAGACAACAGAAATCGTGGTGTTCATTTTGAAATTTATTGGACCTCTCTGTAAAGATACTTTTTGGAGCGAGTGTACATTACATACTTGACTGAGGTATCTGTGAACTGTACTAATTTTTTTAGTCACTTTTCTACTCATCCGGAGATGATAAATGAAAATGAACTTATAAGTTGTGAACAATGTACCTACAGTACTAAGAAATTTGCTTTTAAATTTTGTACTGAGAACTGTTTAGAAATGTCCTGGTTTTGATGGATATGTCTTATGGAATGCAGACCACTAAGATGTTGAAGAAACATAATACTGTACCACCATCATATAGAAAGACTAGAGTTTCACAGAAAATTTACATATCCTTTGTTGAATGTTGAGATGGTATGTAAAGGTACTTCTCATCATGCTGATTAAGGATCTGGTGTCAAAAAGTTATAATATTGCTAATGAGTTTAGTTACTGACCCTTGAAATGAACTACACATTTTTCATAAATTATTTTTTTCCAGAAGGGACACGTTTTGCCTTGGGTTTGAAAATTTAAACCAGTTCCCATATATTCTTGAGATTAGTACGCATTTTATGATCAAATTTTTATGCAAGAAGTAGGAAGTCATACTGAATATGCGTAATGTTTTTTAGAAGTTAAAAGTCATGCATTTTTGTGGGTCATTTATGGTGAATGATAGCTACCCACATGCTCGTGGGAGGCTAACCTTACTAGCAAGCTTCTTTATCCTGGGATTGCCAACCGTACCCCTAGATTCTTTATGTTGTTTCTTGAAGAGCAGACTCTCATTATATACTGCTTTAAATCTTCAATTACTTGGTACAAATGAAGATTTTGAGATAATTTTCCTTTCATTTGCATCTGTTTACATCGCTAGGAAATTTTCAACCATTTCCCACTTTTGAGGAATTCTTATTTTCCAACTCGTTATCTCAGTTAGATATATTTTTTTTCTCATTTACATGCACACACATCCTATTTACAGAATGTGCAAAAAATTAATTAAATTATTATTGTAAGGTAAAAAACATAAGGGAATAAACATTTCTTTCGATGTGAGTGTTAGTATGCTGAGCGGGGGAAGGGAGGGGTCAGTGAAGTGTGGGAGCACATTTGCTAGGGATGGGCAGCGTAGTTTCATTTCTAAGGCAAACATGAATGCCAAGCCTTGCAATCTCGTGATATGAAGAGGACATGAAAGTCATCTGGCACTTGAGAAGGAAGTGATAAGCTGTGCTTCATTGCCCATTGTCTCATAAATTTGGGTGATGTTAGTTATGTAATTAATACATGCCATTAGCCCACATCTATATAATTCTTACTACAGGTTGACAATCCCTTATCCGAAATCCTTGGAACCAGAGGCATTTCGGATTTTGGAATTTTTTGGTTTTCAGAATGTTTATTTATTTATTTTATTTTTTTAGCCCACCTGGGCACAAATCACTGACCACATTGGGGCCTGGGGGGCGAAAATATAATAAAAATTATAATAATAATAATTCATAGGATTAGGTCGTGTTTCTTACTTTTTATCTTTTTTCATTCTTGTATATTTCTTTATTATTATTATTATTATTATTATTATTTTATTAATACAGTATTATTATTATTATTATTATAAATTTTATTATTATTATTATTGTTATCATTATTATTTTATTTTGGTTTATTTTTTAATTAAAAAATTTATTTACTATGAATAATTAGTACTATTATAATTATTATAATTAGTATTACTATTACATTTTCGCCCCGATGTGGGTCAGTGATCTATGCCTGGGTGGGCTAATCCCTGTTTAAAAAAAAAAAAAAAAATTGCTCCACAAAAACTTTAGGTTTTTGGAATTGCGGATAAAGGGTTGTCAACCTATAATAATAATGGTTGCCCCTCGTGTAACGAGGATGGCCGGCCCAAGGGCCACCTACCGGTAGGCGTGAGTTCGTATAAGGTGTCACTAACACAACAACCCCAATAAATCGGACAGAAGCTACTACAGTGAGTTCTGCTATAACGCGTGTTTTGATAACGCGAATTTGCTCTAACGCGATTTATGAATTCGGAACAATATTTGTATAACGCGATCGCTTGTTTGCTATAACGCGATTTTTGCTTACTATTTCTCCAATTTTGTGGTATTAACTGTGAATATGGTAAAGAAGAATATCTCCAAAAAGCATTCTGATGATAGAATTCCCGGTGATTATCGTAAAAGAAAGGATATAACACTTGAAGAGAAGCTTGATGTTATCAACCTCAAAATCACCCTTCTCCCCCATCAAGTTACATTCATATTTTTTCAAGGTAAAGTGTTAAATTTACTGTATGATTTCATTATTAGATATGAATGTAACATTTATTTAGACTGTGCTATCCTTTGTGTTAGGCTAACTACTAAATTTTTTCGATTTCGAGTAATCTGCACCTAACCCTATTTTCTCCATAAGCCCTGTTATTTCTATTACGCGATTTTCTATAACACGATATTTTACAAGAACACAATTATCGCGTTATAGCAGAACTACCTGTACATGCCTTTCAGATATAATACTTAATACTCTGCTTATAACATACTAGCCAAGGTTTAGAGAAAACATGTATTCTCTAGACCTTGGTACTAGCATAGGCTAAATAAATATATAATTTAATGTTTATAGACTGCAAAAAAATCATGACAGCAAACAACCACAATGCTGTACAATGTGAGAGCTTATATTAGAGGACGAGAGGTTTTGCTACCTCCATGCCCATTGATAACCAATTGATGTGAATTGCAAACATGATACTTGTTGCTTTCCTGCATGGCAGCTTACACCTCCCTCCAACATTCAACTACAAAATGTTCTTATCTAATGATAATGGTCATTTAAAAACTTGTGAATGAAGAAAGTAAAGCTGACACTCCTTCACAAGAAGCTGTGTACAGGTATAGTATTTTGCTGCTGCCTTGAAGTATATAAAAGCTGTACAAAATTGTTTTGGGGTGCATTTAATTTCGAACATGCAGTAGGCTACATTGTGTTATAACACTCCTATTTTTATGTTGTAGCTGAAATAATATAGGCTTACCTTTTGAACATGGCAGTTGTAATGTTGGTAGTGCTCCAATCTACAAGTCTTTGGTACTGGTTGTCCAAGCAGTTTATATTTCAAGTTCTCTTCAAAAGTACTCGACGCGAAATGCAAGCTGCATATGTCGTCATTTTCAGCATTTATAGTCTTTCCTCTTCACAAGTGAATCCATCCTTTTCTCACTTATTTATCCTTTGGAAACTGATGGAAGTTATATCATCCCTGTTTCTAATTTGTGATAAACATCCCAAAATTGAGCAAGTGTTGCCATGTTTGTTGTTGAATTTGTATGGGCACAAGTGACATCACAAGATCCAAGAGGTTCATTTTTCTTTGGTGTGTGAGCAGACCTTATATTCTATAGGCCATGTTTACAATGAAATATCTGGTGAAGCCACCAGGAATTAAAGTTATGTAAGGGTTGGTAGATTTTTTCAGCAATTCGCCCTGTGGGCTAACTGATGATTTTGGAAAGTTTTGACTCCTGCATTATTACTGTTTACTGTATGTATATGCTTTTGATATTGTTGCTTGTATGCCTAAAATTTAAGTATTGATGCTACAGTCTACATTTAAAGCCTCTTTTTGGGGTGAATCTAGCAAAATTTATAAGTACCGTAGAGTTGATAACTGGCGGGACTTCAGTTTTAGAATTGGTAACACTGTTCATAGTGTCAGCTGTTGTAGTGGTGATCAAAGTCAAGACACATTGGTGAGATTCTGGTGTTTTGCTATAAAATATGTTTAGGATTATACCTAGTATTTCTGAAGTAAATGAAAAAATCAGGGGTTGGATTACACACGAGATAGGCATCTACACAAGTATATACAGTAGTTTCTTTATTCCAGAATTACAAAAAAAATGGTTTGAGGGCTTGCAAGAAACAGATGAAACCTTGATACTGAATGTTATCTTACTGAAAGTGCAAAACAATGTTCTTACAATGATTACAATTTTATTTCACTTTTAGACACCTGGCATTATCTCAAACTGTTTCAAACTAAGCTTGCTCTATACAAGGTAGATTTAATTTTGAAGATTTAAGGTCTCATAAATACAGTACACTATACCTAAAACTTTGATTTCTTATATTGTTTCTGTTTGGTCAGGATTTATCATGCCACCATCTTTAGATCAAGTTTATAATTTTATTTTTTCCCATGATTGCAGTGTTAATTTTTTCTCTCTCTATTCTGTGCAGAGTTTAATGAAGATATTGACTCCAGTCTTAGAGAGGAATGCACTTCAGGAGATGCTTCATTCTGCCATGAAGTGTGTTAAATGTGACGCTCAATTTTCTCGAGACTTGGCAGTACAGTCTGATGGTTGGTTAATTTACTTTTTTTTATGTTTGAGTATCATTACTTATTATGTGCTTGGCTTTGTTTAAGATTCACTAGAAAATTGTGAGGCTTATTTTATATAATTTCAGAATTTAACTGAAGTATCAAAGGTCAAATTTATTAAAATTAAAAAAATATATACAGTATTTTCAGAGGCCTATTACAAAACTGTCATCTCTTATAGAGGAACTCAGGCTCTTGTACATCTCAAGGCAGGCGGATTGTACAGGGTCTAAGGTCACTTCTTGGGAAATACATATTTCAGTCTAGTATATGAGTTCCTGAGCTCTGTATTAGAGTATGGCACCACTTGCCCTTACCATTTTCTGCCCTAGATATAGGTTCCTATTTTCATTGATGCTTTTCAAGGAAAACGTGGGAGAGGAGGAAAAGTGAGAGAGAGATAAAAGGACAAAATCTCTGGAATTGATATTAATTATGCTGTCTCCCTCAACAGTCATTCATGCTCATACTTGTGTCTCACATATACATTATTTACTCATTCTTTCATCGGGTCATTTAGATACACTGTTGAAGTAATTTAATTTTAACTTCATTTTTTACACTATCTGTCTTTTCTTCATAATTAGTATTGTATATCACAATACCCCATTAGCTATTATTGGTTGAACAATGTGTTTGAGTAAATTTATAATAATTCTGGTTGTCATATTTGTTGTCGGCCTTTGTGTGTCAGGACTAATAGGAGATATTGTAATATATTGAAAAGTAATTTGTTTCTATAGTAAGAATGCATTTTGTTATTTTCTCCCCATATTTGTTTAGTATCTCAGAATATAATATTTTAAACAGGCTCAAACACACTCAAGTGCCCCAACTGTGGTGGAGGTGTGGTGGTGCGGGTTGAGAGGGTGGATCATCCTGCTGTGTCCTCTTCAGCTATGTATGAAGCAAGTGGTCCATTTTGTAGCACTCCTCTAGACCAAACATTGGTGAATAAATCAGGTGCTCTTGCCAGTGCTCCTCCAGCAGGTAAAACAAAGAAAACAATTAAAAATTTTAGATAATTAGATGAAGCTCTAGAAAAAAGAATTTTATAATTTATTTTCAGATTGTAAGGTATTATATGTCTTGATCAGGTGTAGCAGCTTGTGACAAATGGTACAGTAGAAGCAGTACTTTCTGTCATGCTAGTTGGTAGTGTGTTTAGGCTATGAACCATATATGGAGTCTACTGTTACACTGAAGTCATATTTTAACACAAGCAAATCAAAACTGTAAGTTTTATGAAGGTGTCCCTGAGAATCTGTGTGGAAAACCAGTGGTTTTCTGGATTTAGAATAGTTGGGAGTCTGAAATACATCACTGAAGCCACAGACCAGGTCACAGGCACTTAAAGGATGTTTCTGCCACACTAGTGCAAAATTGGATCTCTAGGTAAGTTTTGTAAGAAATAAAAATATTTTATTTATTTGTTTTTGTTTTTACTCTTGGAATAGTGTATTTAAAAAAACCTGTCATTAATTTAGACAGCTTCTGGGGAAGATCATCTCCAAAACCCTATGCTCCCCACCCATTAATAGTTACAGTACGTACCTTTGCACCTATGTAGGTGTTGTCCTGGGTAAGTTTTCATTTGATCATGCCCTGTGGACTGTACCCCAAACCCTATATGGAAACTACCAAGTCATTTTTGAGTATAGTATCAGAAAATTCAAGTTTACTTTTAAATATGACTATTATTTCCACGGAAAGGTTTGGGAATTTGGTAATGGCTTTCAGACCCGACCTTACCTTAATCTGGAAAATAACTGGCCTTACTTACATGCCAGTATCTACAAGAAATAGTACAAGTCTTACTTTTTGAGACATAATGTTTTGGTTAAATTGTTGGAATGTTTGTTTGTAAAAATAAATTGCATGTTCTCATTAAGTGTTATTCATTCTTATTTATTAACTTTTTTTAATAATATAAAATTGAATGGTTTACATTCAACTCCAGTGAACCAAATATATCTGGCATTTATTCTTTTAGCATGAGATTTAAATTAAAGTCATTAAAATATTTTCCCATTGAAATTCTTTAATGTCTTAGGTATTTTTCTTTAATTTATTTGTTCGTTTTAATGTCTAGTGTTGTTATCCGTGTTTATTGTCATGTTTATATAGTATTTATTCTTGGGATTCTATTTTGATTATTTCTAGCTTCTCTTATTTGCATCTTTTTCTCTGCCAGCTTGATTATTGTGTTTTTTGTAAAGGTGAAAGGTCTTTGGTAATTGACTGGTCAGTCATAAGCACTGTCATCTTACCAGGAACAGATTCGGGTTCATGTTTGGGAGAGTCTAGTGAGAGTGTGAGCGTGTGCAGTGAGGCATCTTCCTGTGTGCGACGGGAATCTGATGTCGAGGTGATATCAAACCCATCTGTGTCTAGCATTGAAGTTCTCAATGATCAGCATGTTATTCATGGTTAGTAAATTGCTACATGTCTTAAAAGCATTAAAATATTATATAATATATGATAAATATGTAAATAAATTTAGGCATGGGAGCAGGTTTTCTGCCTGGAGCTTAATGCATCCCCCCTCTTAATCCAGGGACATGGGGCAAGTCACCCTACCCTACTTGTATAAAAATTTAAAAAAAGAAGCAAAAGCACATCACAGTAGGATGTTTGAATATGCTTAGATGTAGTCAGAGTGATAAGGAGAGAGATCGAGTGTAAAAAGGATGAGTACAAATAAACCTGTATTTTTTATTATTTTTTTTTGAGAGAGAAAGCAATGTTGAAGGGTAAAGTAGAAGAGAGGTTTAGAGAAGTGAAGAGAGTTAAGTTTGGAGTGTATAAGAACATAAGAATTAAAAAAGGTGTGGCAGTGTTATTCATTAGGGAAATGTGGAGTTGTGAGATTGACTAAAAAATGAGTTGATTACAGAAATTTATGGATGAGAGTGACAATAGGAGTAGAAGGGTGGAAGGAGGTACAGGTAGAGTGAAAGACTGAGAAGGAGAGGGAAGGATCAGGGGGAATGGCATACCAGAAGTGAGGGAAATGAACATACATGAAGCAACAGTGTGCATGGCTGAGTGGAGAACATGGCAACTAGTAAATTTGGGGGAAAACTGTGATACTGTAGGATTTGAATAGCTTGCATGAATTGGCAGCTAAACCAGGTTTTGGTTTTATTTTAGGAAGGGAAATACTATAACAGAACACATGAATTATAGGAATGAAAATAAATAAATGATGAAGAATGAATGGAAAATGATTGAATGTAAAGTATGAGCTGTCATTTCTGGCCATGCTGAATGAAACAAAGATACCTGTTACCATAACTCCTTGTGCACTCTAGTACCACCTCAACCAGTCCCCACCACCATTACTACCTCACTCATATTACCATCAGTACCACCATTACTATCATCACTCTGCAACATTGAACTCTGCATGTCATCTACCCATGAACTGTACCTACTGTGTTCAAAACCCTCAAAGTAATAGTAAAACATTAAATCATTTACTGATATAAACTTGACCATACTGTAATTGTTTATTCTTTTTTCATAATACATTATGAAGCCACAGTGAAAGCTTTTCAAATTCAGGTACATTATATGAAGAAAAAATCTTCATTGTGTGTGTTAACGGGAATACTGTATACTGAACAGGCATGGTAACATCATGATATTCATATATAGCAAGTTACGAATCACACTCTTGAGTCAGTGTATACATACAGTATTAATATACAGTATTTTATCAGATTTTATCGTCTTACAATACATGTATATCACAAACGGCAACTCCACTTTGGCAATGTGTGAAAATGTCCACAAGTCAATCACATGACATACAGACACCATCATTGCTCATGCCAGTCGTTACTTTGGGGGGACAGTACAGGGGTATTTATATTGCTCCCAGTACTTCACAATTTTTATGATGCTTCATCACACTGTCAGCTTTTCACAAGAATTCACAGGATCTTCTTGGGCATGACATGCATATACCAACTTTTTGATGATGTGTTTCTTTTTGTTATATCATTGCTAGTGACTGTACCTTTTTGCTTAATGGCACTGTTGCCACATCTACTTTTGTTATATAGTTGTGAACTTTTCACCACAACTTTGTTACCCCTAATCTAGTACAGGGTACTCAATGTTAAATATGTACATATCTCTTGTGTTATGAATTTTTTTTAAGTGTGAGTAGGATTCTGCACGAATTCTGTCCAAAACACCCCCTGTGTCTTAGAATTTGGGGGGGGGGGTTATATTCGTCAAAATATAGTGCAGGTATAGAGAATTTTAAGTATTAAATGTAGTATCTCAACCAGGGCAAAAAGAATTTGAAGGATCATTAACAGATATTATTTGCAAAGGAGAGGATGAAAAATCTAGTTTTCACTCTCGAATTTTGATGCAAGATAAAAGTTAAATCGCAGTACAATACAGTAGTAATTTTTTAATATCCAGTTTTTGTTTATACTATAATCACTCACTTTTATTTTAGTAGTCCGTATATAACCACCAGTTCCAAATATTTATCACTATTTGCTGCATCTGGCCATATTCCCAACACTTTATTATTATAGACCAAGTACTTGTGTGAATAGCTTGTTCATGTATACTCAGTCAACTAGATAATAATGAAGTTACTGTACTGTATATACTATACTATGAGACATAATTGTACACCAGATTTCATAATTTTTTATTATATATAGATTTTTCAGACTTAGCTCAAAATTAAGAGTTCATGACATTGTGTATATGAGTTAACTCTGAGTCAAGTTTAGGGATGTCAGCTTGTCACAAAAACTGTGATGTTTAATTTGTGATCCTGTGTCCTAATAGTGTGTGTGTGATATGTTATCCCAGAAGGTGAACCCTAAATTTTATGAATAGTTATACTCTACTAGTAACTGTGATTTGAGAGTTGCTTTATTTATATCAGTGTGTTATTGTTATGGTATTGCTAGATGTAGTTTCTTTATTCTTGTACAATATGTTTGACTCTTTTATTATTTTTTCTCTTGTTAACCTCCTTGTGCTTCCCTTTCTTTATGAAAATTGTGACTATTTACTCCTTCTCTTCTGTGTATTTCAAGTAAATCAAATATAACCCGACTGATACTGCATCATAACACAGGTGCAGAAAAGTAATGCCTTACAAGCAGTGTGTAGGTGAAGTATGTTTATGGATCATTGTATTGTGCATCACATCTTGTTTTGAACAAACTAAATTACTGTAATATTGAATGCTTGCTCTATTTTCCAAGACTATATATACAGTGATATCCTCTTTAGCCAGAATAGTTGGTGCAGAGTGGTTTTGGGATTGAGAGATACCCGGGTATGGAGACGGATTTTCTCATCCTCGGAAAACAAATTGCATATCCCCTGAATTTTCCTGGGTGTGTATATATATATATATATATTATATATATATATATATATATATATATATATATATATATATATATATATATATATATATATATATATATATATATATATATATATATATATATATATATATATATATATATATATATATATATATATATATATATATATATATATATATATATATATATATATATATATATATATATATATATATATAGTCAACCCTCACTTTACGCGGTCCCACATTCCGCGTTTCCACGTTTACGCGGTGCCCTGCCAGAACCCAGGATGCTCACATTCCGCGGTGGGTGTACCCCTTTACACGGGTGAAGTATAATTTTTTTTAATTTAGCTCATAAAATTCATACAAATTATCCGGCCAGAATATAATTTACATTGCTGGAATTCTTACAATTTGATGATCATTTTGAATATAAACATCATAGATTTTGCATTAGACATACAAATTTTAGATATAATGTTTACTCTTGAGTAAATATGTTATCTTTTGTGCAAAATATATGATATTTATATTCAAAATATTCCTGGTCTTACAAGGAATCCAGCAATGTCAATTATATTATCCTAACTTTAATCTGAGGTATTATTTAATACTAAATGTTAAAATTTAGTTTTATCACCCAACATCTCTTGAAGGGAGGATTGGTGTGGGGGGGGGGGGTTGGGACGGACTGCGTGGTTGGAAGAGGGGGGGAGGCAAGGTGGGGTACTTTGATTGACAGATAGTGTCGTGAAGAATATTTTTTTTTATTAACTGAAGATATTTGTTTTAGTTCATAAAATTCATACAAATTACCCGGCCAGAATATAGTTTACATTGCTGGAATTCTTACAATTTGGTGATCATTTTCAATATAAACATCATAGATTTTGTATTAGACATACAAATTTTAGATATAATGTTTACTCTGAGTAAATATGTTATCTTTTGTGCAAAATATATGACATTTATATTCAAAATATTCCTGGTCTTACAAGGAATCCAGCAATGTCAATTGTATTATCCTAACTTTAGTTTGAGGTATTATTTATTAAAATTTAGTGGTTTTCCCCCAAAAATTTCTCAGAGGGAAGAGCCAGTGAGTGTAGTGTGAGAAGAGGGGGAGGGAGTTGAGTCCATTATTTGAATGGACATTAACTTGGCGACTGTATTTCTCTATTTCTCTTGAGTATTAATTGTGTGCATGTACCATCATAAAATTAAGATGTTATTTTTACTAGAACATAGGTATTGTGTCGGAAAAAGTGGAGTAAAGTGGAGTTTGGGGGTCGGGCCAGTTTCTATTGGAATTAATCCCATATGTTCTGTTGTTCACTTAGTGCGGTTTTCACTTAACACGGTACCCTGTGGGTTTTATTTACCGCGTTAAGCTGGGTACTACTGTGTGTGTGTGTGTGTGTGTATATATATATATATATATATACACACACACACACAGTTGTACCCCACTTAACGCGGTCAATTGAACCCAGAGGGTCCCGCGTTAAGTGAAATCCGCGTTAAGTGAACAACAGAACATATGGGATTAATTCCAATAGAAACCGGCCCGACCCCCAAACTCCACTTTACTCCACTTTTTCCGACACAATACCTATGTTCTAGTAAAAATAACATGGGAAAAAATCCGTGTTAAGTGAAAGTTCAGCTCTGGCGAGGCACCGCGTATATGATAAAACGCGTTAAGTGAAACCGCGTTAGGCGGGGTAATACTGTATATATATATATTGTTTTTATATTATTCATAAATCATCATTGGTGTTGCATTGTGTGCCTGGAGAATAGGATTCATAATAATGTTGAAAAAAATTACCCAACATGGTCTTTTAGAAGGAGAAGGAGATGGAGAGAAGCCACTTGTATCAGCAGTTGTCAATACTGATGCATGCACTCCAGCTAATTCACCAAGTATCAACCAGAAGCCAGAACCCACAACCTGTATGCAAGAGAGTAGCTCTTCAGGTATGTATGGGTGGAGAGATAATGCTTCACTCTTTACTTAACATTAGTCATCATTCAGTGTTCATAATTATTTTCATAAGTAAGTTAATTTAATGTATTTAAAATATCCTAGTCTGAGTTGCATAAGAATGTGTTGATAAGTTATAATTTTCCATAACAGAAAAACATTGTAACCTGTACTGAAAAATGTAACCTGTATTGAAAAAAAAGGTAATCAGGAAGAGGTTGGTCATTATGACCCACATTCTTTCATAGTGCCACTTTTTTAGTGTTACAAGGCCACACCAAACACACACTCCCCACCTTAACATGTTTACCTACTTATTACCTCCCCCCCCCCTCCCCCCACTACTGCATGTCACTCTTTATAATTTATTTGGCCAATGCCAGATAATTTTATTCAGCAGAGACCCCTCATACCTAAGGGGTTAAGGCAGTTTACAATCATGTCATTTATTCCCACATTTCATGTAGATCAGACAGTTGGTAGCATCTTTTCTTAGATGACAAAAGAAAAAATCAGAAAATCTCTTGAGCAATGTGTTAGGTTATTTTTTTTTTTGTGATGTAAATATTGTATGTATGGTAACCGGTGTATTTTGCAAAGCCTGCTTTTGTGTCACTTTTCTTTGAGTAATGGATGCAAAATATTTAATGGTAGTCTTAGCACATGTATAAAGTAAATTGAAGGTAAGATGGTGAAAGAATAATATATGGTACAGTATGGGGATTAGGCATACTTTCCAGTGTAAACATATTGATAAACATACATATAATAGGTTTAGCTTTGCTTTTGCTAAGGTTGATTCTGTTATGTAAAATGTAGGTTGTTGGTTAGTGAGTGAATTAAGTACTGTAGTGGCTTATTACGATTGTGTTTAATGTATATCTGCTTTTTCATTTGTTTTGGTGGAGAAAAAGCATATAAACATGTCAATAAATTATGGTGCAACTACAGTAAATATTTAAGTTTGATGTTTGTCAAAAAGTAACGTTTTTAATTTATAGAAAAGTAGGTTAAGAGTCTATACAGTTGGTGGCTAATGTTCTATTGTGGTCCTTTCTTCTTTTGTAAAATTTATCATTCCTAAGTTACTGTGGTGAGTTTTATCACGGTCATTGAAGCTTAAAACCAATTTTTTTTTGAGGGGGGGGGGGATTATGTTCAGCAATATTTGATTGGTATTCACCATTGCAACTCAGTAGTCTAGCATTATCTTGACTCTTCTGAAAATCATTTTGACTTTTGGGTTATACAATTAACAGTAGGGCTTCAAAATAGCCTTTGACAAAATTATCAAGAACAATGGTAGGATCCTACACAGGCCATTGGCCTCCAAACTCCTCTCAGCATGGCCACCTATATTGAATGGCCATTAGGTAAATAAGGTAAATATTGAAAACTTTATGCTTATTTGGATTAGTTGTACTGTATTCTCTTGGCAGGAAATATAGTTTGTCCACCTATCATATTCCTTTACTTGTTTGGTCATTTAGTGGTGCCATTGTATACCATACTTCTTGTTGCTGTTTTTGTGATAAGAGTAAAATCTTTTGAATTTGGCATTTCGAAACTGCTTCCACTTGAAAGCTGGCTATTTTTTAAAATAATATTATCTTGCTGAAAATCCAAACATTCTACCGAAAATACTGGAAATTTTTCATTATTTTCCCACGTATGAGCAATTGAAATGTGTTGTAAAAGACCGTAAACTTGTCAGTGGTGTCATTTTACCAGAAACTGGTAGTTTGAGTGCCAGATATGAGAGGTTTTACTGATTTTTGTCACATGTATTTTCATATACCAAAAGTCCTTCGGATATTGTCATGCATACTAACCATAAATCCTGACAATACTGCATCCCTTCAGGTTCCATGACAGGGAGTGTGTGTACCACATATGAGAAGACAGGATCACTCCCTACCTCTCCCCTCAAGGCCATCCTTCAGCAACACTCCCACTTAGACACTGTGGATTCTAAAAATAACTCTAAGGATATCAGCAGTGGTAGGCTTAACACATTTATTATGTTGATAGTTATAAAAGAAATAATATATTATTAATTAGTTACTTCCTTCTGTGGTTGGGTTATTAGAATATATGAGTCGATATTAATACCATTAGAACCAGGAAATGAAACAAAATTTCTTGATACTGTATTTGGTTTGAAAATAAAAATCTGATTTTAGTGTCAGTTTTATACATTTAAATTGGAATAACATTTAACACAAAAATTGTGAACATTACAATGCAATAGACTGCCAGAAAAAGCTGCGCAGGTGGGGAGAGCATACAGAGTTTGTAGTGGCAAAACTACCAAAATCATGTTCAAATCATGGCATCCACTTTTATTTTATTATTACAGGTTGGGTATCCCTCATCCGAAATGCTTGGGGCTGAAAGGGTCTTGGATTTGGAATACTTATATCCTGTATACCTGTACTGTATAATGCTTTAGCTCACCCAGTGGGGATGGGGCCCAAATCTATGCACGAAATTCATTTATATTTCATTTACAGCATATGGATGTATATAGCCTGCAGATAGTTTTATTAAATATTTTCATCGTTTTCTATGTGAAATACATGATAAGGTGTACAATGAAGAATCAGGAAGGTGAGCAAACGCTACCGTCTAATCGACATTGCTATTACGCCTGACTTTGAGGTGCTAAGCAGCCTGTGTCTTACCTTTATTCATTACACTTGCATACCTAACCTTGTAAAAATTATGATGTACTGTATGCCATATTCAGTGTACAGTATTCTCTATCATAAATGTAATAAAATCGACTTTTGGATTTGGGAATTTTGGATAAGGGATACCCAACCTGTATTATTATTTAGGTGAGCATTTAGGAGGAAGAAAAAATGAAGTTGTGTATGTGATTGAACATAATTCACAAATTCTTTAAGTAGCTAGCAAGAATTGGGCAGATGTTATAAACATAGGGATTATCGCCTTCCTCATTGACACTCAGAAGGGTTATGTTACACTTTTGAGGGTACTAAGTCACTCAGCAGAGAATAGTGTAAGGAATGATTGCTTAGTTCTGATTCTAAAACCCAACACTGTTTCCTAGTGCAGAAAAATCTTATTTTCTTTTGTAAGCCAAGAAAATTATATTTTTATTTTTACTCTTCCTTTGTTCAATGAGGCACATATAGGGAGTCATTCCTGAGGCTAACAGTAGATGGTTATAAAAAACTGAAAAATCTCTGTAATACATTTTGGTCCCAAGTCTAAAGAATTGTCTGCCTCTTCATTTTCCTGTTACTTTCTATGACAGGTAATTAAAAAGTAAACCAGGAGATATAAGTGTTATTAATTGTTCTTATGTGTTAACAGATATGTCAAGTGCCTTGTACCAGACAGCAGAGTCTTCATTACAAGTGACAGTGCCAGGAACCTCACCATGTTCAGTGGGCAACTCGCCACATCTGAGCTCCAGCAGTGCCAGTATAGGTTAGATAAGTCTCTATATCAAAATTAATAGGGTGTCACCATACATAGTATTTCAGCAGTCTTTTTCTCAAGTTAAACTTAATAACTCTCTTTACTTTACTTCATAAATACAGTGGACAAAATTTTCCACTTGTTTCAGTCTCCTTGTTGCCTACTATAATTTTTTTTTAATTTTTATTTCTAATATGGAAACAGCCATTACTTTCATCTTTACAACATTAATTCTTAATCCACATTCTTCACCTTTTTCTGCTAATCTGTAAACTTTTTTGTAATGCCTATTCACTGTCCATGATAAGAGCAGTATCATCTGTTTATACAGATAGTGAAAAAGAGTTTGTTGCTCTTTGTAAAAAAAAGTTGTAGCTCGCAGATTATTCAAAAGATTCTTATAACACAGTACAGGTAAATGTCAGGATTGACCATGTAGGGTAGTCATACAACCATTGTCTTATTTATTTTAACAGATACAATAAAAAATGGGGCAACAACTCCTGGCCTTCATCACAAAGCTGTGATGACAAGTATCCAAGGTGAAAAAGCAATTAATGAAGATGGTGGAAAACAACGTAGCATATCATCATGGGTTCAGTCTCTCCTGCATACTCTTACCGGTAAGTCTCTGCCTTTTTTTTTTTTTAGTTTCTTTATAATTGTTGTAAACTTTTTACATTGTTGTGGCATCTGTGTATGCTGTTTTAATTTTCACATTTTCTGTTACAGAGGAGTGGCGATAATTTGAGAAAAACAAATTCGTGTTCTGAAATTCACAGATACTGTACCTTTGTTACTACCGCATTGTTTATCTACATAGGAAACCATAAAAGTTGTGGAATTATCATTACAATGCTCTAATGAACCTTAGATATAAAGAAAATATAAATATTTCAGTGTTCTAATGTTACTTAGAAATAAAGAAAATATAGTGTAATATAAAACTACAAATAAGAAAAAATGAAGAGTGGGTATGGATTATATATTGGAGGTAGGGCTGGCGGTACCTAAACCTTGAATTATCGCAACTTTACTGTAATGTACTGTACAGTATTTGTTTATTTGTTGTATTTCAGTTATGGGTTTTACCAATGGCTGCATGTATGACTCGGGTACAGCAATACCCAGTTTAATGCTCAGGATATGTTCCCGGATAATAGAGCGCTATCCAAAACAATGTTCTAAGGAGTCATTATGCCATTGTGTATATGGAGATGCATGATGATGTAATTTTTTATCTGAGATACTTGTATATACTACCTACTGTATTGTATATGAAGGGTACATGTATTAATAAACACAGATTAATACACTAACATATATTTATTAATTAATAAATAACATAAACAATATTGTATCATGAATGACAGTTGTTTGCTTAATAGTAGTGGCAATTGTAGTAGACGAAGTGACAGATGCAGTAGGTGGGTGGGTGGGAGGGAGGGAAGTGGGAAGGAGTAGGGAGGCAGTGGATATCATATGGCTCTGCTCTGGTTAAAGCTAATCCATTTCTGCATCACTGAAATTATGATTTAGGTGGAGATAATAGAGGTAGCGGTGATGGTGGGAGTGGTGATGATGGTGAGGAAGATGTGGTAAGGTGGTGATTTGTCTATTGAACAGTTGATTCTACTCACAAAATTGAGTGTAAGTATAAATGAGCAACGTTATATCCGCTCAACATTATGTTAAATACCATTTTAAAATACAGAGTGAGAAAGCAAATGGTGGGGGTGACTAGAGAGGTGGAGTAGAAGGGAGTGGTAACATGCACCGTGTGTTGCCAATCGCTTCTCAGCAGCTGATCTTCAACCCACCACCACACATTGTGCTTCAGTTAACCACACACACAGTATTGTCATACAATAAGATCTACACTTAATATAACAACTTTATGGTTGTCATGGCTGAGGCTTATATTTTGTTTGCATTCTTAATAGTGGTTTTACCAGTCGATGTAGCCAAGTTGAAAGCAGCACTGACATCCACCTGATGCTCACCAGCTTTCAACAGCCTCAACACTTTTAATTTTACATCCAAGGAGATACTTTTCTGTGGCAGTTTAAATGCACTATCAGCATTAATAGTTGCAGGCCATTTTCCAGACATGATGAGTAAAAAATAGTCACTAATATAAAAAAAAAATGTGAGTCAACAAGAATGTGTCCACAGTGTAAGGCAGCATATTTGTACTGTACTGTCAACAGAACACTTGGCACTGATTGGCCGAGTGCATAAAAACAAAGAGAGCTGCTCTTTGTGTGTGGTGAGTGTTCAGATTCATGACATTTGACTACTTTTGTTTGTTTTTTGTTTTTTTCCCTAGAGCTCCAAAATGCAAGCAAGAGTGCGATAACGAAACAGCACCCCACGCTACAGGGTAATGCTAACCGGGGTCTTACTGTATTGGATTTGGTGCATCCTCCTAATTTAAGTTGTAGAGGCAGTTTACATGCCTTCTACTTCATTTATGGGTGTTTTTAATCAATGTTAAACTCATTGCATTCTGCATCATCACTGACACCTTACTACCCTTGGGAGCTGCTCTTTGAGGGGATGGCCTTGACACTGACTCACTTAACATAGTACTTTATTTTGATGTTCACATTCATCAAATTTGATGTTAATTTTGCAGCAGCAATGTACAGAAATGATAAGAGGGTATGGTATTAAGTTATATAGATGTGTGATGGGATAAAGATAAACCTGATGGCATGGCATTAGTGTATAAGGGGAGTACTATAGCAGAACACATCTATTACAACAGTAAAAATAATTTAAACACACTAATGCTACTGTGGGGGATTAGGTTAGGTTAGCTCTAGGGTGTTTAATCATAAGGTGAAATAAGCTGGGGATAAATATTCAGTTGATTTAATTTTTTATAAAATGTAGTAAAATCAAGGAAATGGCTGTCCAGGAAACAGCAGTTGTGCATCATTGATCAGAGATCAAGGTATCAAGTGGTTAATAGGGATGGATGTACTACTGATAAGTGATGTTAGTATGTGTGAAGTTATGGGGTTAAAACTAGATAGATATTTATGGTCTTATTGTGGAGGAGGAATAACCATAGAAGAACACATTTGTTAAAGCAATAATAATGAAGAATATTGATTGAAGGGAGAGTGTACTTACTCTTGATTTTCATCACTTTACATTAAATAAGAAAGGGTTTGTAAGAATGAAAAAGAAATTATTGCTATTGTTGTGGTATTTTTTTGTATAATGTTTTAAGACATATTAATTGAAAGATACATATTGTAATACCAGGTGTTGTTATATAATCATATTTTTAGGCTACTACTGGCTTTGGTGGGAGGAAGTTGAAGAAGTAGAGGGTATTGAGAGAATTTCAAATCCTATCCGATACTCATATGAAGACTTTGCTGATGTGGATCATCGCCTTAAACTTTACTGTGAAGTTCTGCTCTTCCATGAACCAGGAGAACAGCTTTTGGGGCTGGTTAAGGTAAGGATCAATTTAAGCATTATATCAAACTGTTACACTCTACACTTTATGATGTGCCACCAGCAACACTAGCTCATATTGTGGCCTCACTTTTCTTAATTGTACAAATCGAGGGTTCATTTACCCCCACTGACACTACGCTCTTGCCTTGTGCTAGTCTATCGAATACTTCAACTTTCTTTTCTAAAGTACTGTAAATATATTCCTTGCCCTCTTCACTTTCTTCTCACCTTTGTCAATAACACTCAATGCATGCTTAGGGGCCATAGTTAGAGGCAAAATCAATGTTATTATGGTAGAAAATATGTAATAAATACTGTATCCAGTGTACGGAGCAGTAAAATATGTCTGCACAGTGTGCGATGACAAGACTGGGAGAGCATGGTGGGAGTAGTGATGGGATGCTGCGTGAATGAATACATTGGAACACGGAGGGAAAATGACACCGCGCTAAACTGTGTACTCGAAATTCAATGCTGCGGTTAGTGAAATAATGAAATGGTGTACAGGGTACAAACTGCGAATGGCAAATTCATGGTTGGCGAGGGACTACTGTATAAACTTGTTTGATTTTAATGCTATCAGTATAAAATGTCTGTTGACTAATAACTTCAGTTATAGAACTAAAGTATTGTACAGGTATAGACCCTCAAATCCAGGACCCTTGGGACTGAGATTAAACAGGTTTTGAATATTTTCCATTTTTGGGGGTCCTTGGTCATCCATCAGTTACCCTAGTCATACCAGTAGACTTTCTTTGGTAAAATTTTAAGAAGAATGCTGTCGGCCCTTTTGATTACAGTAAGATCTTGTATTTTGTGAGTAATATAGACTTGAAAAATTGTGCCAAATTCAAATTTGCCATATGCAGATACAATAAACTAATGGAAAAAATAACAATATAGACAGGCCACTCTACATCAACCTCTGATTTTTCCCATTTATAGCCTCCAAATTATACAAATTCTGCCTTTATTGACCTGTTTGTGCTTTCCGGAAACTAGTTTTTAGGCCTTCCTCAAGTAATTTAATCACACGCTGCTTATCCTGCATTGAGTACTTGGCAAATTTAACTCCCTTATGATAGTCCCGCTTCTCCTTTTCCTTATTTGGCGGCTTAGGTGGGTCTGTCCCACCCTCAACAGCACTACTAGGACCCCCAGCAGAGGTAGAGGCCATTTATCTTGACTCGACAGGTGGTAGCACCACCCAAAAAAGCACACAATAGCAGCTGGGCGGTCGCTAGGATGGCGCGGGCTACAACGCGCTAACACAACAAAATTGGAGAAAACCACAAAAATCACGGAGCAATTGACGGAAACCTCGCAATTCAACTGATCACGTGATGTAAACAGAGAGCGCTGGTGTAAACCGTTATTAGTCCTCACTGCGAAACATTCTCTTTACTTATTCTTTTCATACAGCATTTATGAGTAACAGGTAATTTTGCAAAACGAGAACAAAATTTACAGAATACCTCTCAAAAAACACTTCACAAACAAAAGATACGAATCAATTGAACATGTGATGTCGAACGTGAACTGTAAACATTGCATAACCCCGCACCACGCTTAAAACGTTGAGGATGGAGTCGTGCTATAGCCAACATTCGCATGCAAAATTTTGCGTTTTACAGACACCGTTCCCCTATTCGTCAATCGCGTTACAACCAATTCGCGTTGACAAAACACGTGTTGTAGCAGATATGACTGTAGCTGGTATGAGGGCTGTGACGTCATTCAAGACGGTGGCCAGCATTCAGCTTGCTGGATCTCGCATTCAGCTGGCTAGATCTCACAAAATTCTCAGTATTTTTCGCCAAATATAAGACTTGGTTACATTAGGTAGTGCTTGCGAAATTCAAAAACGCAAAGTGAAATCGCGCGAAATATGAGATCTTACTGTATACAAATAAATCATGTAAGATATAAAAGGGCAAGGGGAGCTATATTTTGATATTTAGAAGATGTGTTATCTGTTTGAACAGAATTATGGAAATGGAAGCACCTTTAATATTGAGATCAAAGAAGAATGAATGATCTAAGGCACTTGAAATATGATTGCCCTTTATATCATATTAGAGTGGTTACTCACTCAATAAAATCACTTTTTGTATTTATGTGAGTTGGTAGAGTGTTTGTTCCATGAGTGAATGGTAGAGAGTTGTGCTTCTTCCTTCCACACTTGCTCCTGTGTACTCTACAATAAATCGAGTGCACCATTGGGTGCACATGCCAATGTTGGAACCTTAATGGTCTAGCTAGCACCCTGTCAAGAGAGTGGGGTAACTCTCTTAACGCTTGAATCCTAAGAATGGAATTCAACCCTAATCCGACCACTTGGCTTTGCAGTAGGAAGAGGCATGTATGCCTCTGAGAAAAAAGTTGTCATTAATATTATTTATGTATTTTTCACCAGGCTGTACTGTTAATTAAAGGGGGGAGGAGAGAGTTCCAAGGTCTTCTTGTCATCTCAAACAAGAAATTATACATATTAGAAATTGTTGCTCAAGAAGAGTAAGTATATTGAAAATTTTGTTATTATGTTATTTTACTATTTTCTCTTGTTACATAATAAAAACAGATTAAGTAAAAAAAAAGTTACAAAACCCATTCATGAGTAGCCAATGACTTTTTATATTGAAATTGTTTTTAGTGATTTGTACTTCTTTTTATGTATTTTGGGGGACTCCAGTCCTATAGTACGTTTTTCCAAGCTGAGAAGAGATGCCCCGCCCCCTCCTCTAGAGTTATAGCTAATTGGCTGTTGCAAATCTGTCCAATTTTGTCCTGAAGTAATGATGTATTGTATAATAAATCCTCCAATAACGACGGTCCAACTAACAAATGTCCATATCTAAGACCCTGGTTAATTTAGGACCCAATTCAATTTACATCATGATTTTCTTCATATTTAAGACAAAATTAAAAAACAAAAATTACATTTTCGTATAAATAATGACTTATTCCTGATATTATAAAAAAAAACGCCTTGCGCACGGAGGCTGCCGGGCTTGTTAGTGGTGACGCTAGCATCACTAGTATAAACAATCACAGCTGGCAGGCCCTTTGTCTTAACGTATATAAGCAGGAAAAGGAGAAAAACTTCTTGGGTTTCTTGCAGCATTTTTGCATCCCTATTCAACATGAGCAAGTGATGGTAGTGTTGTTTCAAAAGCTAATAGAAAGTGTATAAACTTAGCCAAGAAACTAGATGTGTTAAAACAATATGAAAAAGGTGAGAGGTCTGTGGATATTATATGGAGCAAGCAATGAACATATTTTCTGAAGTGGATCCATTAACAGAAAAAAGCATTAAAATTTAAATAAATGCAAATGACCTCTACATAAAGATGTATAATGAGAAAAGAAAACAGCTGTGCAAGGTTCTTTCGACAGCTTAATTATTCGAAGGCCTAAACCATCAAATTCAGCATCATAAGCAGCTTCAACAACAAATTCAGGTTCAGTAACAGTTTCAGCAACAGCTCTATGGAAAGTCACAGCTTCAACCAGAGTTGAACCTACAGCTTCAGCCAGAGTTGAACCTGATGACTTCGTCATCTGAGTAAAAACTCGCACAATATTTATTGGCTGTCCTTACGTTTTAGACTTTACCACCATTGGTGAGTAGAATTTATGTTTTACATTCATAAATATTATTAAAAAATATATGAACAGTAAATAAGTGTTGCTTTCATATTCATATGTAGAGAAATGACGATATGTTTTCATATGTACGCACTTACTGTACATACGTTGGCGTTCCCAATCTTCTCACCTTATTTCTTTACCATTAGTGGTTAGCTACTTCTAGTGTTCCATTTATTATCATTAAATAACATTACTTAAAACATATATACAGGTATTCAATTTTTTTACATTAAGTTCACTACAGCTACAACCAGGGTCTTATTTTCTTCAGTTTCTTATGTAGAACCATCGTCACTCACGAAAACAATGCCGTCTTGTCTCCTCATGTGTGTTTTAATATTCTACGTATTATGAATGAATTGCATTGTTCATTTCACTTATATAAACATTAATTCAATCAAATACATAGGCAGTAAAAAACAATAATAAATCTTTTGTACATATTCTTAAGATAAATGACTATGTTTCCTTGAGTACGCACGTATACATTGGAGTTCCACTATCAGTCTCACTTTTTTCTTTAATATCAGTGGTTACTTCTACTGTACATTAAATAACATTAATTAAAACATACATATTTTTTTTACATTACCTGGTAATTTTACTACGACAACAACCAGGGTCTTACTTTCTTCAGTTTCAGGTGGATAACTGGCATTATGGGTGTAAACATTGACAACAATGCCTTCTCTTATCCTCTTGTGTGTTTTAATATTCTACGTATTAATGAATTGTATGTTCATTTCGTATATATTTAGATTAATTCAATCAATTACATATTCAGTAATAAACAATAATGAATCTTTTGTACATATTCTTAAAAAGATAAATGACATGGTATCCTTAAATGCGCACATATATGTTGGCGTTCCCAATCCATCTCACTATTTTTTCTTCTTTACCATTAGTGGTTAGCTACTTCTATTGTTCCATTTATTAACATTAAATAACATTACTTAAAACAAATACAGTCAACCCTCGCTTTATGCGGTCCCACTTTACACGTTTACGCGGTACCCTACCAGAACCGGAATTCCCACTTTACGCGGTGCATCTACTCATATACGCGGGTGAAGTATAATTTTTTTATTTAGCTCATAAAATTCATACAAATTATCTGGCCAGAATATAATTTACATTGCTGGAATTCTTACAATTTGATGATCATTTTGAATATAAGCATCATAGACATTTGACATACAAATTTTAGATCTAATGCAAGTATTTTGTTTACTCAGAGCAAATATGTTATCTTTTGTGCAAAATATATGAAGTGTATACAGGTATTCAAAATATTCCTGGTCTTGCAAGGAATCCAGCAATGTCAATTATATTATCCTAACTTTAGTGTGAGGTATTATTTATTACTAAAAAGGTAAATATTCTGGTTTCTCCCACACATTTGTCTGGTAGGGAGGGTTGGTGGGGGGTGGGGGGGAGGGAGGGACCAACCGACCATCTGGCGCGGTTGGAAGAGGGGGGGAGGCAAGGTGGGGTACTTTGATTGACAGATAGTGTTGTGAAGAATATATTTTTTTTTTATTAACTGAGGTATTTGTTTTAGCTCATAAAATTCATACAAATTACCCGGCCAGAATATAATTTACATTGCTGGAATTCTTACAATTTGATGATCATTTTGAATATAAACATCATAGATTTTGCATTAGACATACAAATTTTAGATCTACTCTTAAGTATTTTGTTTACTCTGAGTAAATATGTTATCTTTTGTGCAAAATATATGACATTTATATTCAAAATATTCATGGTCTTACAAGGAATCCAGCAATGTCAATTATATTATCCTAACTTTAGTTTGAGGTATTATTTATTACTATACCTTAAAATCTAGTGGTTTTTCCCCCAAACATTTCTCAGAGAGGGAAGAGCCAGGAGTGTGAGAAGAGGGGGAGGGAGTTGAGTCCATTATTTGAATGGACATTAACTTGGCGACTGTATTTCTCTATTTTTCTTAAGTATTAATTGTGTGCATGTACCATCATAAAATTAAGATGTTATTTTTACTAGAACATAGGTATTGTTTCGGAAAAAGTGGAGTTTTGGGGTCAGCCGGTCTCTATTTCATTTAATCCCATATGTTATGTTGTTCACTTTACACGTTTCTCGCTTTACGCGGGCCTCCGTGGGTTCAATTGACCGCGTAAAGTGAGGGTTCACTGTATATTCTTTTATTTTCATTAATTTTACTACAGCTACGACTAGGGTCTTATTTTCTTAATTTTCTCGTGTAGCACTATCGTCCCGGACTCCCGGCTGTAAACACAAACGAAAACAATGGCGTCCCATCTCCTCTTGTGTGACCATATTATTCATTTATATTGTATAAGGTGCATTCAGAAACATTATTTAAAGAATATAGTTTGCAATTTTTATTAATTGTATTGTTTTCGGGGAAAAGAAGATAAAAAGCCACACAAAAGATATGAAAAGGTCACACTTGGGAACGCATCTCATTATTATTGCTTTATTTTAATGGTAATTAATGATTTGCGATACGATGATTCACCTTGCACTGCAATATTGGAGGACACACTACCGTTGTTATTTGAGGATTTACTGTACTTCCAAATGAGTTTATTGATAATCGTTCGGATGACCGTTTATGACGAGAAAGATATTTAGCTAAATTATCTAAAAATACATATATTCATTATTTCAAACATGAGCGCATAGGAAGTTTATCAGAAATCTTATACATGAATTAACTGTTAAACTCTGGTAGCAAATTTACACTTTTGGAGGAAGCATTTAATATATACTTATTTTTACCCACAGTAAGGCATACTAAGACAAACTACGTACAGTAATACAGGTACTACATTATGCAAAATACATTATTACTTCAGGACGAAATTGGGCAGATTTACAACAGCCAATCAGCTGTAACTCTTGAGAAGGGGGCAGGGCATCTCTTCTCAGCTGGGAAAAAACATACTACAGGTTGTACCTCTCTAGTTCGGCAACCTCGGGACCTGACCGGTGCCGGACCATGGAAATTGCCGGACCATGGAAATTCACCCTTTTCCTGGATAGATAGTGACTTGTGCTTATGCCTGGAAGCACTAGCACCACTTTCTCTGCGTCATGGTCTCTTTGAAGACATATTGAAGGGTTAAATGTCGTATAGTAGCTTCTCAAATTTCGCGAGTTTTTAATTCTTAATGTATTTTATTGGAACACACAAAAAAATAAATAAATAAAAATTTTGACGGCGGAAACTTGAATTTCGACGGGTTTGAACGGCCCGCCAACGTGCAGACGACGTGCATAATCGTGTAAACAGCGTCATTTCTCTTATGTACAAAAGATTCATTATTGTTTATTACTGAATGTCTTTTTTATTGAATTAATGTTTATGTGTGCAAAATGAGCAATACAATTCATTAATAATACGTAGAAAATTAAAACACATGAGGAAATGACACAGCATTGTTTTCGTTGATTACAAAAGCAGTATCTGACTGGTTCTACATATAAAACTGAAGAAAATAAGACCTTGGTTGTAGCTGTAGTAAAACTAATATGGTTGTTTTAAGTAATGTTATTTAATGTTAATAAATGGAACAATAGAAGTAGCTAACGATAATGGTAAAGAAAAAGAGAGATCGCATATGTAAGTGCGCATGCGCACACGTGAAAACATATCGTCATTACTTTACATAAGAGTATGAAAGCAACACTTGTTTACTGTTCATATATATTTTAATTAATGTTTCTGAATTTGTTTTTATTGAATTAATGTACGTGTGTGCAAAATTAACAATACAATTTATTAATAATACGTGGAATATTAGGAGACGAGACCGCTGCCGGCATTGTTTATGTTAAAGCTTACGAAACCAGTGACTGATTGGTTCTGCATATAAAACTGAAGAAAATAAGACCCTGAGTTTAGCTGTAGTAAAATTAATGTAAAAAATGAATATGGTTGCTTGAAGTACCTGTAATGTTATTTAATGTTAATAAATGGAACAATATAAGTAGCTAACCATTAATGGTAAAAAAAAAAGTGAGACTGCTCGTATGTAAGTGCGCACATGTGAAAATATATCGTCATTACTCTACATAAGAATATGAAAGCAACACTTGTTTACTGCTCATATATATTGAAGGGTTAAATGTTGTGCTCTGTATAGACAAGCAGAGAGAGAGAGAGAGAGATAGAGAGAGAGCAGTCGAACTGCCGGATGTAAACAAACCTTAATTTCCCGCGGCTTTTTGTTTTTTTATAAGGGGATTAGCCCACCCGGGCATAGGTCACTGACCCACATTGGGGCCTGAGGGGCAAAAATTTAATACTCCTGTAATAATAATAATAATTCAGAGAAGGGAAAAAAAAAAAAAAAAAAGAGCTGGCTATCTACCTATTGGACAAACTAAAATCGTTCCGGACCACAGAATGCCGCACTAGAGAGGTACAACCTGTATAGTTAAAAAAAAAAAATTCTCCCATATATGAACCATCCATGATATTTGGACTACACTAGGATGACTACTGTCCCATTTCCCATGCTGTTTCACTATTCAGTACAGTCATGTACAATGAAAGACAAAAGTCGTGTCGTGAAATTTGGTGAAAACATATGCCGAAGGGCTGAACTTTTGGTGCGCTCTGCCTTGTGGTAGGGCTCTCATAATCTTTCATGAGTTATATTTAATCTAAGGACAAAATTGCGACACGACTTTTGTCTTTAATTGTACACACATTGGCATGATTTTTTTTCTTTGGCTATAATAGCAAAACTTAAATGTAATTGTAGTGTGATTGAGTAAAACAGCAAGAATTAATTACTATCATACCTCTTTTCACAGAGACTAATCCCCCAAAAATTTGTTTAACGGATAGAAAAAATATTCATTTAATAAATACTGTTTAATAGGGTAATTATAGTTTTATTCAGGAATAAATCAATCAAACAGTGAAAAATAACCAACAGTATAGTCCACTGCCATCTTTGTTGTCTACATCCTCTAAGCCAATCAGCAATCATCTCAAAATGTAAACTGTAGCCTGTCAATATTCATGTCCATTGCATCGCTGTAGGTCTCTTCACATATTTGCTATCTGAGTGTGCTTGTAAACATTTTATGCCCATTATGTCTGGGAAATGGTCTGCAAGTGTGTTTGTTGGTAAACTAGCCAAGGTGCCCAGGAAAGTCATTACTATGGACATGAAAATGAAAGTGATATGAAGGATTCAGCAGGTGAGTGTCAGGTGGGAAGAATAGGTGCACTGTAGGAGTGCAGCAGCGGTGGTTACTTATTAAATTTAGTTTAATTTATTATTGATGTTAACAAAGTCTTCAATGGAATGTAAAAGTTAAGCATTGTCACATGTGAAAGCCATTTTTGTTGTTTTATTATTGTTGTGCTGAAGTGGTTTGCTTGTTGCTTAATGCTTACTTTTCATACGGAGGAGGTGGTGGAAAATCACGTGTATTTCTGAGTAACTGCAACTTTTGTTATAATGTTTGCGTACTATTTTGGAACATTTAATCATTCTCTTAGAAAATAGTAGTACAAGTATATAGAGGGAGTTATTTATCATTTTGACTAATTATGCGATTAGCAAGAACTTATCTCCATAAGCACCATGTTATAATGGTTTCTTTTAATGGATATTTCACCTAAGGGATCAGCCTCAAGAACGTATCTCGTCTGTTATGAGAGGTATGATAGCACTGTAGTACTTGAAAAATAGTAGGGATAACTATGAACAACTTTTGTATTTTTTAGTGACAGCCCCCAGGCATGGCTAGAATTGTGTTCCTCATACAACTTGTCAGATGTTGGTACAATCCATAGTTTGTACCAACGACAAGGTCTGGCACTCTCTCTAGCTGATACAATCTTGATGATATCACTGGCTGACTCTCATCGAGCAAATTGCTTCTTCAATTTTTTTAGCGGTATGTAATAAAGTATCATGTAGATTGTAAATATTTGTGTTTAAATTGATGTATTGGTGGTATATCTATTTATATGTTTTAATTTTGATAACTGAATTTCATAATCATATTAAATTTATTATTACCATTTATTACCTTTAATGGTATGCTGATTGTTCATATTTTTCCACTAATGACAGGATTTACCTTGTACAGTACAAACTTCACTTATTTGTGGCAATCATACCTCTTTCTACCTATGTTATCAAAAACATTTTGCACATTACAACAAGCTCAAGTTCAACAAATTTTATTTGCTGTTAGAATTTAGCCATGGTCTTACATTGTTTTCTTAAAAAGAAAAAATTGTCACACATGAGATTTGTCTTTTCCATTAAGAATATCATGGATTTATGTTGATCAGTTTCATCAAAAAGTAATGGAAATTCTTAATTTATTCATCATATTTTATTTTATTTTATTACATCTTTCATCAGGGACCAGAAGCATCTCATAAAGGTACCTGGTAAGTCAATATACAGGTGAAAACATACATCATTGTGCAGTAACTTCTATTTATTAGCTTTTACATATGCAAATGTCTCCATAATTCTAAGCGTTTCATTGTCATTCTTGGTACCAATGATATTCATAATGCAATTCAATTCTTTGCTATAGAACTATTAGATGAATGTGGGATCAACCCAACCATAGGGGAATGCAGCCCATCCCAGGAAGAAGTCCTTATGCAACATATCCAAGAAGCAGTAGAATCTACAGGAGAGGAAACCACTCCTTCTATATTTGCTATTGTCTCCTTACTCCTTGGTGAGTACATAAGGGTTCTTGTTGTGGAAGTGGAAAATCTTAGCACAAGTGCATACCACTTCTGTTTCAGCATCTAGTATCAGTGAATTTTATTCTTTTCAAACATATGTTGAATTCTGTAATGCCTATCGTTTATAATATGTAGTATAATGTGTAATTGCATATTCAGAGAAGTACACGAATTTTAGATATTTTAATAACAATTTAGCATAAATATATAGTATCACCCTTTTCTACCAGATGGTGGATGCAGTGAAAGTCAGTTTCTGGCCATCACTGAAACTGACCTGCTGTTGTTCTATGCTGACCTGGAGTGGTACTTACCCCCAACACCAGAGTCCAAGCTCCAGTTAAATCTTGCACAGAAAATATCTGACATTACAGCTATTGTAAGTAAAAGCCTCAAAACTACTGTGCTGTACAGTATAGGTAATCCTCAACATACTGAATAAGAATCTAATATAAAAAAAAGGCTTAATGATTTGGAAATTTTTCATTCATATTGCAACCCTAACAACTCAAGGGTAATTTTTTTTCCTGGGTGAACCAAAGTAATTAAATACATTAATTTCTGAATTAAAAAAAAAAGTGCTGAGAGGTCCTAAGGAGTCACAAAGGGTATTAAGGAGTCCTACAATTAAATTTATTTCTTTGGCAATGATCATCACATTTTTTTATGTTTTTAATGTTTACTCCACAAAATTCCATGCCTTTTGGAAATTTGGCTACAGTGTATACCAGTCAGCACAAATTTGTGAGACCTATCTGTATTTCAGAATTGTTTACAGCTCTTCTACCAGAATACTCAAATGATCATTTTCTGCTTAAAGAGTGATTTTTGTATGGATTAAGGTACAATTTATGGGTGATATACTAGATTTTTATTTGGGGAAATAATGTAAATTTCCATGGGCCTCAATAATTCAAAATGAATCAGCATTACATATTCTTGTACAACAGAAAATGTGCTGAGACTGTTAGCTTACAAAATTCTAGAATGATGAACTAAAATTTATCTTATTCAACATGATGGATAGTGTGCGCCAGTTAAATTAATTGGAAGTACCCTGTAGCTACTTTGCCAGGAATTCCCGGCTGGGCAGACTACAGGCTATATAGCCAGGATGTTAAGTTAGGTTGGAAAAGTCATATATACTGATATATGAGATTTGTTAAAATTGCACCTTTAGGTTCTATTGATTTTTCTTTTTGGGTGACTAAGGGGTGAGTCTTGGATGTCTCAGGTGAACTGCAGGCCACATTAAATAGAAATTTTAAATAAATTTGTGGGCTGCACAAAGACATGGTTCGGGCCGTGGGTATCCCATGCCTGCTGTAGAGAAAAATAGAGGTTAAATTAGTTATGTTTTTGAGATTTTACACGTATATTACATCTCATTCACAGGAAGTGCATAGTGAGAGTCATGTTGCCCTACAGTTTATGGATGAAGTAACAGGAAGTGAGACATCATGGGATCTTCACGTTGCATCATCTGTTGCAGCTTGCCACATTATCCAGGCCATACGAACCCCTTGGACACAACTCTTCAGTGTTGATCTTCAGGTGACATACCATAAATGTAGCCAAAATCAGACCTTAAGAGTAGCATAAGACATGACCTGTTGATATAAACAATATATTTAATAAAATGTGACATTAGTTTATATATTTGTATCAGATCATTTTGCATTTCTTCCAGTATTTATTATTTATGCTTATGGAGCATACAAGACCACATTAATATCTTACTGCTTTTTTCTCACTAACATATGATGACAGATAAATATCCTTTAAGATAAATTTTGTAGCTTACTGAAATCTACAAGGACAGGGTGTCCATAAGTTATCTGACCCAATTTAAAACTTAATACTGTATCCACAAAAACATTTTAGGTAGAACATGCCTGTTTTATTATGCTTGATGATTGGCTCAAGTCTTGTTTCTTGTCTTAGCAGACTTCCACAAGTGCTTTATTATGTTCTATCTAATATTTTGAAGGTTATTAAGTTTAAAATGGGTCAGGTAATTTATGGCCACTGTATATTGAACATGGCATAATTTACTTATATAATAAAGGTTAAATAAATGAAATGAAATTTATACTTCTCATTAAGTGCCTGTCTTCCATACTTAAAATACCAGCACCTGTACATCACAAGTATACAATCTTTCTCCTCCTGTTTTATAACACAGTATTGTACAGTATTCACAATCATTTACTTTATTCTCATACCAAAAATTAACCATAATAATCAGCCCTCCATTTGTGGACTTGAAGCTGTGGTATTCTGATTCTGATACATTACTCTTAGTGTCGGATTTTACTGTACTGGTTTAAAGGATAGATTTCCTGTTTGTGTGCATGCATACCCTAAATATGTTAATTTTCATATACAGGGTACTTCTTTTTTAAATGTATACTTCCTTGTTGTATATGTACAGTTGCCTCCAGATGAACATACCACGGTCTGGGAGTGAGTGAGGGCTTGGGTAAGAGACACGGCAACACAGCGTAGTAGTCATGGGCGTGAAACCGTGGAATACTCTGTTTGCTGGCTACACAACAATGCTTTATAACATGTATTACAGGGTTAATTTATCTTTTTACCTCCATTATTGTTTGTATCTTTTAACAAACAGGATAATTTCACTCCCATGCATTCAGCCCTGACTAATGCGCTGTGCTGCCCCATCTCATACCCCGAGCTGTGGTACATTCATCTGGAAGCAACTGTACATAATATCATTAAGAAACAAGAACAGTTGCTTGTTAATGGTCTTACAGGTTTTTTTTTTTTTTTTAATGAAATCCAAGTACTGTACTGTACAGGTATACCCCAATAACCAACAGATGTAGGAACTGTGAAAATTTGTTGATGAGTGAAACAATGGTCATAAAAGCAATTAATTCCATAAGAATATATCAAATTCAGGGGATTAGGGCCCGGCCACCTTTCAAAAACTCATCTACCCTTGATATATCTCTGTCGTGCACATTGTCAAGCAAGAAAATAAAGCAGACATAAAGCAATCATAGTAAGCATTAAATAAGGAATGTAAAGCATAAATTGAGACTGTTATTTATCTGTATTTAGGATGGTAGAGAAAGTTTAGGGTGACAAGTTCAAGTCTCTACCAATCTTTGCTGGTCCATCACCACTCTTATTATGCCTTTTCACATCACATCAAGCTGGGGCAGCACAAGAATAACTATCACTGGGGCATTTATGCATGATTGCTTAACACGCGAAGTTGGAAAGAACGTAGAAACATGAAGTTGGAGACACATGATAAGTGTAAACAAGTGCAGAGGGACGGGAATGAGTCAGAGGCAGTGCACAGAGCCCTATCGTGGCAAGAATTTGCACCATACCACTGTCTACCAAACTCAAAATAGCTCTGCCACTCCTTCTGAAATTGTCAGATATCAACGAAACTTGCAGGGTATTTCCCCAATATGTAATCGTTGGTTAAAAGGACGTCGGTTTTCAGGGTATACCTGTACAGTACATGTACAGCATATGTTAAATACTGTACCATTACAACACCTTCATAGTCATTACTTGGTATTCTTTTAAATTTGAAGCTTAGTTTGAGTCACTCCATCCTGTATTGTTATCAGTTTGATACAGTATAGCAAGTCAGTATTACCTTGGATTATTATACAAGAAACTTGATCATCAAATACATAGAAAAAAATTGCAAAAGCTGCAAAATAAATATAGTACGCATTCATATCTTTAAAAAGGAAAGCATTTTACATAACAGAAGTACTCTGTACTACAGTGCCTTAGATAAGATAATGATTATGAATACCTATAGTTATTTGCTATGATGATGGTATGGCATTGTACATACTGTACTATCCCAGCAAGCTAATGTCTGTACTTGAATAATTGGGTATGATAAGTGGTATTTTCTGGTACATTGCAGTTTGAGTAATATTTTTATATCTAATCATTATTAGTAAACCATTCTGTGTATTTCAGATCCGAGTAATAAATACACTGTTTTACAAAAATTGCCAATTCAAATAAAAAGTTTTAATATGTTTTATCAAGAATTTTATAATGCTTGTACTTACTGGACACTGCAGCACTTTTAATATCTGTCATTTAAGAGTAAATGTGGGGCAGCTAGCCTGAAATTTGTTGATCCTAAGGGAAACAAACAAAATTATTTTCTGTAACAACAGCTCCTAACATAATTTAACAAATCACAAGGTTAAACACAAGACAATTAAATTATGTTTAGCCCATTTTCAGTTTATGAAAAATAACAGGAACAAATAATTTACAATTTTGCATGTAAAAATGCATATACAGGTTGTACCTCTCTAGTCCGGCAACCTCGTGACCTGACCGGTGCCTGAGCATGGAAATTGCCGGATCATGGAAATTCACCCTTTTCCTGGATAGATAGTGACTTATGCTTATGCCTGGAAGCACTAGCACCACTTTCTCTGCATCATGGTCTCTTTTAAGACATATTGAAGGGTTAAATGTCGTATAGTAGCTTCTCAAATTTTGCGAGTTTTTAATTCAACGTACTTTATTGGAACACACACACAAAAAAAAATAAATAAAAATTTTGACGGCGGAAACTTGAATTTCGACGGGTTTGAACGGCCCGCCAACGTGCAGACGACGTGCATAATCGTGTAAACAGCGTCATTTCTCTTGTATACAAAAGATTCATTTTTGTTTACTACTGAATGTCTTTTTTATTGAATTAATGTTTATGTGTGCAAAATGAGCAATACAATTCATTAATATTACGTAGAATATTAAAACACACGAGGAAATGACACAGCATTGTTTTCGTTGATTACAAAACCAGTGACTGACTGGTTCTACATATAAAACTGAAGAAAATAAGACTGGTTGTAGCTGTAATAAAATTAATATGGTTGTTTTAAGTAATGTTATTTAATGTTAATAAATGGAACAATAGAAGTAGCTAACGATAATGGTAAAGAAAAAAGAGAGATCGCATATGTAAGTGCGCACACGTGAAAACATATCGTCATTACTTTACATAAGAATATGAAAGAAACACTTATTTACTGTTCATATATATTTTAATTAATGTTTCTGAATTTGTTTTTATTGAATTAATGTTTGTGTGTGCAAAATTAACAATACAATTTATTAATAATACGTGGAATATAAAACACACGAGAAGACGAGATGGTTGCCGGCATTGTTTATGTTAAAGCTTACAAAACCAGTGACTGATTGGTTCTACATATAAAACTGAAGAAAATAAGACCCTGATTGTAGCTGCAGTAAAATTAATGTAAAAAAATAATATAGCTGTTTGAAGTACCTGTAATGTTATTTAATGTTAATAATTGGAACAATATAAGTCGCTAACCATTAATGGAAAAAAAAGTGAGACTGCGCTTATGTAAGTGCGCACACGTGAAAACATATCGTCATTACTCTACATAAGAATATGAAAGCAACACTTAATTACTGCTCATATATATTGAAGGGTTAAATGTTGTACTCTGTATAGACAAGCAGAGAGAGAGAGAGAGAGAGAGAGAGCAGCCGAACTGCCGGATGTAAACAAACCTTAATTTCCCGCGGCTTTGTTGTTATTTTTTTTTACGGGGATTAGCCCACCCGGGCATAGGTTACTGACCCACATTGAGGCCTGAGGGGCAAAAATTTAATACTCCTGTAATAATAATAATAATTCAGATAAGTAAAAAAAAAAAGAAAAAAAAGCTGCCTATCTACCTATTGGACAAACTAAAATCGTTCCGGACCACAGGAGTTTCCGGACTAGAGAGGTATAACCTGTACTTCATATTTCACAAAAAAAAAAGTATATATATATATATATATATATATATATATATATATATATATATATATATATATATATATATATATATATATATATATATATATATATATATATATATATATATATATATATATATATATATATATATACATATACATACATATATATATATATATATATATATATATATATATATATATATATATATATATATATATATATATATATCAACACCTCAACCCGCCAGGATTCAACCCACGGCCCATGAGCATATATATATATATATATATATATATATATATATATATATATATATATATATATATATATATATATATATATATATATATATATATATATATATATATATATATATATATATATATATATATATTATATATAATTTTTTTTTTTTTTTTTTTTTTAGATGGAAATTACATGTTACTTGAGCTGTTTATATTAGTACTATACTGTTATGTATTTATGTGCAAATGCCAGAAATAAAACCTGAAAAAATATATAAATTGATCTGGGTGTTTTTAATTCGGGTACAGTAGCTTCATTTACTGTTTCACTTCACTGTGCTATAGTTACCGAAGAATGACTTTTGTTTTATTATATGCAGCATTTAGCCAACTATTATTATATAAAAAGGCTGAATTAGTTAACATTACTGATAATGTGCATTATACAGGGAGTCCTTGTTATTCGTATGGGTTCTATTCCTAAAGTCTGTACCTATAACAATTATGCAAATACCTCGGCAATTTTTCCCAAATTAATTAAAGTAATGAGGGGTAGGTATTAGGCCAGTCATGTTAAGTTACATTTTTTGGTAAATCTGATTGAAAAGGTACAGGAACGCATAATTAATCGTATAAATACTGAACAGCAATAAATAAAACACTTTCTAATCTTATTAAAAATGTACTGTATAGTAATATGTAATTAGACGTTACTTGTACTGTCACCTCTCTCTTGATTTACACAGATTTAATTCGTACGTTTTTTTTTAAATAACACTAGAATTAAATTAATGCCTTTTTTAAAAATAACAAAGTTTTTTTAAATACAGTACAGTTAACCCTCACTTTACGCGGTTAATGTAACCCGGAGGGTCCCGCGTAAAGTGAGAAACGCGTAAAGTGAATAACAACATAACATATGGGATTAATTGAAATGGAGTCCGGGCCGATCCCCAAACTCCACTTTTTGACGACACACAACTATGTTGTAGTAAAAATATTATCTTAACTTTATGATGGTATGCACACACAATTAATAATTAAGAGAAATATAAATAATATTAGGTTTTTTAACACTTACATTAGTAGAAAAAATGGCTGGGCACACGGGGATGGGCGGTTGGTTCCGAGGCAGAGGGCAGATTATTGGCCCTCACCTGTGTCACTTGTATCAATTGTATCACTATCCACCACAGAGGCTTGCAGGGCCTCTTTGTCAAACTCCCCAAAGTCCATATAAGTCCATATCCTCACCATAATTATCACTATCACTGACTTGGGCCGGCTGTGGTGGGTGGCGGGTGAAGAACTGGTAATGTTTTGATGACTGGGCGACCTTGTGCGCACCATGTTCGCGCAGCTTACACAACATGGCGGATGGCGGGAGGTTTGGATCCAAAAATGGCGCGGCTCGCCAGCCGCTCTCCGCGTAAAGGGGTACACGCACCGCGGAATGTGAGCATCCTGGGTTCCGGCAGGGCACCGCGTAAACGTGGAAACGCGGAATGTGGGACCGCGTAAAGTGAGGGTTAACTGTACCAAGGTTTTCAAAAGAGTACCATTGCGCCAGGCAGCATAGTTCTACATCTCATTGCTTTCCTACTTTACAAAAAAGGAAAGAGTAACATCACCTTAACCTCAGCCATCAACATATGGAAACTCGAAAGCACCCACTTCTCCCCATTCACCTGCTCTGTCATCTGATTCAAATGACTAACTCCCCCAGTAACCCCCCACCTCTCTTCCACCACTAGTTCCTGCATGCCATCCCAGCCATCATTCAATGTTTATGTTCGCACAAATTTTCATTTAAAATCTATTTTCTTACTACTGTATTATTAGATTTGCTTCTATTATTTTATTATTATTGTTACTATATTTTTGTAAATAAAACATACTGAAGGAAATAGATCCACAAATTAAAGTTTTTAGGGAGCGCTTCCCCTATTATACGTTTTTCAATTACAAGGCCCATTCTCAAGAACGTAATTACCGTGTAAATTGAGAGATAGCTGTATACGATTACAGTGTAGTACTTGTTATCCACAGCTCACAAATCTGAACACTCACAGGTAAACAATGGACTGCTCAAGCATCCTACAGCAGAGAAATACATGCTCAGTGGACCAGCGCCTGCTAGTAGACCACCATCCAGCACTAAGCTGCTCAAATTAGACACCTTGAGTGTGAACAACTGTTGTCCACAAAGCAGTTGTTCAGACTCGAGGAGAGTTATAATTTGTTTAATAGTGTTGAAATGATGGAATTAGTGTTAAACTGAGAAAAAGTGGTGTCTTAAAAGAATTGTTTACTTAGTCTATTCCTCACTGGTTAATACCTATGGTACTGCAGCATATCCTCAGCACTATTGGTGTAAAAACATTAAATATGTCTTTAATATCATAGAGAAGCATAAAATAATTTAATCCCGTATGTTTCATCAAATAAGTTTTTAAAGATTTCAAAAATAAATATCAAACAAAGACGGTCGATTAGCTGATGAAAACATAGTTTCCCCTACACGTCATCTGCTAGCAAGTATTTCAAATTACTGTACTGTACAGTACAGTACATATTATATTTAATTGCCTCCCATGAATTGACGAAGGTGTGAATATGAAATACTGTACATGAATAATCCGGGATTATTGTACTGTATATGTACAGTATACTGTACAGTAACTGAGTGAGGCATATGAATAATAAATTTTTGGTGGTAAAAACTAAAATACTTATAAGTGAGTTTAAAAGTACTGTAGTGGGTATACGAATTGCAAGAACTCCCTGTAAATTATTTTTTTATGTGCCATAAAGAGCTTGTCAAAGATAACTTTACTAAATAGGTAAGACCTCTCTTTCATTGAGCCCCTAAATGTCAAAAAGGTACACCTGACCCTCGCTTTATGCTATGGTTGCGTTCTGTGACAACACAGCATAATGGGAATCCGCATACAGTGTAGTGAATACTTAATCTTTGGGGGAAAATTAGGATATGTTTCACAGCTGCTAAAAGTCAACAGTAATGTTTCCATTGTGAATCTACATGAAATATGTAATATAATAAAAAACTATAAAGTATAATATAAAACTATAAACTCAAGACATATGAAGAGCATGGGTGTTTGTGTGGAAAGTGAAAGTGTGTGGAGTGGTGAGTCAGCCACTCCACACACCCCACTTCACTCCACTCCACCGCCCGTGACGTCACATATAGTGCAGTAGTCACACACACACACTGTGCCACATTTCACAATCATTTCTGGAGCATTAATGCTATAAAAATTGTAGAAAAATCATTAAAATATGTACTCTAATGTGGCTTAGAAATAAAGATAATATAATATAATATAGAATTAGTGCACCATATCTTCTACAGAATGCATAGTAGGGAATCTTTTCTGCATAAAATAAATTATGGGTAGAAATAGGGTTGCCACATAAACTCGAATTCGCTTATGGTGAATGCGTATAAAGCGAGGGTCCAGTGTAGTATATCAATAAAAATTAAGTTGAAATGGTTCCTATATTTGAAAGCAAAATACTTAAGAAACAAATAACAGCTAGTTAATTAAAATGTTTGTAACACTTAAAAGAAGTTGCAAATACATGATATGCAGAAAGCAATTATATCTGTAAACTAGTCCAGTGCCTTCATCTGATCATAGTGTATTCATTGTTGACCAAATGTGAAGAATCTGGTTGCTAATGAGTGCATTTTTTTAGAAATTTTTGTACTATCCAGGTTTTACAAGTAAATTTTCTTCTGTAAAATTAGTGTGTCCTTTATCCTTACTTAAATACATGGAAATAAAAGCGATGCATATAACCAGATGGTACTGGACTAGCACTTCTAGGTAGGTTTATTTTCAGTGTCATACCTGTTAACCAGTGAAGTGCAGTACTGTATAATATATGGTCATTTCATTCCTTGTGCTGTTATATATAATGACAAACTGAACCTACATATATTTATTTTCAAGTCCCCATACATTTTATAGCTGACAATGTATCTGCAGGACTTCATCGGTGTTTATCGAACCAAAGAAGGTGACCTGCTCAGCATGACACGAGTAATAACAGATGGTGACCCAGCTACGAATGATAAAGAAGAAACACTATCACAAACTGATACTCAAGACTGGTACCAAGTTGCAGCAGTTTCTGGAAATTTGAAATACGACACCAAGTACCCAATTCTAGGATATAGTGACCATGTGGCATCTTTCACCATCACTCCTAAAGAAGAGGAAGCAAAGCACAAGAACTTGGATTCTGAAAACTTAGTGATATGTTGTTATGAGCCACAGTCACCGGCTCTAAATGATGATAATGACTCTTATACCAAATCCAAAGTATTGATTACAGAGGGGGCAGCTGTTCAAGGTTCCGTGTATTCTGCTGACATTTTACACGATCAAAATAGTTGTCATAATATTAATACTGGTAAAATTAGTGACAGCCTTGTAGTTTGTACCCATCTACAAGATTCTGCACCTGTATTTGAGGAAAATGTACAAGGAATTTCTAACGTAATTTTTTCGGAGTTTACGAAGTAGCACAAGGTATGTACATGTCACAAATATTTCTATAAATTTAAGTAGTAATCTCCATTTTTTTTTTATTGCAATATGATTGTCTGAAAATCAAGATTATTCCTCACATACAGCATACAGCACAACCTCACAAATTCAGAACTGTTAGGACCAGGAATTCTTGGGCAGCTGACATCTCACCTACTGTATATCACACAATTATAGATTTTTTTTTGTATTTTATGGTTACATAATCAACATTCATACCCTTTAAGCCTCCTTTACTAACTAAATTCAGGTTATAGCACGTCTCAAACTTTATCTCAAGGCACAAGAACTTAAAAATCTCCATTTTTTCCATACACTTTTGGAAAAAAATGTGCTATAATCATGTTGTTATTGATTTTTAACACATGACAATTTGATAGGGTCATCTTAAATATCACACATCAAAGATATTCTGTACGTGACATTTGTATATACAGTACTCTAAATTACTGAAAGGAATTTGTTCTGTAACTTTTTTATACATTGTTATTATTTTTTCTACTGTGAACTATTTATTCAGTTGTAATTAAAAGGTCATGTGAGTAAAACTGCAGTTCATTATGGTAAGTGTTACATAAGCTACAATCTCAATTGTTGTACACAGGAAAGAGTGATTATGGAATCTCAGGAGAAAACAGTTATAGCAGGAGAATCTGGTACATATATACATGTACGGTATGCAACAAACAGGTATGATCATTGCTACCACTTCTTTCTCTAACATGATTAATTATTGTATAGTGTGTGTATATAAGAATAAATAGAGTTAAGCTCAGGGTTAGTCACCAATTTACATGATCCCATGATAATAACATTCAGATTATTGACAAGAAGATTTTCAAGTGTTTAGTACATATAGTACAGTACTTAAAAAACAAGGGTGAAAAAGAATTGGCCACTGACTACATTAGCTGTAAGGGCTAGATAAAAGTATTTCTCAATGCTGGTTAGTCAGAAAGAGCATTCAGTGGATTAATAACTGCAGTTTAAAAATAATATAAATAAAAGAGAGTAACATATACAGTACAGCACTTAGTGTCTCTCCTTGACTGAGTTTTTATCCTCAAATCATTAAGCCCAAAATGTTAACAGACAAACAGCACCAAACTATCAAACAAAGCACAAACTGTATATCAAAAGAGAACTTCCTTCCCCCAATGACAAGTTACCTTTATAATAATACACTGTATGTATCACTGAAACCCACTAAACTTTGACCAGATTCGTGCTCACAACATTATCATCTAGAAATGATACACATATGATTGAAGTATTATCATCTTCACAGGAGTATATTAAAGGTTATGGCTGGGACACACAAGTGTGATGAACAAATGACAGCTGATTAGACTGGCGGGTGTAGACCAACATGCCCTACAATATATTTACTTTAGCTGCCACTAGGCACTTAATACTGTATAAATATCTATATAATAATAATAATAAGAGTGACCACCAGGTTTGTATGCAAAAGAGGGGAGAAGTAGACAGTATTATTGTATTATGGGTTCTTATAAAAATATATTTAATCATGTACTGTACAGTATATAATATCATGCAACTAACTAAAGTCTCTTAGTCAGCATATTTCCAAGCAAGGCAGCCCATAACAGGACAAGACCTACTGACAGCTGGATACCTGCTGCTCCTCTTCTGAGCCACCAAGGTGCTTATACTGTACTGTAGGTACATCTGCAGGTTCACCAGAATGATCATCTTCTGGTGCTGTGCATGTACTTAATCATCGCATGATACATTTATGCAACTAACCACATGACGTGATTCAGTAAACAATATCACAGGAACATGACTAAGTACTCAAGGCATGCCTAGGTTTACAAGTGATCATTACATGTAAGGAAATTTTAGTAGATTGGTGGGATCCCCAACATTATTCCAGATACAGTTCTTACTACAGTACACTGTACACAAAACTTTTGATATACATGTATTACAGTAATGTATTACCTAAAATAAAGAACAACAGAAACATACTTATGAGTGTTTGGTAGCAAGGGAAACACAAGCGGATAATGGAAATTTTACTCTTGAGCACGTGATAGGAGTGTCATGAATGAGAGGACCCGATGTAGCTCTGCCCCATTTCTGGAGTCAAGAGATTTGTATAAGTAGCGGGTGATCTCACTGTGTCATTTACTCTTCTGAGGAAAACTGTAAGGTAGAAACACAGGTCAAGAGTAAAATATCTAACATCTAATTGTGTTTCCTTTTGTCACCATACTCCCTATCTGTTCAAATGAGTCATATGCTTATTGCTTATGATGACAAGTATCCCTCGTTATACAAATGGGTTAGGTTCCTTGAAAACCATTCATTAAGTGGATTTTCATATATTGAATAACATAACATAACCTGGACTTCTGACTTTGTGGATACTCTCCCTTAAGTCCATTTTCGGTTTGCAGTTGAGCATCTGTTGTTACAGACCTCGAATACTGTGGAAGAGATCTGCAGAATAGGCATAAGGAAGCTGGGTGAAGCATCCCGTAAGGTGCCATTTTGCACTCAGTCACGTAGTTAGATCTCCACAATGCACATCCCCTAAGCATGTAAAATAATGGAGTGAAAAAGAAAAATATCTGGGTGCATAACTGGGGAGAGGGAGTGGCAGAAGAGGAGGTTGGGAATGCTAGTTAGATTGAGAAAACATCACACCTTCCGCACTCCCTTTATACTGTAACAACAGTATGGAATTTCACCATAATTCCCATATTATTTAGGTTCATTTGGTGCCAGGTTAATAAAACATATCTTAAAATAAAACAGCTGATTGCCCACACCATCCCTCACAATGTCTTCATGCTTACCACAACATGTCTTCAGCACTTATTAAATATGCTGTGGCTATTATGTTGTCATCGGTTGAATAGCCTGATAGCCAGGCAATTCTGACGTGAACCCATAAACACATTAAGAACTACTTGTATACCTCTACAGTATACCTGTAGCTAGACCTATGTGTTGGTACCTTCTAAGGTCATCATTAAATATTGTCATAAATATAAATAAACTTTGCTTGTACAGTACATCTATATGTTTATACAGCATGCCTGTATAATTCGCGGTTTTTCATTTCGCGGATCACAATCTGGATGTACCCAAGAATGTCTGCGGATAGTTTTAAAGTTGCCAGCTGGTACGGGGCAGCGCGTGAGTTTTGTCCCAGGAGGCTGGCCCACGAGTGCTCCCACTTGATCCTCCTCAGTCCGAGATAAACACTTTTCCTTCTCGTGCGTGTGCTACTCTGCTCTCATAGCAACTGTGCTCTTCGTGCTTGTGATGGCTCCCAAATGCCCTCATCCAGCTGTGGGAAGGCGCCCAAACAAGTGAAGAGATAAAGAAGGTCACGACCCTAGTGGAGAAGATACAACTGCTGGACAAACTTAGGAGTGGCCAAAGCTTTGCTGCGTGTGACCGGGAGTATGGCATCAACGAATCAACTGTCCGTTACACTAAGAAGAAGGAGAAGGATATTCATAATGCCGTTGCCCTAAGTGCCCTTTCTTCTTCCAAGCTAGCCACTAATGTGAGGGATACAGCTATGGTGAAGATGGCGAAAGCTCTTAACATCTGGATTGAGGACTTTGACTGCCGCCACATCCTTCTCAGCCAGAAGTTTATCCGTGACAAAGCCAAGGTCCTGTATGACCGATTCCGTGCTGAGGAAGGTGGTGCTAGTGCTGGTGGTTCTGGTGATACCACAAACAAAGGATTTAATGCCAATAAGGGGTGGTTTGAGTATTTCAAGAAGCTCTACAACCTGCACAACTTGAGGATCACTGGTGAGTCAGCCTCAGTGGATGATGTAGCAGCAAGGGAGCATCCTGTATTCTTCGCTGAGATTATACGGGAGAAGGGCTACAAGCCGGAGCAGGTTTTTAATGCTGATGAAACTGGCTTGTGGTAGAAGAAGATGCCAGCCAGGACGTTCATTTCCAAGGAAGAAAAGAGTGTACCGGGCTTCGAGGTGGCCAAAGATCGTGTCTCTCTCTTGCTATGTGGCAATGCTACAGGACACATGATGTCCATGTTGCTGTACCGTGCCTAGTGTCTGCGTGCACTCAAGAACAAAGGCATGCACCTTCTCCCAGTTTTCTACCACCACAAAAAGAAAGCCTGGATGACGGCAGTGTTGTTGACTGACTGGTTTCACAACTGTTTTTTGAGGGAAGTCAAGGATTACCTGCAGGAGAGTGTCTGGAGTTAAAGGTCCTTCTCATGATCGACAACTGCCCTGGTCACCCCGAGGCCCTCAAGGTTGCAACAAAAATGTTGAAGTGATCTTTCTGCCCAAAACCACAACATCATTGCTCCAACCACTCAACCAGGGAGGCATTGCTGTCTTCAAGGCCAAGTACATGACCCATACCTTCAGCAGGTCTTGGATTAGGACACATGGGATGGTGCCGAGTCAACGCGGGAAATGTGGAAGAAGTTCTCCATTGCAGACTGCATCTCCTTCATCCAGCAGTGCCATGATGACCTGACAGCCCTCTGTGTTAACTCCTACTGGAGGGCCTTGTGGCCAGAGGTGGTGAATGACTTTGCTGGCTTCTCCACAGTTGACCAGGATATGCAATACATCGTCCAGCTTGCCCGTCAAGTGGGAGGTGCAAGAGGAGCTCCTGGGTCATGTTGGGGAAGAGCTGGCCAAGCTTGTCGAGGAGCAGCGTCGTGACGATGAAGAGGAAGAAGAAGAAGGTGAAGTGGAGGAGGTGCCCACCTTAACTGTCACGAGCCTCAACAGGTGCTTGCTGGCTAGTAGGGCACTCGTGGACATGTTTTTCGATGTCGATCCTACTATCGAGAGATCAGTCAATTTCAAGAGAGGGATGGTGCAGCTCCTGACTCCTTATAAGGAAATACTAAATAAACTCAAATGCCAGGTTGTCCAATCTCCATGTTGTTCTTGCCTTCGTCCACTCCAAGCCCTATACCTTCTACACTTGCAAGAGAGCCACAACCTCCTGTTCGTGTACCTCCTCCTCCTGACTCTGATTTCGACTTGGACGACCCTCCTCCTGCCGCTCCCAGCTCTGACCTCCCTCCGCACTCCTCTGCCTTATCATCATCATCATATTCATCAGTGGCAGGAGAGAGGAAAATGGGCACTACACAAACAGCCAGCATGGAATGGTGAGTGTTAATCTATTTCTTTATAACAGTTGTCATTTTTTTTGGGTGGGAATATTAATTCATTTACTCTAGTAATGATACAATGTTTTCTATTATATTATTATAGGAAAATGAATAGTTTATATAATTTGTTTATCACTGAGCCCTTATCATTTTCATAGTAGACTAGAAAATATGTTTTTCTACCATACGTACTGGTAATGGGAGCAGTTGTAGCTCTCCTTGCTCCCTGCCATATTTCACTGGATTTACTGTTATTAATAGTGTTTACTGATAGATTAGTGCTTAACAGTGATTAATCATGTCATTGTAGCTAGGTTAGCTCATCATTGTAACCACCGGGCTACTGGGCCAAGCTGTGAGGTGTTAAGGTTTTTTCAACTTATATTTTTGGGTAGGTATATGTAACCTTCATTTATTTTTACTCATTTACATGCACACACCATCCTACATACATATTGTGAGAACTTGTACAGCATTACACCACAATTCATGTTGGGTTGGCTATATGGCTATGAAAGAAATTCTGTAAGTTTGATCTACATATCAACCTGGAGATCAGCCCCCCTTCCCCAGCTTATATTACCTGAAGATTAAACACCCTAAATCATACCTAATCCCCCCACGATGGCTGTAGAGTCCAGTTCTTGATGCAATTGAAGTCTCCCAGAAGAGAACCTGCACAAAAGTAGATATACTGTTTGAGAGAGGCATTGGGGTTGTGCTGAAACTAACTCCACTATCTTGACTGTAAGGAGGTTGCGGTGCTGGTGGGAGTGGCAGTGTGGTGGTGAGGGTGGGTGGTAGTGGTAAGGTGGGTGGTGGTAGTGGTGGTGGTGGTGGTTGTGCTATGGTGGTGTGGTGGCAGTGTGGTAGTGGTGGTGGTGTGGTGGCAGTGTGGTAGTGGTGGTGGTGTGGTGGCAGTGTAATGGTGGGGTGGCGGTGTGGTAGTGGTAGTGGTGGTCGTGCTGTGATGGTGGTGTGGTGACTGTGGTAGTGATGGTGTGGTGGCAGTGGTGGTGGTGTGTTGGTAGTGGGGGCAGTGGTGGGAGTGCGGGTGGCAGTGTAGTAGTAGAGGTGTTGGTATGTTGGTGGGGGTGTGGCAGTGATGGTAGGGTGGGTGATGTGGTATTCTTTTTTATTCCAAGCTGACTGTGAAAAGCTGCAGAAGGATCTCTGTGAGCTCCAAGAATGGTCGAAGAAATGGCTGCTGAGATTCAATGTCACGAAGTGTAAGAGGATGCATCTGAGACGTATGATACGCCTCCTTACCGTTGGTACGCCCCAGGTGCATCCTCTTACTTGGAGATGGTGGACGGTCGCCCCACAAGGGGTCACAACTCAAGATTGAAGAAGCAGTAAGTCCAGAAAACTGTGAGGGCAGACTTTTTCGGAGTGAGAGTTGTGAACTCTTGGAACAATCTACCAGAAAGTGTTGTGACGGCACCGAGTGTGAGTTCTTTCAAGACCAGACTTAACCAACAATGGAGCGGGTTCAGGTACATTCAGGAGCCGGTGCGTGCCCAGTACTTGTCAACAGTGCGTAACAGAGACGTTGTAGTGGATTCTTCCCCTACAACCGCCGTTTGTCGCTGACTAGCCGATCCTCTTCGAATTCCCCAGCTTACGCCTTGTGGTCTAGGTCGGCAACCAGTGCCGCCTAACAATGGCGGAGGTCAACTATCAAGCCTCGCCTACCTCCGCTATATAAGACCTCACATCACCGTGACCTACTTACCTCTTCTAGCTCAGCCGCAGCAAGCAACACCTCCTCCTCTGCTCCTGCCTTGCGGCTCCCGCTCTCGCCGGCGACTATGGTGTCCCACAAGCTGCGTGTCCTCCTCTGAGCATTCTCACCAACCAGCTCTCTCTACTCCACGCTTGGACACACGCTGCCACTCCTCAGCTGCATTGCACATCCAATACAACATGTATACAGAGAGCACATTGTGAGTTTCCTTTCTCCAACCCATCCTCAGTGTGAACCAATATCTCATAACCCCACAATATTATGTACCTAATGAACTATATTAATCAACACCTATTAATCTTATTAATATAAATGATGTTAAATGACTCGGTTTATTTAATAATCTTCCAATCCCTTTCATAACTTAAAATTTGACTCACTACAGCCTACCATTGCTTCTTTGTGTGTTTTTTTAACCGACACAGATCACGACTTTTACGTTAATTGTGTTTGCTTCAAGGTCGTTCTCTGAATGTCTAGGATGTAGGTGGTGGTAGGTGAAGAGGATAAAAGAAAAGGAAAAGTAACAGAGACGTGACTGATCGCCCAAGCTGCTAACGAGTCAATCAGTTGTGAAAATAAAAGTAAAAGTGGGTGTGGGTGGTTGAAACAATGGTTGGTATTGCAGTTTCGGCCATTACACGGATATCAGTACCTGTAGTAATCTACCACTCTACTCAGCATTACCACATTTGTGATCTTTGGCATCATTGTTGTGGGAGACGGTCATATACTCTGGCTTAGGTCTCCCTACAGTGTCTTCAATGTATTGTATGTAAGTTATAGTGTGGGGTTATGAGATATTGGTTCACACTCAGGATGGGTTGGAGAAAGGAAACTCACAATGTGCTCTCTGTTTACATGTTGTATTGGATGTACAATGCAGCTTGGTGCTGGGGAGTGGCAGCGTGTGTCCAAGCGTGGAGTAGAGAGAGCTGGTTGGTGAGGGTGCTCAGAGGAGGACACGCAGCTTGTGGGACGCGCTTTGTCGCCGGCGGGAGCGAGGGCCACCAGACAGGAGCGGAGGAGGTGTTGCTTGCTGGTGGCTGTAGGAAGAAAGAGGGCGGTCACGGCCACGTGAGGTCTTATATAGCGGGGGTAGGCGTGGCTTGATAGTTGACCTCCGCTTTGTTAGGCGGCGCTGGTTACCGCCCTAGACCACGAGGCGTACGCTGGGGAACTGGGGAATTCGAAGAAGGTCGGCTATTCAGCGACAAACGGCGCTTGTAGGGGAGGAATCCACTACAATACCAAATGAATCAACTAAGGAAAACAAGTTGAAGTGGCATCTGCAGACAGTTCATCCAAATCTCATTAAATACAGCGACGCTACCGATTACAGATATTGATAATGACAAGTCTCAAAATTAATGTAGCAACGAGACATTCCACAGCACGTCGCCGGGGGTGTGTTGTTTGCTCATGGGGACTCATGGCTGTTGGCTAGTGAGGTGACGCAGCAGCTCTCTGGATAGTGGCCAAGATAACACCTACAGTATATTTAGAAGGGAATAACTACACCCTCCGCATCATGTAAAACTGATAAGCAAAGTACAGTAATCGTTATTTAACTGCCAATTAGTCTGCATTTAATGTATGGCAGAAATTAAGCAACGCAAGTCATTCTGTAATACTGTACGCATATTCATTATTCACTCCTGAATTCCAGGAAGATTTCAGAATACGAAAAATACATCATGGATCACTGAAGCACGAAGTTAACAAAGCACGGCCTTGAAGTGTTTTCCGAAAATAAAATGTAGTTTCCTGTTAAAAGGTCTTCCTGGAAAACAAACGGCAAACGTGATATATATATATATATATACTGTATATATATATATATATATATATATATATATATATATATATATGCTGGCTCATGAGCAAAGTCATCAAGAACAAAGGGGGGGGGGATTGAAATATATACTGAATTCCTTCCATGTGCTAAGGAATTTATATTTTTTTGTTACATAAACATTTGACATTTGCTGCCACTGTCATACGGTAACTGAAGTGTTCAACTGGTGCAATCTGGTAGCTTTTTAACTTATACCAGTTATTCGGGTTATATTAATGGATTATATATTACTTAAAGATAAAATTTTATATATTTACTTTCTATTATTCGATGAAGTAAGGAATTTGAATAGTATAAAATACGTTTTATTTGTTTCAGATAACTATATTTGGGTGATATAATTAATTCAAGGCAGAAAACTTGATAACACAACCGGGCTTTAAGAGTTGGTGTAATGTTGTTTTAATGGGAGGAAGACGAAGAAGCAACAGGTAGGTGTGTCCACCCTTAACAACTGAAAGATGTATTTGATGCTTGTACTACTCAGTTTATAACATAAGGAGTTCATGTAGGTGTGTGCGGACAGGAAACAGTTTGTAGGTATTTGAATGAAATCGTGACAGTAATCAGGATGTGTGTTGGGTAAAAGAAGGCAACAGATTAATTATTGAAGCTTCCTGTTCATATACAACATATGTAAAGCTGTTAACTCTTTTAGTAAGTGTATACATAAGTAATTGTGTTTAAGTTTTGTGTGTGGTGGTAGACTGTATACACTTGAGAAAAGATATGTACAGTAAGTAATATTGTCGGAAAACAAACGTTGGTAAAAATTCAGACTAAATCATGGGTAATGGTGTATAGGTTAGGTTACTCATGTTAGGAGCAACTTTGGTAGTTTCTAAGAACAGCACTACCACCAGAAGGAGCTGTTCAATTTAATTTTTTTTGTCACATTCTTATCATTGGTAAATTTTTACTTTAGGTCATAACTCATTAGGGGTTGGCCAATATGATTTTCCAGTTAATTTTGATGTATTTAAACGAATCTAACCGTCATTTTTGGCGGAAATTGCTCGTTTTTGCCCCACAATAATAGGGGAGACCCAGGGAAATTGGGGTTTTTGGGTGGGGAGAAAACGAAAACGAGTCATCTAACCTAACCCCTAGCCGGGGGCTCCACCCCCGGACCCCCGGTAGGCCTAGCTTAGACTAACCTAAATGTGTCAGTAGTTAAAAGCTTTGGGGGGCGCCATGTCCGAAAGTACAATACCTTAGTTAGATGTGGAAGGACCAGGGATACGTAAGAATTGGATAAAATGTTCGTCTTTCTCATAAAACTCTGCAATAAACTTGAAATAATTGTAGGAGCACAAATGACAACCAACCTCCACCACTGCCATTGTGAGACTGGTCAATGAAATTATCCAGGCTGCTTCCTTTGAAAAAAATCAAATGTGAGTTGGTAAAAAAAAATTTGCGTGATCATATCGATACATCATTGGTCACGACTGGATGACATCAGTCAATATTGCGCATACGTGATGTGCCGTTAACATCTCCACAGAAACGAAGGCTGAAAACTACGTAAAATCAATTAAATTCAATTGTGTCACTATTATCCATTTCCGCCATGTATATATGGGGTTCAAGATGCTCAGAATAGTGAGATCTAAATTTTTCAATAGTTTATAACTTTTGGGCACACTATTCTAAATTAAAATAATGCCTTATCATTATACAAGAGAAATATCCATGAGCTGGAACACTTGTTGCAGAGCCCTTCCACGAATGAGAGATTTCCAGGTAACGAGACAACTCTCTCAACCCTGAAAATATCCCCCATCCCTGGAATTTTTCTGGGTACTGAGAAAAGTTTCTTGGAATTCTCCGTCCCCCGACTAGGAAGTTAGGTAATGTATAGGCAGGTTTCTTTGTTTGGTTAGGTCAGGTTCTATTAAATGTCGCCTCTTTTAGAATACTTAATATAATGATCAGAACATCTGTGAAAAAATGAACGATATCAAACGACTTTTTTCAGTCGATTTATAGTACTGTGATCCCTCGGTTAACGAAATTTCGGTTAACGAATTACCTTCCATAAGATTCTTCACTTCGGTTAACAAGCAATCCCTCGGTTAACGAGTTTCTTACGAGCCGACCTCAACAAGTTTCGCCTGCAATTTAGCTGCCCACCAGCTGTAGTATTAGTCCGCCAATACAGTAATCGGTTTTAGGGCTTAAATTCCTTACCATTTTAGTAAATATCAAGAAGGTTGTACTATTCAATAATTTTAAAAGTTTTATATTAATTTTTTTAGTAATTTTAACAATTATTGAACATAATTTAAGTACAGGAAACTTTTTTTTTTGCGCGCCAAACAGCCTCTCAACACACCAAGCTTGGCGTCAGTTTGTTTACCAGCTCAGAGGAAGGAACATCTTGTTTGAGACTCTTCAACATAAACTCTTTTTTTCTGTTTCCAGTCAAATTATTGGTCATTTTGAAATATATTTTACATATTGATAATATATAGTGCAGTGCAGTGTTGATTTGAAGAAAATAATTTTGAATTACACCAAGTGAACTAAAATTTTATGGGTGAAATGGCAGCATGGGGTGACTTCTCTTCCACCCCCACTGCCTTCTCTTTTCCCTTCTCCTCCACCCCCACTTCTAATTCCCATCATCATCATCATCATCATCAACCAGGAGCCTTCTACATGCACACCTCAAAGTAAGTGTACTTTATTGCATTTATTTTTAGTTTGTTTGTAATTTTCGGTGAGCTGGAATCAATTACCCAAAAATCCATTGAAACAATGGTTTCGGTTAACAAATTTTTCGGTTAATGAGCAACCTTCTGGAACGAATTGTGCTCGTTAACCGAAGGACCACTGTACAGCAATCCCTCGGTTAACGAGTTTCTTATGAGGCGACCTCAACAAGTTTCGCTTGCACTTGGCGGTCAACCAGCTGTAGTATTAGTGCGCCAATACAGTAATTGGTTCTAGGGCTTAAATTCCTTATTATTTTAGTAAATATCAAGAAGTTTATACTAGTATTCAATAATTTTAAAAGTTTAATATTAAATTTTTTAGTCATTTTACCAATTATTGAACGTAATTGAAGGTAAAGTGACTAGTTTTATGCGCGCCATCCAGCCTCTCAACGCACCATACAGGCGTTAGTCTTTGTGTCTTTTCAGTGGAGGTAACATCTTGCTTGAGACTCTCTTCAATTAAACTCTTTTTTTTCTGTGTTTGCAAGCAAATTATTGGTCATTTTGAAATTTATTTTACATATTGACAATATATAATGCAGTGCAGTGTTGATTTAAAGAAAATAATCTTGAATTACACCAAGAGAACTAAAATTTTATGGATGAAATGGTGCCATAGGGTGACTTCTCTTCCACCCCAATGCCTTCTCGTCTCCCTTCTCCTCCACCCCCATTCTAATTCCCATCATCATCATCATCCTGGAGCCTTCTACATACACACCTCAAAGTAAGTGTACTTTTCTACATTTTTTGTTGAATTTAGGCAATTTTCGGTGAGCTGGAACCAATTACTCAAAAAACCATTGAAACAATGGTTTCGGTTAACGAGTTTTACGGTTATCGAGCAACCTTCTAGAACAGATTGTGCTCGTTAACCGAGGGACCACTGTAGACCTTAATTAGATATAATGGGTATTTTTTTGTGTTTAATGATAATGTTATCATTGCAATCAATAGCTTAGACAATTCTAAGACACTTTTCTTCTATGATATTTCCCTCGTAAACAACCTGGAACCGAGATATTTAATATGCTGGGGTACGTTTAGGAAATTTGGTAAGGTTAGGTAGTTTTGGTTGGTTAGGATAACTTAATTAGTAATACATGGTTGATAGCTCCAACCAAACCTGTCTAACCTCACTTTACTTCCTAATTGTACCCCCAGCCTATTAAATATCTCGGTTCTAAGTTGTTTCCGAGGGAAACATCATAGTTGTCTAAACTATTGATTGCAAAGATAAAATTTCCAAGATTCGGTTGGTGGCTACAAATGATATACAGGTGATGATGGGGATAGGGACCTCAAAAAGCCATCATTGAATGGTTGATCATATATTGATATTAATAACTTATGGGGAAAATTCTTTTCCGTTCCTGAGACCCTGATGAGCCAAATAAGTTTTATTGTATATCCTGATGCTATAATGATTAAATAATGTCTAAATAACTCAAATAATCTATAAATAGACATAAAAACTATAAATCTATACAAAATAAAGACAATAACATTAAATTTATATAAAATAAAGATTTATTTTCATTGCTTTACATGATATGCACATGGACAGAAGTAAGTTGCGATCCCCCAGCTGTCACTACAAGTAGGTATAATGAATATTTTCCTGAATAGCATTGTACACATAAATGATGACATACCAGCTACTCATACATTATATAATTTACCAGTAATTGAGATAAGGCGAACAAGCCCAACCTACCTAACTTACCTATCCTAGGTTAGCTTAGGTAGATTAGGTTAGATTAAGTAGGTTGTTTCATCTTGTCTCAGATAAATCATAGTATGAATGGGTGAGCCTAGGACAAATTTAAATACCTGTACTGTAATTTTAGAGGGAATTTATATTATCACAGCTGCTTTATGCAGAGGGTACTGTACTCTTGTATTAGTTGAACTGAAGTGACACAGAACATGTATTAGAACAGTTGGAGTTTATGATGGCTATGTATCATTGAAATATATCCACTTTAGTTGCAGTACAGTATTTGATAAAATCCTGATTAAAGCTTCTTACCTTGAACCTTATCTGGCATACCAATAAAAAGCTAATCTTCAGCTTCCTGTGCACTTTGCTATTGCCTCTTTCTCATCTTTTGTTCTGGCTGACTGATTCCCTCCTTGTGGATGTTTTGAGGGGATTCTTAATATCTTCAGTTCATTTCAGAATTCAAAAACACATACTGGTACCTTAGTTATGCCGGTATGTTATGTTCTTATAATTTTATGGTCATATTGGCTCCTTTTGGTCATTTTAAAAATTATTTCTTGCCTGACATCACATCAGTGATTTCCATTGAATTTTAAAGCACGTGCTCATGCCTTGTTGTCTTCTAGTGTATTGTACAGTTTTAGGGTGATGTTGCTTTTCTTTAATTTTTTTGGAACCAATAGTATGCATTATTAACCCATTGGGCACTAGGGCTTTCCCTGTATTGAATAAAATTGTCTGGTGTTAACCAAATAAAATATTAAAAGTAATCTCTAGATTTTTGGGTTTATAGAACACTTTTAAAAAATCCTCATTGATTAACATTAAATTTATAAAGTGTACAGCCTTGATTATGTGACTGGAGACTTTTTTTTTTTTTACTTCTGGCCTTATACATGATCTTGCTCTGCATACAGCAGAGTTCCCAGAATGCAGTGGCAATTAGCAATAGCGCCTTCTGCTTTCAAATGGGTGTTATTTACACAGGTCCTAGTTATTGTTTGCTCTGTTTGATAAGATGAAAATTTCAGGGCATACACAAGGGGTAGTTTACTAAGATCTCCATTTCTAGTATGTAATTTGTATTCCCATTAAGAGGGAGATACTGTACTATGCTTTCAATCTTCTCATATCTCTTCCATCTTTGATTGGCACATATTGGTACATGCTATTTATATGTGAGACCTTCTGCTTTAAATCTTCTTGGAAACTCTCCTTCTGCCAGTATTATGAGTGCACTATATATTAAATGTTGTATATTGCCAGTTTGCTGACCTAACTTAGGGCCAATTGCAAGAACAGTCGTGGGGTGTACGACGCCATTTACGATGACCTTCTTGCCCTGATCTTGTTTCAGTTGTACCACTCTTTTGAAACTCTGGAGAGATCTCGAAGTTTTGATATTTTGAGTACAGCACTATCACCAGGAAACTTGTTTCGAGACTCCTCCAAATCTTTGAAAAGTGCAGAATTCCATGTGTTAAAGGCGATATTGCTGAAAAAAGACCAGGGCAAGAAGGTCATCGTAAATGGCGCCGTACACCCCATAACCGTTCTTGCAATTGGCCCTTACTACTAGCTACTGACTCCATTTAAAGTTATTTGACATATTGCCAGTATTGTACAGTATTTCATGATGGATACAACATAACTGAGGGAAGGAATACAGTACAGTATTGTACAAGCTTGATTCACATGTCATCTTTTGTACAGGTTGATTTTTTTATTCGAGAGCGCTAAATAATTCCATACACCAAAAACTATATATCAGTTATGAACCTAATATTTTCTGTAAATATAACTTAATATTACAGAAAGACGTGACATGATCCTGAAAGTTATCAGGTATCATGTGATTTATCACATGACCCATCAGTGGCATTTAATGGTTTTTACTCAGTCACGGCATGGCGCTCACAACACACAAACACGACCAACAAACACTGAGCGCCATGCCGTGACTGAGTAAAAACCATTAAATGCCACTGATGGGTCATGTGATAAATCACATGATACCTGATAACTTTCAGGATCATGTCACGTCTTTCTGTAATATTAAGTTATATTTACAGAAAATATTAGGTTCATAACTGATATATAGTTTTTGGTGTATGGAATTATTTAGCGCTCTCGAATAACAAAATCACCCTATACCCGTATAGGGGTACCATAGATACAGGTAGCTAGTTTCTTAAGTGCTGATGTTTTATTTTATTAATGTTGTACAGTATAATTTCAGTATAGATTATGAAGGCAAGAATGTATAAGGAAGTATTGTCACATTACCAGTTATTTTTATAAGGCTTTAAAACATACAGTAAATAATTTAATTAATTGACACTAAACAATTGCAACTTTCAGAAATGGCAGGGGGTGTGTGCCCTTTCACGCTGACAAGGGAGTTGTTGTACCACACATTCCTGACTGGGGTCGTACTTTTGTTGGTTGTGACTCAGGGTATTCTTCTCGATGTCTACATCCTCAGCAATGATCACACTGCCATTAAAAACTACTTTTGGCTCATACCAGACTTTCTTTTGATATTTGCCTTTGTTGCTGCAATGTCAAGTGGTTATAAGAGTTGTAAACATGAGAGATCCTCAAAAGAGAATCCCAAGAGAAGTGACGCAGGCCACCGTAGAGGTAAAGTTCCGATACACGTGAAGATGCTGGGACTGTATTCTTTGCCAGTTTTTGTCTGGTTAGCATATTCTGGTTTATTGGTTGCTAAAGTTGTTATTATTTTTAAGTCTGAAATACCCAATAAGATAAGTACAAGTGATGCACTAAGTCCTCAGCTGTTGAAAATTGTACTATCATTAACTTTTGTGATCTTTGCCCTCCTTGTTGAAGGTCAGACTATGACAGAGGCCAACAGTGAACGTAAGCGCTACATACAATCTCTCTCTCATGGAACAGCTTTTGAGATTTTAGATTCAGTTACTTTCCTCTCCCTAATTATCCAGCCAGAATCTAAATTAGTGTTACCTTTGCACTTGGAAAATGCAGTGATTGCATTTTCTTCTATGAATTTTATTTTTCCAGCCATAGCTTTAGTTAAATTAAGTCGCAGTAATTATGGTCATAGTCCATTATGCTTAGTCTCTTCAATTACATACAAAATGTGCCATTTGTGGCTTATTAACTTCACCTACTTTGTCATTCGAATATACCTTTTGGCAGGCATATCACTTTCTGTATCTCCTTTTATTGTTAAAAATTTATACCATATATTTTCAATTATGAAATCAGTTTGGGTTGACTTCAAGCAGTTGCGATTAGTGATGGGGGACTACTTTGATAAACGGCGGCGTGTGTACACAGCAACAGAAGCAACTGGTGGGGCCAGTCTTAACACTGGCAATAGTAGCAATGATTGGACATCAGTCAGTGATAAGTTTGAAGAAATTGATCTCAAGCATGATGCTTAAAGTACCCAATGGTAATGAGGTACCTGTAATGGGGAATCTTTACATCTTAACCCTCTCGCACATGAGATAAGTTTTAAGTTTTCCAGTTCCAAGATCACATCTCTGAGGCCCCAAGGGCAGGCGAGACAGTGCACAGTGAATATTTTTTTTTTGCTTTATCGATAACCAAAAAATATACGTATACGTATATATATATATATATATACTGTACAGTATATAATATTTGTATTGGCATAAACCATATACAGTATCTTTGGCTTCATACCTGATTGCTCTGCACCATAGAAAAAATAATAATAATACAAGTACAGTACAGCATACTGTATAGCTATTTTTCGTCACTTATAATAAACATGGAAAAAAAACACCAATGTGTTCCCAACCTCCTAGTTCAATATTGTCTGAGTGAGCTTTTAAGTATTGTACTATAAATTGCTAGAAGCAGAATTTTATGAGCTTTCCAACACAGTAATCAGATTTCTGATCTGACCAATAGTTTTTGAGAAAAAAAATGATTCAAATGGTAAAAAGCTTTTTGTTTTTTTCGATTATTTTTGTGCCTATGTTTTATATCAATATAAATTATATTGCATTCTGTAGCCAACACTATAACAAAGAGAATGGTACTGATAAAGTTCATGTTAGGCAAGAAACTCAACCTCTTTCAGAGACTTTTTTTTTCAAGACTTTGTCACTATAACGAAGTTTTATAGCCTGATACGGTAACGGCTTTTGAAAACTAAACACTTAGCTGTAAATATGGAAAAAAAATATTACATCCCACAATCATCACTTCACTTCTCTAACACTAAAAATAAATTATTTGAGGGAGTAGGGTAAGCACTTTCATCCAGGAGTTATGGAAATTTAATTGGACACGGCTCACACTCATGGTCTGATTGCTGAGATTATGCTGCATATTTATCATTCCAGTCTTCCCTTCCTATTTGCCTCGAGAGTTGCCAATTAGTTTATTTGATAGAACTTACGTGCTATTATGACACATCAAAATTTGACGCAATTCTGTTGAAAACTTAAATTTTGGCAAATTTTTTAAAGTTTGGTGACTGGATTTGCGTTGCCTTGAAGTTGGTTTTATCGTGGATATGACGCGGATCGTATCACCATGTGCGAGAGGGGTAAAAGTCCCCAAAATACTGTATGTTTTAAATGACTTAGACTAGTTTTCCTTTATACTGTACCCTGTATTGTATTTTTATATCTATATAGATCTGTGACGTAACACTTGTAGCCAGAGTAGTCTATATTTTTTTCATGCAGCTTAATACTTTCCAGATGAGAACTTGTATATACAGTATATAACTGATTAAGAGAAGATTCAAGGTCTTATATGGTCCATTTAATAAATTGCATGGCTTCATTTATGCCCATCATCAATAGGAGGGGACATAAAGTATTTGTATTTTCTGTCCTGCCTGTGAAATGTTTCTTTAATTTCCTTGTCTTATGGTGAGAATTTTTGCAATACAGGTGCTCCTCTACTTACGAACATGTTACGTTCCTGAGGCTTGTTTGTATGTCCAACTTTACTCTTGTAGATACCAGACATATTGTAAAAAATGAAAATATTATGAATATTTAGTACAGCTATACCCTTTAATACAGCCTTAAAACCTGGCTCACTCTTCTCCTCTTAGGTAATGTTTGTTCTAACTGGAATTGTCTTCAAAATAATCCAGTCTCATCCACATTAAACAGTTGTTCTGGCAGGCAACCCCCCCTCAGTGATGATGTTTGTATATCTGAAAGTTTGTAAGTTGAACATTCTTAAGTAGAGGAGCACCTGTACATTAATTTTTCAGAAGTCACTTGTTTTGGTTATATAATTTGAGATAGCAATGACTTCACACAGTTTTGTGTTTGCAATTTCATTGGTACCGGTATGTATAATGCAGGTACTGTACTGAGTACAGTAGTGTTAAACTGTTCAGTGCTACTGTCATTGTCAGTTCATGACTTATTGTCATGCAGTATTCTGTAAGCATACACCTACATCTGTAGGTGTACTGCTAAGATTTGTCAAAAAAATTTATAAAATTTTTGATAGTGAAAATATGTTCTAACTTAAAGATTGTGGATGTTTTTTTTTTTATTTGTAATGTTAATTTGTCCCCATTAGTAGTGATTTGTACTTTTTGCAGTTTTGGATGAATCATTTATTTTTTCCTAGTCCTTTTTGGGAATTGTGAGAAACTTTGCTTTGTTAATTGTTTCAGGAACTTTCATGAGGCAATGTTTCTCTATACTGCACAGTGATATAATTATTTTTCAATGATAATTCTCATATATGTCACAAACATCAGTGGATTTTTTCTTTTTAGCGTATGTTAATTCTCATATTTTGTCACAAAAGTATTCCTGCAGTATTTGTTTGGAGTTCATAGTTTTGTAATTAAATTTCACTTTTAACAAGAAGAAAGCACACGATCCATGTTTAGAAACCTCTGTGCGTGTGTGCGTTCGGTAATGAAGAAGCCTCATGCTAAAACTGCATGTCTGGTGAGGAAGGTATGTTAGAACAATTTTATTACTGGAGATGAGGTAGAATGGTTATGGAGAGAGTACTGTATAAAGAAAGGGACACAATATATATATATATATATATATATATATATATATATATATATATATATATATATATATATATATATATATATATATATATATATATATATATATATATATATATATATATATATATATATTTTCTGTATTGTATAACTATAATGATCAGACAGCTGGTAATCACAAATGATGGGACATGAGCCAGAGGTACTGTATCAAGAGGAAGAAATTAGATGGGATGATTACAATTAGAGTAAAATTACAAATAGGTAATGTTCTGGTGCTGTGGAATAAAATGGGTGAGAGTTTGTTAAAGATATGGATAAAAAGGTAGAGATAAATTAAATTTTGTTAGGTAAAAGTTATATGTCCTCATTATTAAGCTAGAGGTGTTGAATATGAGTAAAAATATTTTTATTTAGATGAATATGTTTCATGACATCAAACACTTCTCTAACCATTGTTACAAATGAATCTTACTCATGTATTTTTAAGGAAAATTGTGAATTCTTATCGTGCAATAGTTGAAATGAATATCAAACCTTAGTGTAAAGATCTGAAGAACCCAGGAAACAATCTCTTAAGCTTAGTGACTAATCCTTTGTTTGGCAGGGGTTTCTCTCAGCTGAATAAGATCATCTGGCATTAACCAGAGTGAAATACCTGAAGGGTACTGCTGCCCTCCAAAGGGTTAAGGCAAAACTAATTTTTGATTACCTGTAAAATGTTTTGTAAACCATAAATGTGTATGATTTTGAAATGAATTTATTTACTGATAAATAAATTTTCTACCAAACTAAGGTTTTGCTATCCTTTTGCTCAGTGGCTGTGATAAGGTAACCTCTAATGATGCAAGTTTCCTAACTCACTTATGATCTTTCATTGAACTGCAGATACTTCTGGTTTGCCAGCATCTTCAGTGATGTTGGAATCCAGGGCCGGCACCAGCCTATTTGGCG